TATACAATTTTCTATACAATACAATAATCCATTTCACTTTCATCCTTTTAATAAGTTACATATATTATTTTTTTTTTTGTATATATAGAAGTCAGACCTTTAATATAGGATGTTTGCTAAGAGGGAATACATAATTTATGTGATCCATTTCTTAGCAAAGACCTCAAAAGAGTCAAAGATTGATTTTTTCGATTAATAGATTTACCTTTTCTTTACATCAATAAATAATTTTTAATTTACATATTGTCACAATTTAATAATAATTACTAAAAATTGGATATTATTGTTGCGTACCACTTTATAAATTACGGCTATCACGGCATCATGGTATTACGGAATTTTATATTGTTGTGCCGTAATTACTGAACACGTATAAATGGATAAGCTCTCTTATCATGTGATCAATCATTAAAAGATCATATAATACTGTTTTTGTCCTTGGAAGAGAGAAGAGCTTTTGTAAACCTGATTTTTTAAAAACATTTGAATATTATTGTGAATTAAAACTTGATATTTATTATCCAGAATATAACTTTGCAATTAAAGTAATACAAAAAATATATCAATTCTTTTTATAGAGAAGATCCAAATAATTTTTATCAAATACAAGCAGGGGATCAACTCAAGAAAGAATTATGTAAAGAAAACTAAGACTCATATACAGTTATTCTGGAGCATCTTCAAGAATTTGACCTTATTTGTAATTTTGTGATTTGCTAATTGAGCATTTATAAAAATGTAATCATATTGATAATGTAAAAATACAATTCAATGTAAAATCAATATAAGTCAAATTTTTATTAATTATATAAGTATGCTCAAATTTTGTAATTAGAAAAATAAACTATATATAGTTACAAAACAGCATCTATATATCTCCACATTCTCAGGAGAGTCATTTACTTCAATCATATCTTTCAATAAACCTCCATAGCTTTTTTTTACATTTCAGCAAAATTTTGAATCATCCTTCAAGGCATCTTTTTCAATTTCAATTTTGATATCCTTTTTTCTATACAATAAAATTTTTCTGGAATAAACAAAATAAAATACCAGTCTGTTGCTAGCAGTAATAAATTGAGATTGGTGATATATATTAATTTACTTGTGCCCTAATATAATAAATATTTATGGAAAAATCAATTGTACCTGAATTTGATTGGTAAGAAGCATAAAGTTGCAAAACGTTTTGTCGAAATCCAACTATTATATCACACTGTTTTGCTTCAGTTATGGCTATTAATTCTTCATCTATATTATCTTTGACTTTGGAAATCACATAATCAACTCGACCCATTCTTTCGTTGCCAATTATTTCAAACTGACATTTTGGATTTATTATTTTCTTAGTAATTCTCCTGGTGATATAGATAGATACATTCAGTATTGAAGAAATATACATACTCCGCCTAGTTTCATTAATGCCCGATGCAGGACCATAGAGTCCTATTGTACATTTTATCTCAGTTATGCACTGGTTTAACTCTTCATCATCTTCATCATTGCTATCCCATCTCTAATATTACCTGGTTTGAATGGAAAATAGAATTTATATTAACTTTACCGTATCCATATTTTTTGAAAACCTCTTTCACATCTTTCGGATTCTTGCATTATGAAAAGCTTTTTAATTTCTTTTTGCTTAACCCCTTCGCGAAATTCTCGAGTATTGTCGCAGGTCCAATGCAAGCCCAACACTGCTTCTTTAGTAGTCTTTAATAAGCATTACCGTTAATCTCCTCCTTTCGTAAAATTTCGATAATCTTCTCGCTTAACTCCAAGTAGGAGTAATCTTCCTTCTGCAAAAATTGAATAAGCTCTTTTGATTTCAACTTTCGTACTATTAAAGCTATGTTAGATCGTCGTCACAATTTTTTGCGGAGCATTTATTTCGGATATATCGTTTTAATTTCAGACAGTTAAGTGGTATGTGTTCAAAAAATATGTGAGAGGACGTTCTTACAATCAAAAAATATGGAAGTGACGTTCTTGCAATTAAAAATATGACATTTTTAAAACGTAAATAACATAAAATTTCATTTTAGGAATCTACTTAGAACCATTAATTAAAGTTGTTATAGATTGATTTTTACATATATTCATGAAGTTAGAATATATATATTTATAAGCTAATTAAGGGTAAAACAACATGGGCTTTGGATAAAAAACTCAAGAATATATAAAACATACATTGATTTAATTAATTATTATTTTTCGCAAATAAATCATCTTTATTATATATTTATAATAATAGTAATGGAGTAATGGGGACGACCAGTTTTAATAATGAATCTCTAGATTAAATAAAAAATATTCGTCACTATCGCCATTTATACATTTGGTAATACGCAATATATTTATATCTTTTTGAATTCTAAAACGAGTAGGGATTACACAGAAGAAGAAAAATTATATACCAATAATATAAAACAATATAAATTACTATCGAATCTTATTTTATAAATATTATTTGTTCATAATGATCCACGGGTGTGTTGCTATTTTTTCAACAGGTAAACGCAATTCAGGTTCATAACGTAATAACTAAGAAAATCATTTCAATATTTTTTTTTAAAACATTTTGATATTATAAATTCTTATGTTTAATAAAAGAAGCAAAACACATTCTATAAAAAAAAATGAAGGAATTTTACCGATTGAATTAAGTCTTTTGCTTCCAACGAGATATTATCAGGTAATTTAAGGTCTACTTTAGTGATTCGGTTACAAGTTTCAACTTCACTATCCATATCAGCAAATGGAGGTGTACCTATCAAAAACTCATAACACAAGATACCAAGAGCCCATGAATCAATTTTTGCATCGTGACTACTCATCATCACCATCTCGGGTGCTTGATAAATGAATAAATGAATAAATAAATAAATAAATAAATATATTGTAAAAGAATTCTAAACGTTAACTTTAAATTGAAAAAATCATCACCTAAATAATCAAGGGTTCCACAAAAAGTCATACGCCTAGAACTTTTAAATGTGAATCATTAATATATATAAAAAGTACAAAAATATATAACTAAAGGGATTTAATTGATGACAATACTTTTGTTTATTTGAAGGAACATGTACTGCCCATCCAAAATCTGAAATCTTAACAATTCCATTTGCTGTCAATAAAAGATTTTCAGGTTTAATATCTCTATGGATGACATTTTTCTTATTAAGATAACCTAGAGCATCTGAAATTTGTGCAATATACTATTTTTAAAAGGATTATGAATAAAAAAAATGTCAATAAACATATTTCATGATTTATAAATTTTGTTATTAAATATATATATAATATAATATAATATATATACATTCCTTTGCTGCTTCTTTTTCAGGAAATGTCTTACATTTAACTAGATGTTTATATAATTCTCCTTTTTCCGCATACTCTAAGATCAAATAAACACGTTCCTTGTCATGAAAATAACCATATAAACGCAAAATGTTGGGATGCCTAGAAATTTAATTCGTTGAAAATTAATTGTACATTAGTTAAACATATTTAATCAAAAACACATAATATTATCATAAAAAGTCAAACTGAAGAAATACATTTTACCTTAAATGACATTGAATTTCAATCTCTCTTTTTAATTGACCTTCAAGTTTATGTTCCTTTAAATCATTTTTAAACATCACTTTAAGTGCAACAATTTTACCACTTGATTTTTCTTTAGCCATAAAAACTCGCCCAAATCTTCCTTGACCTAAAGGATCGCCTATCTCAAAGTTTTCTAGTGACCAAACTTTATTATTATTATTATTATTAGATGTTTGAGATGTTCGCCTAATTTTCCTAATTTTAAATACTTTTTAAGAAATGATATATATAATTTATAATAAAATCATATTTGATTAATTACACCTACTCAATTTGTTGTAATGGTTTTTTAATTGTCGTCATCGTTGTTTGAATATAAGTATTATTTGATGCATTTGAAGCATTTAAAGCATTTGAAGCATTTGAAGTATTTGAAGCATTTGAAGCATTTGAAGCATTTGAAGCATTTAAAGTGCTTGATTCCACGACGCCATTTTTTGTGAATGGTTTCTGTTGTTGTTGTTGTTGTTTCTTATTATATTTATCTGCATTCTTTGCATTTACTTTTTGAGTTAAAGAATTCTGTGATTTTACAATTGATGTAATAGATGTCTTTAATCTTTCATCGTTTTTTTTTGTGGTCACTGGTTTTGGTTTGGAAACTTGTACATTATTATTATTATTTTTTTTTTTTTGCACATTAATATTCTTTTGTGAAAGAATATTTCTGGTATCTTGTACATTATTATTATTATTATTATTATTTTTCTTCACATTAATAGTTTTTTGTGCGAGAATATTACTGCTAGAATTTACACGATTTACAACTTTACTAAAAAAAAAAAAGGAATTGAAAAATATACTTGTTAAATAAATATTGTTAAACAAAGAATTAAAGTATATCAAATTAAAACCAAATAAAATATATAGATATATATACGGCTTGGAATTTTCACTTTGTTGTTCAACTTTCAATTTATTCAGACTATTATTTTCTTTCCCGGATAAGTTCCTTTCCATTGTTAATAAAAAGGAAAATTTTCTAAATAGTTTAAATAATTTAAATAATTCAAAAGAAAAAAATAGTTCAACTTCATTAAAAATGCTAAAGAGCAAAAAAAAACCCAATTGTTATGTTAAATCTACATTTACTGCAATTGAAGAATGAGTATACCTGAATTATTTTGAAGCAGTAAAGACAACACGTCGCGCATTACGTCATAAACACTAGTCACATGATATATTTAAAGTAAGTATAGAGATTAATAGTAACATTCCACAATACAAAATGCCCAAGAAAACTAGAAATTTTCTACGTAGAGCCCATTTATCAAATTTGTTTAATTTGCTGCAAATTACCCTTCGTGAAAGAAATTACTGTCGTGCCAATCGAATTATTGAAATTTTATTACAATGTCCAGAAATTGATATTTCCTTAATCTGGCAGGTATAAAGATTTCATGAATGTTTGAGATTTAAAAAAGAATTACAATAATAATAATAATTAGTAATTAATGATCCTTTGTTATTTATCAAAGTATGCTGTGGATATATTAACGCACTTGGGAAGGCCGGAAAGAGATTGCATCGAGTTTTTCAATCAGTTATTGTTACATACCAAAAATGCGGTATGATCCTAATTCTTTGAGAGTTCTTAATATATTAATGATTACAACTTATTATTTATTATCGGTGATTTTAAATGTTTAGGAAGATATTCTTCTAGAATTAATTTTTTATCAGATAAAATATGGACAAGCAGAAGAAGCACTCGTAACCCTTGAAACGTAATTATTTGGTTTATGAAATTTTTATAAATTTTTAGATTCTATTATTTTATTACAAATTTTCAACAATATTTTTCATTATATTTTTAATTTTTTTAGGTATTTACCACAATCTCCGTATAATGAGAATCCACTTTTTCATGGATATACAGGAATGCTTGCTTTTTCTTTATGGGATCAATCGAATATTACAAATATATTTCCTTTTTCAAATAAACGAAAGCGAGGATTAAATGAGGATGAATATATTTTAAGTAAAAATTTGAGATATTTTACTTTTGAAGAAATGGTTGATATAAATTTATATAATTATAAAATTAAATTAAAATATTATATAATTATTCATTATTTGAGATGGTGATCATATTCTCGAACAACAAATGAGATATTATAATTTAAGTGTTAGATCACTTAAAATTGCTTTGGATAAAGATATTAAAAATGACATGTTTCTTGTATATTATGTAAAGGTAATAATAATATTAATTGATTATAATTAATTAATTATCTTTATTATTAAATATTTATTTTACCTTTAAGTTATTATTGGCTAATGAAGAGACAGAAGAAATTGATGAGGCCTTACGATCAATTGAAGATTTCTGTAAAGAAAATTCAGGTATTTTAACTGGTTATAGGTATTTATTATATTTTATCGAACTTTTATAATTTAATTTATATATATATATATTTAATTTATTGTTTTATTTAATCTATTATTTATTTAATCTATTTATTTATTTATTTATTTATTTATTATTTATTTATTTATTTGGGAATTTAGGCTTCGATTTGAAACTTTATACAAATATCGAAATGAAAATTTAGAATGGGTTAATGCTGGTAAAGTATATCATCAAGTGGATCCATTAAGTCCACCTGAATCTGCATTAGATATTTTGATCAATTATTATGAAAATGTCATAATAATAGGTAATGAATGGAAATATTTTCTTTTCATCTTACTTGTTAAAAAAAAATATCGGTATTCATTCTTTAATCCCTTCAATTTAACCTTCTAACTAGAACAAACGAGTGAAGGGAACCAAAGGAATTTAGTATTTGCACATTATAATATTGTTGAACTATTATTTCAACGTATTGAACATGGCGATGATAAAATTTCATATTTTAAAAAATTAATAATTCATTTTATTTGGTTAGAGTGAGTAAAGATTATCATTCTGAAAAATATAATGCTTTATTTACTTTGTTTATCCGATACTTTATTAATCACATAAAATCATATTTGATAGATTTCTTGATCCTTCTTACATGATGATTAATTCTCTTCTTAAAAGCCGTGTTAGTTGGATTCATTCATTTATTTGGTGTCAGGCTCTTCATCTTTTACCGAGTGAGACACCTCAGAACTATCAAACTACGATAAATGAAGATCATTTAGGTCTCTATCGTTTATTAGCTATACTTATAGAAAATTGCTCCCATGAATCAGAATCACATGAAGGAATAGATATAAAAAATTTTAAAGATGCGGTTTTATCTATTAAGGTTGAGAAAAGAGGGGAAAGAAATTCAGATCAAAGTGAAAATAAGATCATTGGGAATGTACAAGTAGAATCTGATTTAAATGATATATTTAATGACATTTTAATTCAGATAAATAATAAATAAAAGGGATACCAAAAATTAATAAGGTAATTAATTAATTCTTTTGTCAACATTTTTATTTAATACTTTTTTTTTTTAAAAAAAAAAAAAGAAATGGTCATCTATTTTTAAAATACATATTAGAAAGAAACAAAAAAAAAATTTATTATCATTTAATCTTATCAGATAAAAAAAAAAAAAAAAAGAAAAAATTTTGTGAATTAAAAGTAAAATTTAAATAAAATAATTATTACAAAAAAAATTATATAAATACATAATTAATTAATTACAAAAAAAAAAAAATACATAAAATAATAATAGTAATAATTATTATAAATTTTTAAATTTTTTCATTCAATATTTTAACATCTACATTAGTAATACCAGTTAATGCAAGCCCCCCTAATTTATTTAATTTATAATGTTTAACAAATAATGAAAATACTAATACAATTGTTGTTATAAATATGCAAACTTCGAAATTCCTTGTAATCGAATTATTAATAGATGTCAGAATAAGATTCTGATCACTTTGTGAAAGTTTTTTAATGTTCTCTGATAATAATATATCATTTAATGAATTCGTTATTGGAAAATTTGGAATGTTTGAAATGTCCGTTATTATTTTGTTATTAAATAAAGCACTAGAAATTGCCATGCCAATCGTCCAGCCACTTCCACGGAAAAAATTACATAATCTTATTACAGTAATTCTTTCTCGTTCTTTTACTGATGCTTGAGCTGGTTTCAATAAAATGATTGAAAGTGATCCAATTCCAAATCCAATTATCATTAAAGAAATAATTTGTAAAGTTTCTTCCGTATTAACTTTATAAGTTGTTAATAATGCGCAACCTATAATAAGTTCTATTGATCCACAATATATAAGCCATCTATAATTACCAAAACGAATTACTAATTCATTACCAAATCCTGAAGATAAAGCTATACTAGTTACTAAAGGTAAAAGGAATATAGCGGATGTAATTGGTGAAAATTTTTGTACGTATTGAAAATATATAGGAATGAAATAACAAATAACTACTTGAATCCATCCTGTAAAGAAAAATATACCAAAAATTGCTCTTAAACAAGAATCAGAAAATAGAAATCCTGGAATAATTGGATCCGAAGCAGATCGTAATTCTAATATAACAAATGTTATTAATATCAATAAACCAGAGCTAAGCATGATAATTATTGGAATACTGAACCAAGCAAATTTGTTCCCTCCTAAATTTAATGGAATAATAAGAAGTAAAAATCCTGATACCAGCAAGAAAATTCCTAACCAATCTACATGTTTTAATTTAATAGATTTCGAACCACTGGGAACTGGAAATTTAAGGATAAACCATAAAACCAAAATTGAAGCAATTGACAATGGACCATTTAAATAAAATGACCATCTCCAAGAAATGTAATCAATAAATAATCCACCATAAATAGGACCAAGAATTAAACCCAAAGCAAAAGATGCGAAAAGTAAATTATTAAATGGACCACGTTGACTGACTGGAATAATATCAGAAATTATATTAAATGTCATGGTTACTATAATTCCACTACCTAATCCTGCTAAAGCTCTAGCACCTATTAACCATTGAATATTTTGTGCGGCACCACATAATACAGAACCCAACCCAAAGATAAAAATGGCCATCAAAAATATCTTTCTCTTTCCAAAAATATCAAAAAATTTTCCATAGAATGGTTGTATTATGGTCTAGGTATATATGAAAATATTAATAGGTATTAATAAAATTAAACATGAATAAAATATATGAATAAAATATGGATATATTAAAATTTTAATAATTAAATTTGAATAAATTTAATACTTACGCTTGCCAGACTAAAAGATGTAATAATCCAGGAAATATCTTCACCTGCTTTGAATTCATTTACAATAGTCGGTATCTGATTCGCCACGGTAGTTATGTCAAGTGTTACCGAAAAGATTGACAGGCACATTCTTTAAAATAAATATATATATATATATATTTATATTTAATATATTTTAATATTATTATAATGATAATAATAATAATAACGTGAACGCGAATTATGTAATAAATTTTATTAATTATTACTTACCCAATTATCAAAAAAAATTTATTACGAGAATTTAAATCTATCGTTATTTCTTGATCCCTGATCACATAAGAATCTTTTGATACTCTTTTTGAGGATACCGGTGAAAATATAACCGCATCTTTCATAGAAATTCTTCTAGAAGATATTGGAGATATTGGTGATACTGGAGAGATAGGTGAATCTACTCCATCTACTTCTGTTGTGCTATCACTTTTAGAAGTGGTATCACCTCTCGTTACATAAGAAAATTTAGAATATTTCGAAATTCTTGAAATTCTTGAAGTACTCCTAATTCCTTCTTCTTCCACAATATCTCTTGTTCTTGTTGAACTATTCTCTTGATCGGAACCAATATTTAATGTTAAACTTAATCGATCTTTCTTAATGAAATCATCCGTATTAGATTCTAAAGAAGTGAACCATTTTTCAGGTTTAAAATCCAAAACAGTTATATCATCTGTTGCCTTTTTCAAAAAATTATTCTTTTTATCTACCAATTCTATTGGAGAATTTGCAGAATTTGCAGAAGTTGTAATAGAGTCAACATCTATATGATCATAAGAATCTGCCACAAAAGTATTTGAACCTGAAGATAATTCAACAGTATGATTATATTTTTTTGGAGTTCTCCTGATTTGATTTTCTTCAATTATTAAATTATTTTTTTGTGATTCTCTTATTTGATTTGTTTGATTTGTTTGATTTATCTGATTTGCTTGATTTGTTGGATATATTGATATTTGATTTGTTTGAATTTGATTGTACTCAGGGGATTCTATTGTTGTTGTGGTAGTTAAAGAATCTATGGTTGTTGGAGATTCTATTGTTGTTGAAAATTCAATTGTTGTTGTATCATCATGCTTTTGAGAATCTACAATTTGATCACTATAATTTTTTACTTCTGTAATTTCATCCTTTTGGAATTCCTTAGCTTTAAAGTATTTTTGAAGTTCTGTAATCTTATTACCTTTGAATTCCATATTTTCATATTTGGATGCTATAGGTGATCGGTTATATTTTGGAGTTTTAGGGGTTTTTGGAGTTTTTGGAGTTTCGGCTATTTCAACTATTGGATCTAAGGAGGCTTTCCTTATTAATGATTCATACTCTCTTATTTTTGCCGTTACAGCCGCAGCACTTATAGAATTTCTATTAACAGAAGGTTTAGGTATATTAAGATATTGATCAGAAACATTACTAAGATCTAATGTTTGCCTAAAAGGACCAAAAGGAGTTGATGGAGTTGTAGCATAAGGTGTTGTGGTTGGGGAAGTTGTAGTCATTTCATCTGTTCGATAATTATAATCCAAATTATTGGTTATAGCAGCTTGTTTAATTGCATTAATTAATAAATTACAGGTAGAACCTTGAGGTGTCATATAAACCGATTGCATTGGAGAAACTGAATCTATTGAAGTTGTATGATGATGATTATGATGATTATGAATTCCCCGAACTTCACCACCACTTCCACCACCTTTAATTTCAATATTTAAATTAAAACCATTATTATTATTATTATTATTATTATTATTATTATTATTATTATTATTATTGCTGTTATTATTATTATTATAATTATTATTATTGTGGCTATTATTCATTTCGTTTATGCTATTAACTTCTGTAGTTGCTTCAAAAAAAATATCTCCGTCACTTGAAATACTACTCCCTTGGGATAATTTTGTTGTATGTTTTAAAAAGGGATACATAAATAATTTATAAACTTATCCAGTTTATAAATTTTATATAATTAAGGTAAGGAAAAATAACGCTCGGAGGAAAAGTTATAACAAAAAAGAGGATATGAAAAATATATAAATATATGTATATAAAATAAAATGAAAATATATAATAAAAGAATGTAAAAAATTGATAAAATTGAATAAAAGTTTGATAGATAACTTTAAAAAAAATATATTATTTCCTTAAATTTTTCCTCATATAATTTAGTATTCTTCAATATACATCAAAAACTGTCAGTAAAATAAGAAAGAAGTTTGAAGTTAACTTTTCTTGTCTAACGGGGGGAGAAAAGGTTAAATAAAACTGCCGACTGACGGTTTATTGCAGTCAAACTAAACAATATATATTTCGAAACTGTACATAATGTCTACATTAAATATTTTTTTTTTGCAAAACATCAATTAAATTTGTTGACAAGCACTAGGTGATAAAAAGCGATAACAAGCAAAATGAAGTGGTGCATCGTTTGTCAAATACATTGATTTAGAAAATCAAATCAAAATCCGAAAATCGAATCCAAATCAGGAAATCAGATCAAAATTAGGAAAATCAGGGTTGTCTAGATGTTACTTGAAGATGATCAAATTTCCACAATTATTATTTAAAAATGAATTTTTACTAAATATGGTAAAATATAATAAATGCAAATATTAAAAAAGCTGTAAACAATACAATGCATAAATTAACTGTTTGTGGTGATACAATGTTACAATGTATATAATTTTTAATATAAACAACATATAAAATATATTAATTTTTAATTATTTTTTAAATTATAATTTAATTAATCACCTTTTATTTTGAATTTTTAAATAATTAAGTACCATATTGTGCTTTATAGAATGAAGGTGGAAGATTTTCTAAAATCGAAGTAAATGGTCTCTCAACAATTACTAAAGTATTAGAACTAATAAAATCAACAAACATTAAAGGTTGATATCTTTGAACAAGTTGAAAATTAATATTATGTTCATTCAATAATTTCTTTCCTTTTTTTTGTTGAATTGGTGATTTCTTTTGCCATCCGTTACATTGTTCGAAACATAACGGTCTTTCTTCATTACATTTATCAAAATCTATTAAACATAAATAATTATCTGCCCAAAGTATTATTGCATTTTTTTCAGGATTAAATGAACAACCGATAATCTTATTTTCTAATTTTAAAAATTCTTTTGGTAGGTTTTGAGAATATTTTTGTGACCAATCTGTTAACTTCTTTAATTTTACGTCAAAGATGAAAAATTCATTAGAAGCTAAAGTGACAACAAGAATAGGAAGAGATAAATGAAAACTTAAAGTTGTATGAGTTGAACCATATTTAGGGAGAGATGTATAATACTAAATATATATATATATATATATATATATGCGTGTGTTAGAGATAAAAGAAAAAAAAATAATTAAAATATATTAATATTATTAATATTATTTAACTTATATAATTTTATATAATTTAATGATTTACCTCAAGATTTTCTAAATCATATATATTGATCCTATTACAAAGATCTCCTGTAGCCAACAATTTACCATCACCACTAACGGCAATTGAGATGACTGTCGCTATTGGATCGTCATCTGTCGGACAAGCATGTTGATTAAATTTTTTTAGAAAAATTATTTCATTGCGTTGCCAATTCTTGAGATCAGCAACTGCTACAATTGAATCAACATAAACTATTAAAAGTTTTGTCCCATCAGGAGTAAATAACAATTGATGTGCTCCAACGCATTGTCCATTTACAATATTTTGAGGAAATTTTATTTTTCGAATGGATAATTTTCTTTGAGTTGATGTCTAAAAAGGATAAAATATAATAAATAAATAAATAAATAATAATAATGATAATATGTTGATCATACTTCATGGGAAATATAGAATGCAACATACATGTTCTTGTATTTTAAAAACTTTTACTATTCTTGTATTAGCCACAGCAATCCATTCACCATCTTCTGAAATAGCACTTGCAGTTAGATAATGACTTTCCTATTATTATTATAAAAAAAAAAAATAATGATAGAAAATATTAAAATATTAGAATATTTTCAATGAATTTAAAAAATTCTCTAACATTCATACATAAATATATAACTCAAATAATGTTTGAACTTACCTTCAAGGACATTTCCAAAATAGCCTTTTGTGGCTTGACCAAATCTAAACGTGGAATTTGTTCAAGCTTCCACGAATCCGGTAAAATAGCTGTCATATTATATATTAGGTTATTATACTGTTACGTATGGTATGGATTCCCAAAGAAAATGTTTTTTTTAAAAATTACCTTCACCCAATTCCCACAACTTTATTTGATTATCATTTCGATACATTAATAGTCGCTTTGATTTTGATATACAAATCAAAGGTTTTTGAGGTATATATGGTAATTTTTTAATATCTCCTCTAAGAAACTTGTTATATGAATAAACATTCATTTCAGTATCTACACCTAAATTATTGAAACAAAAATTGTTAAGTTAATTGATATATTAATTGATATATATATATATATATTAATTTAATATATATTAATTTGAGAAGATATTTTGAATACAACCTCCAGAAACAAAAAATTGATCTTCAAGTAACGCGATTGATCTCACATCATGTAGGTGAGACCGACGAAAACCAACCAATATCCAATCCCTTTGGGTAGAATCTGATTTATTATTATTTTCTTTCGATGTATCTGTACCCATTGCTTTTTGATCAACAATACGAAATAAATTGCATTTTCGATCAACCCCGGAAGAAACAACTAAACTTCCTTCCTATAGAAAATCAAATATCAAAGAAATAAGTTAATAAAATATCATATCCATAAAATTATTTTACAATAAACAAGGAATTCATGTCTCAAAATATTACGCGATTGGTCACTAAACAAAGAACATCTGCATCATGAGCTTTGAATTTTTGTACAACAGTACCAGTCTTTCGATCCCAAAAACAAATATGACCGAGTGAATCGCCACTGATAATTGTGCCGTCTCTAATATTTTATTAATTGTTGTATTATTATTATTATTATTATTTTAAGCAAAGCTGGATTAAATCAAATTATAATTATAATTCAATTATGCATACTGAAGTACATTTATCGCCCAAACAATCGTATCTTGGCCTTTTAAAACGTCTACTGTCATTCTTTGAATTATGCGTTCTTTGATGATATAGAAAAAAAAATAATTAAATTGAAATAATTTTATCTGAAAAAAAAAACAAATAATTTTATTAAATTTTATCGTACTCACTACTACGCATATCCCATTGAACAATGTTACCATCCGAAGAACCAGCAAATATATATTCGTCTTCATGATCCCATGCCAAAGACATAATTTTGGAATTATTTCTCACAAATTTATGTATTAAAACTAATTCTTCATCCTCGATATCAAAAGTACATAAACTGCCATCTTCACAACCAACGACCAATAAAGTATTTGCATAATTATTTTTTAGGCACCAAATTGCACCTCCGTATGAATCGTTTGATTTCTAGAATTAATAAAGTTTAATTAAGTAAAAGTTCATTAAATAAAAAAAAATCCATTAAGTAAAGATCGTAAAAAAAAAGATCGATTACATAAATAATAATTTTGTTAAAGATTAATGACCTTTTGTCTTAATGTGGTCGTATCCCATTCAATTATCATCCCATTAGAACTTCCAGAAAATAATCTCGGAGGTTTGGATTCCGTATCAGATAAGTTCGTTTGATGTACCCAGGTAAGAGCTTCAACAGACGTATTTTTTTCACCGGGTATTGTCTTTAAAAAATTTTAATAGGTGTTTAAAAAAAAAATAACTAAAAAAAATACAAGTGTGTAAAACATACCTTTTCTAAATTCCATTGAGTTTGAGGATTCCATATTTCAATATTCCCATTTGCTCGACCACAAGCAAGAAGTGGTTGGGTTGTCGGAGGCGTAAAAGCCAAAGCATTAATAGCTGCAGGCATAAAATCAACGAAACGACATCTGTGAACATACATTTTTTTACGTCAAAAAAAATTTTTTTATCAAAAATCTAATTTCCAATACATCTTATAGATATCTCACAAAGATATCTGATATCGTTATTTTATTTTAAGACTGCATTTTTAAAACTGTTATATGGACAACGAAGGACGATCGTGTGTTTATGGCTTACGACATCAAGTAAATATTAAGTTGGTTTTTTTTTTTTATTTATTAATTTGCTAATGTGAATCTGGTACGCATAGGCAAGATGTCTTACTGCTGTTATTGCAGATTCAGAATCAGAACAAAATAAATTTTTAGTTGGCACTCAATCTCTCAAGCGTGAAAATGAGGTTCTTATATTTTCAAATTATTTTATTTTCTAATGTTCTTTTTTTTTTAATAATTAAAATAAAGCCGAACTTTTTTAATATGATAGTTAGATTCATTTAATTAACTTTTACGAAGAGGAGTTTGAGATTGCTAGTACTATTTATCGACACGTAGAAGAAGTTTGGGACATTTCTGCATGTCCTTTAAAAAGTGAACTCTTTTTTACCTGCTATAAAACATGTTAATATCTTTCTTTTAATGTTCGAATTACTGTTAATTATTATTTAATTTTCTATTTTGAGCTAAAATTAATATATATATATTTTTTTTAATTGTCTATACTCTTAGTTGATTCTTCAAATACTAAAGCTAAATTATGGCGAATGGGTAACTCAAATTTATCTGTAGAAGGTCAAGATACTAAATTTCAATCTCCCAGAACTCCAGTTGCTCCACATTTACCTTTGGAAAGTGTTATCGAACTTAAAGTGGATGCAAATATTAAAAAGTTAGTCATTAGAAAAATTTAATAATACTTTTTATTAATAAATATGTTTTGACACACATATATTCTTTACATAGAATCTTATGGGATCCCACAAAAGAGTTGAATCGAATTGTATCGATTCATGATTCCTCTTTTAGTGTTTGGTCCTTTGATGATCAATTGAATTCTGTTAAGGTATAAAAATACTGAGAGAAAGATATTGTTGTACGTAACATTTATTTAATATTAATAATATTTAATAAATCATGTATATATGAATATATTTTCTATTTAGGAACCCAACACAATTGATTTTTCTTCAGAAAATGAAAATTCATTATCATTGACGACAGGAACTTGGAATCCAAATCGACCTGAAATTGCAATTGGTAAAGGATGTGCGATTCAAGGCTGGGATCTTAAATCACATAGGCGAGAAATTTATATAATAATATTAATAATATTCGAAAACTGTAATACTTTAATGGAAGATTAATAAGATTTTGTGAAATTTAAATATTAGTATGACATTCAATATCGAGGGAGCACATTCGGTACTTGTTCGTGCATTGGATTTTAATCCAAACAAGCCGCATCAATTCGCGTCAGCGGGCGATGATTGTAAAGTAAGATTTTGGGATTTGAGGAATACTTCCGAAAGTATTAAAGAAATATCCGATCATACACACTGGTATGAAATGTAACATTGTTACGTTATTCAATAAAATATATATTTTTTATTTATTATATGGAATATTTAATTAAAATTGATTTTATTTTTAGGGTGTGGGCTATTGCTTACAATCGTTTTCATGATCAACTTTTTTTAAGTTCGGGTTCGGATTGTCAAGTAAATCTTCAAAGCATTGTATCTATTTCTTCAGCCGCATTTCATTACAACGATGATAAATCAGATGATGAATATCAGGATATACCAGCGTACGCATACATCTCTATAATCTCTCTATATCTATATCTATATATAAATAAACATTTTATATTTTCTTTACTTAATAAGATTGGAATAAATTTTATAAATTTTTAAAATAATAGAAGTCCGACAGACGGCTTAGTTAGAACTTATGATCAACATGAAGATAGTGTATATTCGGTTGCTTGGAGTGCATCCGATCCTTGGATTTTTTGTTCTTTATCATATGATGGAAGAGCTGTTATTAATAAAGTACCAAGCGAAGAAAAATATAAAATTATTTTGTAATATTAAATTATATTTATTTTATTAATTTTCGGCTGAGGGAATTCTTATTTTATTTCATTATTTTATATAATTTTTATTTATTTATTTTAATTAATAAAAAATTTTTTTTATTTCAATTTTTTTATTTCAATTTTTTTTTATTTCATTTTTTTATTTCATTTTTTTATTTCATTTTTTTATTTCATTTTTTATTTCATTTTTTTATTTCATTTTTTTTTATTTCATTTTTTTTTTATTTCATTTTTTTTATTTCATTTTTTTAGATAAGAATACATTAAACGCGTGAACTTTTGCAACTTTTGCAAGAATATACAATTTTTTTTAAGACATTTTGCTAAAAATTAATAATCTTTCGATGTAAAAATAAAGTTACCTATTTGTGTATAGATAATTACAAAACTTTAAAAAAAAATGTAAAATTAATTTAAAGGTTATTATAAAAATCAAAAATAAATAAAATAAAATGAAAAATGTTCATCTTACTTTTAACCGTAATAATCCTATCCCCAGAAGATGGGACCGTGGGTAACCGAGACCCTGTTTTTCAACAACCGCAACAATAAAAGAATTATTAAAAAAATTCCTATAATCTTTTTAATACATTTAATCCTTTTAATAGGATTTTCTGCAATATTCTCTATATATTTCTATACATATCTACTAAATCTTCATCCCTGATAATTTGTCTACATAGGTTCAAAGCTGCAAATAATAGTTAAAATTGATTTTTAATCTATATTCATAAAATAAAATGCGATTACATAACCATACAACACCGGAGCCAATTTTTTTCATATTGACTAAAGGTAGAATTATATTGTTGGCTAGTGGTTGATGTGTCTTTTTGGGTGGTGGTTGATATATCTTGATTGGTTATTGCTGATGTGGTGCCAATCGTTTCTTCTTTGATTTTCTCCTCCTTAATTTCAGTATTTTTTGAATCGACTTGATGCACAAATGAAATTTATTATTGTTATTTAAAATAATATAAATTAAAATATTTAATAAAAAATTAGATATGATATGATATTAAAAAATATTTAGATACTACTTTCTTCTTTTCGTAAACGGTTTCGTCGATCTTTTTTGTCGGCAACATCTTCGTCCTCGAAGGGACGTTTTACTGAAGTTTTGGTCGTTATTAATCTAGGAAGTACTGGTACAAAGGATTTAAAACTAGACACTATTTCCGCGACACGCCCTTTCACTTCGTCCCTTATTTTGGTTTCCTATTCAAGAATGAATTAGTTTAATTAGATTACGAAAACTCAATTAATTAAAAATTATTAGTAAAATAATGTACAAACATTATTAAGAGTGTCACCAAATAATAGGGATTCATTTTTACTAAAATCACTTCCTCGGTATTTCAACCCTGGCACATCCAAAATCAATCCTTTATTAAATAAAAAAAAAAATCATTAAATAATTATTAAAATGAAATTCTGAAATATAAATAATATTAAACTGAATAATAATATTTTTACCTCCTGTGGGTTCAATTCCCTCCATTTGATTTGAACTTTGACTTTCTTTATTATATACAACATTATCCCTAGTAATGGTATTATTTAATATCGATGCCGAAATTTTTTCGGATTCAAACACCTCCATTTGATTTAAACTTTCTTTATTATACACAACTTTATATTGAGTGGTAGGATTATTTAACGTTGATGTTGATGCTTGTGATGTTTTACTTTTAGCATTTACAATTTGCATAATTACGTCAAATACATTCGCTCGAACGAGAGGGGGAATATAACCTAGACATTCTCCAATTTCATCCAGATTTTCTGGCATTTTCTCGGCGAGAAGAGAGAGCATCTTATTTGGTAACACGTAACTTTAATTTCGTAATGAAATACATTAAATATATTTAATAATGGAAATGTTAATAAAATGTTAATAAATAAAAAAACATAGATTATAGATTATGTTACTCTACATACACTATCCCCTCGTCCTTCAATCTTGCAATACAATCTCGCCATTCATGAAGAGCCTTAAAAACCGCTACCTATAATATTTATTAAATTATAAATTTAATTATTAATTATTAAATATAAATAAAGATTGGTTTCTTTTTAATTCCAATGTGATCTACCTGTTTTTCATTAAAAGATGCATTCCATTTTGCCAACAACTTCTTATACCCTCCTGGCCCTTCTCCACTTTTATTATAACGGAAAGTCGCATGGACTCTAAGTGAAACCTGAGCTGAACGATCAAAAGTTTCTTTTAAACGATCTAATGTTAGTTGATCGGAGGAACTCGTTATTAGTTCATTACGCATAAGATCATAGATATATAACAAATAATGTGTATCAGCGCGCGCATAATTTAACATTTCTTCTGTTAGAGGCCTCAACCGCCAGTCCGCCAGTTGATATTTTTTATCCGCAACCACATTACAATAATGTTTTAACAAATAAGCTAACGAATGTTGAGGCATTTCTATCTCCCCAAAAGAATAATATTATAATTAATAAAAATAGTTAATAATATAAATATTATTGATTAAAGAAACAAATAAATTCTTACCCAAAACGTGAGATGCAACACCTGTATCAAACAAATTGACAACATAAACACCAAAATCTTTTTGTAACCAAATAATATCATAATCTGCCCCATGTAAAACCTACAAATAAAGAGTCATTGGAATTTATTCAAAAAAGTTATGTGTTTTAACATTTCATAATAAGAGAGAAATCCAAAAAAAAATAATACCTTTAAGATATTAGGATTTGTGAAAGACTTATTAAGTAAATGAAGACGACTTCTTAATTCCAAAACATCTACAACAAAGTCTTCTTCGCGCGTGCTTATTTGTAAAAGGCAGGTAAAACCAAGATAAGATCGATAACTGTGATGCTATACAGATGCAGATGAAAGAAAAGATTTATAGTAAATAAATTATCTCGATTTTAATAGTTTAAAAAAATTAAAATATATGAATATACAATATCATAAATTAATAATAATTTATTTACTTCAAGATCAACTGCAATTTCTTGAGAATTTTCGAGTTTCCTACACATATCTAACAATTCATCCAATTTATCAACCCAAGTAAATGAAGTTGATTGGATGGGAAGATATTCGATAGGTTCCTTATATTCAAAAATCTGACTTGGATATGTAATATTCGTTATTTCATAATGATATGGATGAGGATTACTAAAATTGATTAATTTTTTGTTAATATTTAATAAGACTTTGATAATATGATTTGATATAAATAAATACCATTTTCCATCTTTTATTCCTTCTATATCTAGTGGTACTCGTGAATTAGGTTTATCCGGAAGTTTTGGGACAAATGGAGCTCCAGAATTATCAATCTTATCTTCAAACTTTGTTTGTGGACGACCAATAAATCTTGAATGTCCGCCGTTAACTTCACCTGACTTACAAGAGTGAAATTTTATTAACTTAGAATAACTTATACTAATTCAAAAAAAAAAAATCAAATCATTATACAAACCCTAACCCTTTTATGTACTTTTCCAGCTATAGGAGTTAATTGTTTAGGAAGTGGTTGTTGGGTCGGAATTAGAGAAGGAAAAGCTGCAAGTTTATTACGACGACCGCTGACTTCCTCTATTGCGATATTCTAAAAAAATATATATATATATGTTTAATATATTTGATGTTTTAAGTGTAAGCACATAAACACAAATTACTGACCGCTTTTTTCATTAAGACGTCGTTCATTTTGATTATATCTGAGTACCATGTATCAGCATCAAAAGCCTCAGTAGCACCTTCGTATCTTTCAGAGCCGTTAAGATCGAAATTCGCGATCATTTGGTTTAATTTTGTTTTGATTCTCTCAGATAACCCATCTAATTGGTTGGCGAATTGGGAATCGACCGTTCGGTAAAAAGTGACTTCTTCCGAGAGAGCTGCCTTTTGTTTTTTGGTATATCGAGTTATTTCTTTAATTGCCTCTTTGTGTATTTTTTTGAAGTTTTCTTGGGTGATTGCGGAGTCCTTTGTAGGTTCCATTTAGTAGTTCGTGAAGGAAAAAATTAAGAAATTAAAAATTAAATTAAAATTAAATTAATAGCATATAATGATCTTGTTACACGAAATTTTGATATACACGTAATTTGCATTAGCATTCGTAATACGTACTATTTTGGTTACATTTAACTCCATCGAAATTCAAAAAAAGGAAATATTAAAAGGGTATTTATTGTTGTAACTTCCTTTTTTGAATTTATATGACGGAGGGTTTGTTGTAACTTCCTTTTTTGAATTTCTATGACGGAAGGTTTTAAACTCTACCTTGACCCTAATTAACCCTAATCAAGATATATTATTTTTGAAATTTCCGATAATGCATGCTGCGGTTCATCTCATGTGTTGTTGGGGATAATTCTCATCTCGCAAAGCTTGCTAATCAAGCTAATAAACTGACTCTTTCCTTTCAATGTTTGGATTCAAAGTTCCAAAAGAGATGAAGATCTGTTAATACTGTAATATGATTTTTTGATGATGCCATTGTACGACTCAATATGATGACCTTCAACACTGGTAAAGTTGATGTTGTCAAGCATCATAAAATTACCAAATCTAATGTATTTTTAATCACAGAATTTAAAATAATTTCGTCTTTCTGTGAAAAATATTTTTCCCTCAAAAATATATGAAATTTAACTTGTTTTGTTACAGACTTATAATCTAAAATTATTACTAGTGCATCAGGAAAATTTTTGGGTGTAAATTTTCGAAATATTATGTCACGTAAATTTTCAAAAGAAAAAAACTTGAAAAAAAAAATCCGTTTTTTGGACTTCGCTCGTGATTTACTCAACAAGAAGCGATTTTCTACTAAGGTGTTTCTAATATAGATAAAAAGCCCTGGTTCCAGACTACAAGATTATATGCGTTTCATTCCTGTAGCATTATTGTTGTCGACGTTTAAAGTCGGGCGTCGTGAAAAAATTTTGTCTTACAAAATTTTCAGTAAATTTTTGCCGATTTTTTACGAACGCCCGACTTTAAACGTGAATATCTCGATGAATATCGACGATACAGGAGTGAAACACATATCGTCTTGTAGCCAGGAACCAAGGCTTTTCGATCCATACTAGAAATACCTTAGTAGAAAATCGCTTCTTGTTGAGTAAATCGCGAGCGAGGTCAAAAAATCGGATTTTTTTTTCATAAATTTTTAATATTTCGAAAATTTACGCCTCAAAAATTTTCCTGATGGGTACTTCCGGCAAATATACCAGTGCACCAATGATGATTCCTAACAAAATCATTTTGCGACAAGAATTGTCAAAACTATAGAAAATATCAATCATTCATCAACAGTTTACGTATTTTCTTAAGTTTATATTAATTTTTAATTGTTGCATTCATTATACTCATAAAACCTATAATTAACAAGAAAAGTGCTTTACATTTATATGGCTTATGGCCTAACCAAATAATACATTAATAATATTGCTTCATCAAAGAAATTCTGATATCTATTACGCTATACTCAATCTTCATACTCTCCCAATGGCAATTATAGCGGGAGGGATCCTCATCTTTCGCGATGGGTCCTCGATTGAACCAACTGTGATCTGAAAATCTGGATAACTCGTTCCACCATACAACAAATTTTTCAGGAGTAGTGAGCCCTTTTTCCTTGAGGTTGAACATGTACTTGGGGTCGGAAAATTTGTGAGTGTATTTGTAAAATCTCTTGAGAAACTTAATGTTGGAATGAAACGTGAGCAATTAGTAATATTCTCCAAAACATGTTATTGAATCAGAATCGATCTGCGATATGGATGCTGAGCTTAATCATTAATGCTTTAGATTCTTCGGAGTCAATATCTTCTTCGTCGGGCGAGTAATAGGACAAATAATCCCCTGAAAATAATTCTAATAACTTCAATATTTAATAACACTCGGAAAAAAGAGTTGTATTCTCAATACCTTGTATCTAACTTTTGTTAGTTAGGTTCGTAACGTTAAAGTTATTTTCTTCTAAAGAAGGGTTTTTGATCGGTTTCAACGGGCATTTCGAGCTCTGGTGATATTCATTGTCTCACGTCATTATTTAAGATAAATTTCATGATTTTCCTAACCTGCTTTCATTTGTTATCGATAGAATAAAAATGGTTATAAACGAACGAAATTAACCTTAGTAAAGCCCCACCAAAAATTTATGTTGATTGCATTCCGTGATGATAGTAAAGATCTCAAAAATCTACGAAAAAATGTCATTCGTTTACAAGCCCTTTCTTATAAATGCACACCGAAAAAAAAAAAAATCTATTTCATCCATACCTTATTTGCGTATGTCTCGTCCGAGACTTCAACATTTCTTCGACAACCTTTCAAAAGTTGTATATGGTGACATCACACATATCTGTGCCGATCACCACATTTAGTCAATTGTTCGACCGAAAATGCCCTGAGAATCGGAGAAATCGCGTAATGATAAAACCGTATTAATCATTTTTTCCGCGTACTGATAAATTAATTTTTTTTTACTATGCATATTAATTTTTCGAAGTATCTATCTTATTATTAGTCACGATGTATTTAGAAAGGTCTATTACAAGTATATAAGTATATATATATATATAAACTCTTTATTTTACAGAAGTATTTTCGACTTTTATCATTTAAAGAGGTCTGTTATAAATAATCTTTTATTTTACAGATATTATAATGTTTAGAATAGCACAAATTTTACCCATAAAGGTGGTTAAACGACAGTCGGTTAGGCAAAATTCTATAACTAGTAAGGGATATTGGTGTTATAACAAATTAAATAACGTAATTTTTTACTGTATAACAATTAGAAAAAAAGTTCCAAGACTTTACTAAGTCTGAAAAGTTTAGAGATTTTACCCATTACATTACCCTCACAGGATTGAGTACTAGTACGATGTATGGTGTCTTGGTTATAATTAATTCTATAGTCGATCGGGCAATTGGACCAGTTAATGAGGTAGGTGAAAGAAGATTTAATGATTATTATCTAATATGCACAAAATCACTAAATTTAAGAAGCTTCATTCAAATCTAGAAACTTGATGCGTTTGACAAGAAACTTGATACTCAAATCATCAAAGAAGTCGGCTATATTAAAGGTTTCCTCAAAATCTCAGGAACAAACGAGAGCAATCAAAAAAAAAAAAAAGAATGATAAAATTAATCACACCTTTATAATTAGTCTTTTTCAGATAAGTCGTATTACCTTATTATACTGATTATACTGATTATACTGATTATACTGATTATATTATGTGAAAATATCAATATTCGTGACGTGATAATGTTTCCACAATGTTTCGTTATGTTGTAAATTTATAAATTAAATGTGCTGACAAAAATAAACAAATAAAATTAAAATATTTGATTTCGAATATCTTTTTATTAAAAAATATTACTAAAGTATATCAAAGAACTAAATAAAAAATAACTATCTTTATTACTAGATATCATGCAAACCACTGTTAGAAATATGTTAAATATGTTAATAATTATCCAAAATGATTTAATAATTTTAATATGATTACAATTGAATTTCTGTTTCCCAAAACCCATTAAAATGTAAAAATAAAATCTTTTTCTAATATACAAATGATAAAAATTTTTTTTTTTTTTTTTTAATACTTTTTCTGTTTTATTATTTATATCAGTGAGCATGTTTCTCAGCCATTTTATTTAAAGCTGAACCTGCTTTAAACCAATCAATCTGATTTTCATTAAAAGTATGATTAACTGGAATATCAACTACTTCTCCTGTCTTTTTATGAAGTCTAAGTGTTAACGGTTTACCGGGGGTGAAATTGGTTAATCCAATAATTGATACGTTGTCATTTGGTTCAACTTTATCATAATCTTCTGGTTTGGCAAATGTAAGAGGTAACAACCCTTGTTTTTTTAGATTAGTTTCGTGAATTCTGGCAAAGGATTTCACAACTACTGCTAAACCGCCTAGATGACGAACTTCCAAAGCTGCATGTTCTCGTGAAGAACCTTCTCCATAATTTTCATCACCAATTACAATCCATCCGATACCTATGAAAAAATCAATATTTTATATGAGAATATTATATTTACATCGCAATAGTAAACTGTGAATAATTAATTTATTTTTATGTCACCTTTTGACTTATAATTTCGCGCAACATTAGGTACGGTATCATATTCTCCAGTTAATAAATTCTTAACTTTATTAACTGAATTATTCTCAGAGTTAACGGCTCCAATCAACATGTTATTCGAAATATTATCCAAATGACCACGATATTTAAGCCAAGGTCCAGCCATTGATATATGATCCGTAGTACATTTTCCTTTAACTTTAATTAAAATAGGTATTTCTTGGATATCTTTACCATTCCATTTGGAGAATGGTTCCAATAACTGAAGTCGATTGCTTTTAGGATCAACGTGTACTTCAACTGAACTACGGTCCTTTGGTGGACCTTGATATGTATCCTTACCAGGATCATAACCACGAGGAGGCAATTCATCTCCAATTGGATCGTGAAATTTGAAAGGTTTTCCATCTACACCAATAAGGTCATCTGCAAGGGGATTAAATTTAAGATCACCTGCAAATACCATCGCTGTTACAATGTCTGGGGAAGTGACAAAAGCGTGAGTTGCAGGATTAGCATCATTACGTCCTGTAAAATTTCTATTATATGATGTTACAATGGAATTTTTTTCTCCTTTCTTAACGTCCTTACGATCCCATTGCCCTATACATGGACCACAGGCATTAGCTAAGACCAATCCGCCAGCTTCTTTTAATACTTGCTCTTGACCATCACGTGCAATGGTTGCACGAACTTGTTCTGAGCCAGGAGTGATTGTAAACATGGACTTTGCCTTGAGACCATGGTCAAGAGCTTGTTTCGCAATTGATGCAGATCGAGACATATCTTCGTATGAAGAATTTGTACATGAACCAATTAAACCAACTTTTAACTCTGATGGCCATGAGTTTTTTTCGACTGCCTCTTTAAATTTACTTATAGGAGTGGCCAAATCGGGCGTGAAAGGTCCATTGATATGTGGTTCTAATTCTGATAAATTGATCTCAATAACTTGATCGTACTGAGCATTTTCATCCGCGCGTAAATTATGGGAAAAGGATTCTGCGTAAGATGCAATTTCGGAACGCTTTGTGGCACGCAAAAAGTCAACCATACGTTTATTGAAAGGGAAAACTGATGTAGTGGCACCTATTTCCGCACCCATATTACAAATCGTGGCCATTCCGGTACAAGACAGTGATTCAACACCAGGTCCAAAATACTCGATTATCGCACCAGTACCACCTTTAACAGTTAGAATACCGGCTACTTTAAGGATTACATCTATCATACATATCCAAAGTTAAGTAATGTCATAAATATAGTCCTAAGAGGTGAATATTAATTCATCTTCGAATATGCAAACCTTTAGGAGATGTCCATCCGCTTATTTTACCGGTCAACTTTACACCAATCACATTCGGGCATTTCAATTCCCATGGAATATCGGCCATAACATCAACAGCATCAGCACCACCGACACCAATAGCAATCATACCCAAACCTCCCGCATTTGGTGTGTGAGAATCAGTGCCAATCATAAGACCACCGGGAAAAGCATAGTTTTCCAATATAATTTGATGAATGATGCCAGAGCCGGGACGCCAAAACCCAATATTGTATTTTTGGGAAGCAGTGGATAAGAAATCATAGACTTCAGCATTAGTTTTAATTGCACGATCTAAATCTTTAGATCCCCCTACTTGTGCTTCAATTAAGTGATCACAGTGTACAGTAGTCGGTACTGCCACTTCTGGCATCCGAGCAGACATGAATTGTAGAAGGGCCATTTGAGCTGTAGCATCTTGACAAGCAACTCGATCGGGACGTAATCTAAGATACGATTTCCCACGTACAATTTCTTGTCCGTGTGGCTCGTCCAAATGACCATAAACGATTTTCTCGGAATATGTCAAAGGTCTTCCTAACCTAGTATAAAATAAAAAAGGGATCGTTTTTTATTTTAATTGAAATTTATAAAAATATGAATCTTTTATAATAACGAGGACGTAAGTATTTATTTAAAATAACCTTTTTTTTACAATGGCCAGATTATCTTGAATTCTTTTATAATTTAAATATTTGTCAGGTTCTAAATTCGAAATTGGTACGTTCTCTCTCCCTATGTTTTCAGAAAGAATTTGGGCAAAATTACGTTTTTTGATAGAAAAAACTGGCGGGGCTACAGCCTAATTCGAAATCAAAAAATTAATTAATTTTACAAACAAAAATATAATAAAATAATAAAAATGAATGACAGTTCATTAAATATAGGTAAAGCTAACCCTATATGCTCTCGAAAATTGACGAGAGATCATTTTTTTGTCGTTTTCGAATTAAAAAAAAAAAAAAAAGGAAAACCGAGTTAATTTTATCACTAATCAGTTATCAAAATTGAATGCTCCATCTTGCAGATGATCTACGAGAAAAGATAAATAGATGCAGATTTAGATCGACACAAATTTTTAATGCATAAAGATAATCAAATTTTTCATTCTGTACAAAAAACAATTTTTTCGCCACCTACACAAGCACAACATAAACGGAAGAAAAATGTCTGTATACCCTTTATACAAAGAGATCTTTCCGCCGACAAGCGTTGAAGAAGTAGTGTGCGCCAATTTTACCTCGTATAACGATGTAAATGTAATAGTTGCACGAACATCGTTTTTGCAGATTTATAAATTTGTCGAAATTGAAACTACAGTGGAGGATGATTTGAATGGGGAAGATGATAATAGCCTACTACAAGGTTACGATAAAGATGACGATCAGGTGAGTAATCGTTCTTTAGCTTTGTTGATTTAAAAAATTGGGTAAAGCAAACTGTAACTAAAACATCCCGAAGTAGAATAGTATATAGAAAAATAAAAAAAAAATCATAATCCATCCTTATAGTAGTTGATTTTGAAACATCTTTAATATCTAAATAAACCAATTAATAAAGATTAAGGATTATTTAGATTTGGCGATACATAGTAAGCGTCTTTGAATATGATCATCAAAACGTGTTTTTGAAAAGTCATAGTTCTTTTTTTTTCATAAAACGCTTATATTTTGTATACATATATTAATTTTAGAAATTACTTCTTAGAGATTTATAATATTTAATTAATATAGAGTTAAATAATGTGTAAATGTTACAAGTTTAAAATGAATGAATAAATTAATAAAACAATTTCTTTGCTATCAACAAAAATTCTCGTGTGAAAAACAATTTTTGTTCTTATACAAACATTTCTTTTTTACATTGTATCATGTGGCTCTAAATTTTAAAATGAAATAAATAGAATTTTCCCATTCCAACCTTAAAGCCGGCTAAAAGCCCTTTAACCATGATCGGTCACCTTGAACTTGTTGCACAATATAAACTTCATGGTAATATAACATCAATGGGGGTTGTGCGAACGATTTCAGCTGGAGCCAATGGTATGGATAGTTTATTATTAACTTTCAAGGATGCAAAGGTGTGTTGATTTGATAAACCAATTTTTTTATATATAAAAAGTTTTGTTATGTAATCAAATCGATTCAAAAGAAAAAAATTGCTTTCATCAGATGTCACTTTTAGAATATTCGTTAGCAACAAATAGTATTGTAACTGTATCTATTCATTATTATGAACGTGAGGAATTTAAGGTAATTTTTTTATTAAAAAAAAAAAAAAAAAAAAAGAGATCAATTAAAGGGTCATGACTTGAGACTTGGGAAAAATTATGAAAATTTTTGGTTTTCATCATTAGTTAGAATTCCTTTCAAATACGCATCCTACGGAGTTAAGAGTAGATCCGTTCAATAGGTGTGCCGTCATGAATTTTTTTGATGACAAATTGGCAATTCTTCCATTTCGTCAAGAAGTTTCTTCACATCTGGATAAAGAAGAAATGGCAAGGTAACCAAATATGTTAATTTATTAATCAACATTAATAATAGTTTTATAATTAATCAATTCTGGAATTTTGGTTAGAAAGTGGCCGTATTTACCAAGTTTTGTTATAGAACTTTCTTCTATTCAACCACGAATCAAAAACGTTATCGACATGAGATTTTTACATGATTTTTATGAACCTACTTTGGCTATACTTTTTGAACCATGTCAGACTTGGCCAGGGTAATTTGAATATTTGACATTTAAAAACTTAATTATTGTATTTTTTTTTTCTAATTTTTTTTTTTTTAATCATATAGAAAGTTAAATTCGACTAAAGACTCTTGTTCACTTGTTGTGGTTTCATTATTAATTTCACAGAAAGCATATCCAATCATTCAATCAATGGATAATTTGCCTCATTCTTGCGTGAAATTAATTTCAATTCCAAAACCTGTTGGAGGTATCCTCATTATATCAGCCAATGCAATTATACATGTGAACCAAAGTTCTAAAGGGATAGGAGTTGCTGTTAATGGATACGCATCTTCAACAACTGATTTTTCACTTGATCATTCATTTGAACATCTTGGACTTGCATTAGAAGGATTATATCATGTTTTTCTAGATTCAGATGAAATTTTATTTATTTTGCGTAATGGCGATCTATATATTGTGAAATTAATAATTGAAGAACGATCACTAACAAAAATTGAATTAAAGAAAGTTGGTACCAGTACGCTTCCTTCTTGTTCTTGTCTAGTAGCAAATGGATATTTCTTTGTAGGGTCACGTTTAGGTGATTCATATTTTATTAAATATACAAAGACTAATACTGAACATAAAACAAATAGTATGATAAATGGCTTCGATAATAAGGTAATTTATAAACCAATTTTTTTTTTTCTAACAATACATTTTTTTAATATTGAAGTATTTCTTTGCTTTATAGACAAGAAAAAACACTTCGGATTCCGATGCAGGTAAAGATAATTTTACTCATTCATCTCTCTTTTTATTGTAACGATTGACTTATTATCACATTTAAAAATAATTGTGCGAATTTAGACGCAATAAACAATACGAATAATACGAACAACATGAATAATGCAAATAATGCAGATGATGCAAATAATTCGAATAATACGAATAATGCAAATTCTTCAGATGGAGGTAACAAAGCAGAAGTAAAAAAGTCAACAATTTCTGATTACCAATTTACAATATGCAACACCATCACCAATGTTGGACCGATTGTAGATATGGCATATGGGGAATTGGCATTTTCTGAAGTAAAGAATCACTTTTAAATTAATTTTCTAGAATATAAAGAGAAAATAATTGAATTTTTTTTTTTATATATTATTCTTTTTACACAGGAAGAAGCACATTTACATAGCGTACATAAAAATCTTGAATTAGTTTCATGTTCCGGATATGGTTCAGCCTCATCTTTATGTATATTTCATGTGAGATAATTTAAGCTCATATTATTCAAATTTAAAGTCAATTGATACATTTAATGATTTTAAATATTTTTGTTATTTATTTTAGCGTAACATAAATCCTACATTATCCAATTCTTTTACAATGAAAGATTGTATAAATATGTGGGCAGTATCTTGTCGAAGTAATATATTTCGAAGCATAAATCTTAATGTTGCAGGTTTGACAAATAATACATTTAACGGAAACACAGAAGATTACGATAAATTTTTATTTATTTCGAAAAAAAATAGAACAATGGTAATGGTGAATTCATTTTGTGATTCAATATATTGAATTTGTCAATTTATTTAGGTTATTTGAGTTTTGTTTCGTCTTTTTACATCTAGGTTCTTGCTTGCGGTGAAGAATTACAAGAACTCGAAAATTCCGATTTCTATACGGAAGGACCTACCTTGGCCGTGGGAACATTATTAAACGGAACACGTATTCTCCAAGTTTATGCTTATGGCATCCGACTTTTCGATCAAGGTTTAATTTATTTTAATTTATTTCGGCTCACTAGGAAAATTTTTCGAATTTATTTTTAATGATATTTTTTATATAGATGGGAAGCTTGTACAAATAATACAAAATGATATTGTTCTTGAAAAGGATCAAATTGTGTTCGCGAATATTGTAGATCCATATGTGTTGTTATTATTTGATAACGACAACATAAATTTGATGAAAATCGAAGATGACAAGTCAAAACTCGAGTTTCACCCACCACCATCGCAAATTAATGTAATAATAATTTTTTATATATTCCAAAGAAATTTACAATATCATAAATTAATTTTTTTATTTTTTATTTTACCACTTAATAGGAAATTCCAACTAAATCATGCTGTATTTATCGAGATGATACAAATATTTTTGCATTTGTTAAGGATGTAGCGCATGACTTCTCAAATATTAAAGATCAATTTAAAAATAATCAAAAAAGGAATTTGCCAGAAAAGCCTCAATCTCCAGGATCTGAACAAGATGACCTTCATGATGACATAGATGAAACTTCTAAAAAGGATACCCAAAATATTGAAATGGATATAGATGATAAAGAAGATTCTGATAAGCCATCAGAAGAAGATAAAATAATTAGCGATGAAATGTTAACTGGAATTATCGAAAACCCGAAAAAAGAAAGTTATTGGTGCGTGTTGTATCGATTAGATGGTTCATTGGAGGTAATACGATATTTTTTTTTAACAATTATTTATAGAAGATTCAAGAATTATGATTTTTTAATCAAAATATATTTATTTAATTTTATATTTACATATTTAGATTTATAAGCTTCCAGAGTTCGAAGAAGTTTTTCATTTTCCACACTTTTATTTGTCACCAGCTGTTCTTGCAGATTTTAAAACGCGACAAAATGTGAAATCTTCAGGCCAAACAGTAGAGATTCAAGAAATTTTATTGATAAACATTGGTCAACCCAATAAATACCCTTACCTAATTGTAATTATTTTTTTTTTTTTTTGTAATTTCTACATATAGTTAAATACAATTAAATTACACTATTTAAACAATAGTAACAAATTTATCGTTTAGGCACATACTAATGTGGGCGACATTATAATATATAAAGCCTTTCGATATATTCCTGGAATTGACGTTACAGATCCTTTCCAAAAGTCACAAATCCAATATGAATCGGATAACCGACTCGCCATTCGGTTTTCGCGCGTTTCACATGAATACATTTCACGTGAAACCATATATAGTGACATTCACGACAAACCTGTATCAAGAAAATCAACCCAAGACCTAAATAATGAAGAATTAAATATATCGGATAATGATGTTGAAAGATACAGAGTCTTGCTTAGACATACGAAAAGAAGGTTAATCCCTTTCACTAATATTTCAGGATTTTCTGGAATATTTGTGACAGGTGTAAAACCTCTTTGGTTAATTTGTGCAGATAATAATTATTTGAGAGTTCATCCAATGAATGCAGATGGTGAAATACATAGTTTTACTCAATTTCATAATGTTCATTGTGTTCACGGATTTCTATATACCAATAATGAAGTAAGTAAATAAAATTCTGAATGTAATAATTAAATTATTACCAACTATTAACAACTATTAAAATTATTACTATTTAGGATCTTTGTAGATTATCCGAATTGCCAAAAGATTTTAAATATCATATGGAGTGGCCCGTAAAAAAAATACCGCTAGGTAGATCCGTTCATGGGATCGAATATCATCCAGAAATGCAAGTATATGCTTTACTTACATCATCTCCAGTTGATTTTATATTACTTGATGATAATGGTGAATCTGTTGAAACGGAGCAAGGTAACTTAATTCATTTTTAACTCATTTATTGACTCATTCATTGTCTCATATATATCAATTTCTTTTTTCAAAAATTTCTTGCTGACTGTTTTGTTTCTATAGATAGCGCATTTTTTCTACCAGAAACACAAAAATTTGTTCTTGAATTGATATCTCCTATTACTTGGGAGACTGTGGACAGGTTTTTGTTATTTATTATTTATATTTCGTTTTCTCCAATGTCTATTTACTTATTAAATTTGAATATATTAAATATATTATAAGGCATGAATTTCAAGATGATGAACAAGGATTATGTATAAAATGCGTTAGTCTTCAAACAAAATCGACATCAAGCGGTCGTAAATCTTTCATTGCAATTGGCACAGGCTTTTTCCGAGGAGAGGATGTGGGAATGAGAGGAAATGTAAGTTAATTCATCTAAATATCATTTTCCAATTTACTTTCTTTTTTTTAAAAAAAAAAAGAAAAATGATTTTCTTTATTAGGTTTATATATTTGAAATAATTGAAGTTGTACCAGAACCCGATAATCCACAAACAAATCATAAATATAAGTTGTTATGCCACGAAGAGGTTAAAGGTTCCGTAACAGCGATTTGTGATGTCAATGGATACCTATTGACGTGCGTCGGCCCAAAGGTATGTTAACCAATATTAATAATAACTCTTTTGGATTTTTTTTCTATCATTAATGGACTTATGCCTTTTTGTTTTTTAGATATTTATACGAGCATTTGAAGACAACGATCGACTTATAAGTGTAGCTTTCATTGACATTCAAATTTATGCCAATAGTGTCGTATCAATTAAAGATTATATACTTTTAGGAGATGTTTATAAAAGTGTTTGGTTCCTCGGTTTTCAGGTGAAATATTATAAATATTCTTTATTTATCTATTTATTTATTTGAATCTCTAAAATTTATTGTCATGTCATCATTATAAAGGAGGAGCCCGCCAAACTAGTTTTAGTTGGCAAAGACTATCACGCTTTGGATGTTTCGTGCTCAAGTTTTATAATTGATGAACCCGTATTATATTTCGTCGTTGCTGATATGGATAGAAATATTCACTTGTTTCAATACTCTCCATATAGTAAATATATATTTTCTGATTTTATTAATAATAAGAAATAAATAATAGAACTTGAATTTTTTTTTACTTTAAAGATGTACAGTCATTCGCTGGTCAGAAGCTTATACGCCGAGGTGACTTTCATATTGGTGGACAAATTAAAACTATTATATCATTGCCAAAGAAAGAGTTGATTAGAAAGGATTTCTCTTTCGACCAAAGCACTCCCTCAAGATGGATGGAGGAAGAGAATAACGGATATAAACAACTATGTTTGTGTGGTAAGTGAAGATTCTTTATTGTCCATTATTGTTCCATAAATTTTTTTATCTAATTATCTATTGTTTTAGGAACTCTCGATGGAAGTATTGGCATGATTACTCCAATACCAGAGAAGATGTATAAACGAATGCAATTATTGCACGTTCAAATGGTGAACGGAATACAACATCCTGCGGGTCTAAATCCAAAATCTTTTAGGCACATATATATTTTTACCCTTTTTATTCAATTTTTTTTTTTATTATTTTATGCTAAAAGAATACATATTATTTTTTTTTCAATTAAAGGCTTTTACAATCAAAACAACGATTAGCCATTAATCCTGCAAAAGGGATACTGGATGGTGATTTACTAATGCAATTTCCAAACCTGGCTCTACATAGACAACGTGAAATGACTAAGCAAATTGGAACAACGATAGAAAGAATTATGGATGATTTATTGGTGGTTCAAGAATCTTGTGATTATTTTTGATCAGTTTTTGAAGAAATATTATTTGAATGCATGTATATTTTTAAAGTTAGATGTTTATACATTGTTTATTTATGTATGCTTGTTCATTATATGCATTTCATATTTGCCTGCACTAAGCGCAAATTTACTTAAGAACCATAAATAAAATCAAGCGAAATATTTTAAAAATATAATTTGTCATATTTTTGTTGACAATTTTAGTTATTGAATCTATTTCTGAATTATTTTACACATTTCTCTTTGGGCTCTCGTACCTTTACTCAAACGAAATTTTTTGTAAAATTCTGTACCAAATATGAAATTATCGTTTACCTGTTCTACAATATTATCTTTTTCATTGGTTTTTCAGATCCTTCCACTTGATGAAAATTATGCCTCAGAACTATCACACCGTGGTGAAGCGGTTGTAGATAATAAAGTTGAGGTTGGCATAGTGGCAATCTTATTAAGATTGTTACTTCTTTCTATTTCTGAGGGAGTAGATGTACCTACATCATGTATTTCACGTCTATTTTGGAAATTATAACTTTCAGAGCTCATATTGTCAGACCTTGTTCCGTATTTAATATTTGCCAATTTTTTAGATATTTGCATTATTTTTTTGCTCAAATGAAAGCTCCTCGCTTTGCCTGAATGATAAATATATGAGCATATAGATCAAATGGAAAACATAATAAAAAACTAAAAGATTAATCCAAGGCATACCTTCAGCGGATAATTTATTATTCATTTGAATCAAATATTCCCTCCGTGATTTCAATAATTTTATAAATGACATATCGATTGTATAAATTCTCGAATAGTTTGTATCAACCGTTTTTATTTTTTTTTCAGCACGATCTTTGCTTATCGATGAATTGGAAATGTGTTTTCTTTGGTTATGTGAACATAAAGAATAACTTTCGCTAGAAGGTAAAACGGTATCGTATATAAAATGTAACGATCGACAGGATGACTCAGAGATATAACTCAGAGGTGCTCGGGAATGAATTTTATGTCGAGGAAAAGGTGATATTGAATAACTATATTTGCCAGTGTTAAATTGTTCATGATAAGGTAGATTTGAATTATCAGTCTGTACAGCAATATCTCTACTCTTTTTTGAAAAAATGGATTCATGCAATAGATATTTTTTATTGCTCCTCTTTGCTACCTTCCCGCTTATTTTATTTTCTTCTCCCAATAAAAATTCATTACTACTCAACTTTTGATTGTAATTAACTCTATGACTAATAATCTCGTCTTTGTTCCTTGATTTTGTGATATGGCTTTTCGGTTGTAAAATTTTTGCTTTTGAATTTTTTGAATGATTTGAGTTCACCAAGGAACTTTTTAATGAAGTTTTTTCTAAAGTAGGCGCGGGAACAATTTTTGAATCATTCTCGGATCCACTTAAATTATTGCTTCGATTTTTTTTTTTCACCTCTTTTAATTTGGGTTGTAACATCGTTCCATACATTGATAATCTTCCCACATTCCCTCCTTGGTGTGGTTCTATATGCTCTTGTGGGATTTTTTGAAGTAAAACAAATATTTCTATCATTTTTAACACAGGTTCAATTTCTCTATCACGAACTCCCTCAAGCGAAATATGTGATAAATCATCTTTTATAATGTCATACGACAAAATGCCAATTATGATTCGAAGATTATGAAGGTGGTCGTCGGGTGTATTTGCGTGTCTGATAATGTCAGGAACGCGTCCATAAAGTTTTTCAAAAAAAAGAACCCAGATTTCCGGTATACAATCATCCTGAGAGACCACAGATACGGGAATACCAAGTCCTTCAAGTGATATATTCAGTTGAGCAAACCGAGCTAATACATATAGTCGCCAAAAGTTCAACAATATAGCTCTATAAAAACAGGACATTCGTTAAACGACATATACTTACATCGCATTTTCCTGTAAAGTTTTGGTGAAAGTTTAGAATTAATTGTTAAAGGTAAAATTTTAGATAAAGGTGAAGGGCGGATTGTCGACGATGATGAAAAATTTTCCATGTTTAATTCCGATCTATCCGTGATTAAAAAAAATTAAAATATTATTGGCAGGACCGATAAAATTTTCGAAAGAAAGTTTTGTTTTTTGAGACTCTAAAGCCGTGTCCATCACATGATTACCCGTAATGCTAGAGTGAGGGTTAGGGTTTAAGTAGTGCACCAAGTATGCCGTCTCTGAAATTTGGTATGTGATTTATGTGGTATATTCATGTTTTTTGATGTGTAATTATTTTTTAGCATCTCATTCTCATAACTGTTGTGATGATGTCTATCACACTTTTTCTGTCTTATTAAAGGAAACTTTCTGGCAGCAAAGTGGCCTTCTCAGTTAAGATTAGTAGGGATGAACCTATTAGTGAACTAAAGAAAGTAATCAAGGCAGAGAAACCTAATGATTTTGCTAGTGTTGATGCAGATGAGCTTAAAAGAAGCATATTATTAATATGATGAGAAAGAGAAACTGTGAAAAAAAACTTCAAACTCAAGAGCCACATAATACCTCTTTACCAATGCCAACTCCACCAATACCATCCAAAATATCAGTCACCCCAATACCTCCAATTCCTAATGATGATAATTTATTTGAGATCTTATTATGGAGCAATGATACTGACACGCCTGAATCTATGGACTTGAGAATTGTGAAAAAGCTTTGGGATCAGAATCAAAATAATAGTTAGAAGAAAACACCTTAATCGCACAAGAAAAAGGGAACAGAGAATATTGTTCAAGTGATACCTGATGACATTCAGGATAATGTGAATAATGTTGAATCAGAGATTCAAAACTTTTGCTTCCTCAAATCATGTGGCTAGAATTTCAACAACAATCCATTGTCAAAATTGTTCTGCAACCTCATTACTTGACTTAACACAATTATTTGATAAAGTAACTGATGCTAAATATTATATTATGAGAAACCTTATGCTGGATTAATTATGGAAAATAATTTATAATTCAGTACAATTATCTTATAAAAAATAGTAATGGGAAATTGGAGAGAAAAAAGCCAAAGACATAATTTATGATAAAATATTAGAACACCCTATTATTATCCATGAAAGAAGGTTCAAGGAATTACAACTTCCAGAAATTTCACATAAAACTTTATGTAAAAAAATCCAAAGAGATGTATATTGTAGTTAATAACCTTTATAATCTGTAAATATAAATTTAAGTGGTCATTTTCTCTACTTGCAAAAGTTTCAACATTAATACAATCTTTAATCAAGAAATCAAGTTTACCTTCATCAGTAACAAACCTATATGTGAGACATTTTTCATCAATCTTATCACCTTACATGAACTTTTCTATAATTGCACAACTAATATCTTGATTTTTTGACAACCATATCTTTGTTTGTTTAGTGAGAGAAATAATTGCTTCTCCAACAGTTATACTTTTTAGAATATCAGCTTCAAGAAAATATTATAAAAATACAATAGGTACACATCTATTACCTTTTATACATTCATCTTAGTCTTGATATATAAAATGTTTTTCACATCAAACTGGAATTACTAAATGTATATTTGATGTAAATTTAAAAGATCTTACCTTTGCAAATCCAGTAATATTTTCCTTTAACAATTTTCTATTTACCATTGTTAAGATCAGGATTTCATTAAATTCTCTGGAGCCTTATATCAGTTTTTTTAAAAAGTTTAATATACCATATTCTTGAACCCATGACAATTTGAATGTTTCTTAAATAATAAAATGCATAAGTTCATTTTTGTAGAATGAACAACCTATTTGTTCTTGCAGTATAGCAATTAAACATTACTTTTATTTCAATAAGAGATATTAACTCACTATGCAATTATGAACTATCACATATAATTTGTTCTGAGGTTTATTCCCCAATTATTTAGTATGCAAGTCTTATATCTTTTACTTGTTTTATAATAAACTTTAAATATGCAAGTCTTACCTATTTTATTTATCTTATAATAAGTTTATAAACTTACTAATCTCTTTGATATAGTCTCTTTCACCTGTTCAGTCAGTTTATTAGACTTGCTGGTCTTTATATTATGACTTAAATTATTTAGTTAATATATATTTACATTAATCTCATTAGAGTTTTTAATACATATTACTTTTATTCAATATATTTGTATAAGTACTTTATATGAATTGGCTTTGTATACAGATCAAATACAAAAGATATATCATACTGAAAAAGAATTCTGATTTTAATTGATTTATAATATAGGATGTAATAAGACAATTGATTATTACTAATTTTTAGCTGATCTATAGTATAGGAATTACTATTCAGTATAGTGATTCTTTTGTATTTGACTAGTAATAATTACAATAGTTAAATATATATTTATATTAAATTAATATTTATTTTATTAAGGATACTAAATTATTATTTATTAAACATTTTAAAAGTATTTATAAGTTATTATATTTTATTAATTATTCTAGTTATCAACTATAATTTAGTATAATTATATTTTAATTATTTTTCTAATTAAATATTTTTCAAAAGTTAATTATTAATTATTTTTAATTAACTACATTTTGAATAATTTTCAATTAAATATTTTTAAAATAATTTTTTAAAATTATTTAGATTTTAAAGTTAAAAGTAATTCTCTAAAATTTAACTAATTAATTAATTCTCTTTTGTTCTTTTTTAATTTCAAGAGAATTCTCATTTTTTATATAAGAAAATTATTTATAAATAATCTACAATTATAGTCTTATTTTTCTTATTTAGTAATTTGTAAAAAATAAATTATATTATTTATAAATGATTTATAAATTAGAAATACTATATTATTAAATACTATTTATATATTCTATATTATTATATTATATTTTAAAAGTACTATTAAGTATTAATAATTATTAATATTTATTCCAATATAAATATTTTTATTTTTTTTTGTATCTGTACTTTACTATAACCTTATTGTGACTAGATATTGTATTACAGAAATATTGCTACACCTCACATAACTAGTTTGGTCTCATGAACTTCTCCTGTATCACCAGAAATATTTTTATCCCATATACATAAATACATAAGTTAAGGTAGAGTTTGTTTAGAATATACAGGTCAAATACAAAAGAATTGCTGTACTGAAAAAGAATTCTAATTTTAACTGATTTATAATATAGAATACAATAGGACAGTTGATTTTTATTAATTTTTAGCTAATCTATAATATAGAAATTATCATTTGGTACAGTGATTCTTTTGTAATAATATATTTATTACTGTGTATTACATTGTTTGAATTTTGATTTTTATTAAATATCTTGAGGACTTAAATTTTTTTCATAAGGTTTTACACATAATGTATTTATGATTACCTATTAAATTATAGACTAATAAAAATCTAGATCTTACATGGAAATAAAAATATTTCTGGCAATACTGAAGTAACTAATCTCATGTTATATTTTAAATTATTATATTAATTATTTAATTGTATATTTTATTACTATAGTTAAGTAGTATTATTAAATTATTATAATGATTTTTCTTTTATAACAACATATAAAAATTTTTTTTTTTTGATTTCAGACCTGGTTTATGTAATAAAAAATGATTTTCTATTATAATATTTTTAATATAAAAAGAATGACTTTGTTATTCATCAGGAAATTTAATTAGGCATAAATTTTCAGAGATCATGTGATATTTCCATAAATCTACACTTAATTAAATTTCCTGATGTTAGTTACAAAATGATATATGTTTCATCCCAGTAGCATCAATATTCATGAAGATATCCATATTTAATAAAATATCTATGAAGTCTAAATACAAATATTTTTACAAATATTAATATTACTTAAATAAAACATATATTATTTTATAGTCAAGAACTAAAGCTTTCAATATATTATAAAAATACTTTAGTAAATTATTTTTGTTATATAAATCATAACTAAAATCAAAAAATTTATATTTTTTGTATAATTTTATGTATACTGTAAATTATATAATTTACACATTTGAAAATTTATAACAGAAATTTTACAATTGTTAGATTTTAAATATGAAAATTTTTACAAATATCAATATTAAATAATATATTATCTAAAAATAGAAGGTGTAATGTGAATTGAACCAGGAATTTAATTAGATTTAATTTAACCAATTAAGTTCAAGAGTTAACTCTGATATAATTGGACATAATAGCTAAATGCTAATGTAAAGGTTAAATATTGACACAATTCTAATTGACTAGTACAATTATTAAATTTATTGAATAATTATTTTTTAATATTTAAAGATAATTGGTTTTATATTTAACTTTAAATTAATTTTATATAATTAAGAATAATTTTTTACAATGATATTTTTATGATAAATTGAAAATTTTGATTATTTTTTAGAAAGAAAGTATTTTTTTTAGAGAAAAATATTTATTTTTTATTTTGAAAAAGAGAGAAATAAAGAGAATGAGAATTTTAAAATTGTGGTGAAGTTTAGTATAGTTGAATTGAGTTAAAATTTAATTGGTACAATTGAATTGAACTAAAATTTAATTGGTACAATTGGAATTTAACTAGTGTAATTAATTGAGCCAAGATTTAACATAACAAAATCAATTAACCAAGATACAATTAATTGAGCCAGGTTAAAATTAATTGAACTAATTATCCTTAGTATTATCTTATAGTCAAAAATATACATGTTACCAAAATTGATTTTGGATTTTTGAGATATTTTGACTTTTTGAGATTTATATAGAATCTATTCTATATATAGAAGTAAAAAAAGTATCTAGTTATATGTATATTCAATCAAAGAATAAATCTGGGTGGTCAAAAAATTTTGAATTTTAAGTAAAATAATTTTGTCTTCTATAAAAAACTATTTTGATTTTTTTTTCTAAAATTGCAATTTTGAAGCTTCAAAATAATTTTATATACAAGTATAGTCAAAAACAAAAGTTTTTAATTTGTCATATAAATATCTTAATAAAAATTATTCTTATTATATAAATTATAGTTGAGATAAAAAAATGTATTACAACAGAATTATAGTATACCAGGAAATTTTTAATGGCAAATATATTTGAATATATTTGATCATTCACACATTTATCTACATAAATCATATTAATCTACATTAATTTGTATTTATTCACATTAATTCATATGTTATACTGAATATATTTACATATATTTATGAATATATCTACATATATTTAGTTTTTATTAATTGTAAATATATCTGCATATATTTGCAAGTGAAAATTTTCTAATATAATATTATGACATTATAATAGAATTATAACATTATGAAAAATAGTTATAACTAATTGTAACTTATAAAAATAATTATAATAAAATATTTTAACTTTGTTATATCTTATATTCTTGTATTTGGAATGTGTATTTTTTTTTTATATATTTAAGGTTACTGGATAAAACTTTTAATTAAGACAATTGTCAAAAGAATAAAAAGATAAAACTTGTTAAAACTTTATTAATAAATCTAGTTAAATTTATCTTATATCAAAACTATAGTAAACTTATATAAACAGATAAAATTATATTAAAATTATAATAAAAAATCTTGAAAATTATAAGTTTTTTATTTTATCAAATTGAAAATAGATTTATTAAGTAACTTTATATGTATTAATTTTTTGTTGATAAATATTAGTAAGTCTATAATCTCTTTTAACATAATCAAAATATTCTATTATCTATTATATTATATTAGAAAAAGTGAACCATTATAAGTTTGAAACAAATATTGATAAAAATTAATAAAATTTGTTTCATGATATTATATTACTAGATAAAAATTTCATATTGTAACAAAAAATTTGGCTGATTAATTTTTACTTTGTGTAAAAGTATATTGTTCTACATTACACTTCAGACAATAATTAAGTATTCTATCTTTTATAGATATTATCTAATATTTGACTTTTGAATTTGATACAATTTATATACTATTGTATTACTATTAAGTTTTACATTTTCAAATTAACTATTATAGTAACTTATAAAAATATTATAATACTTGAATTTTTGTCTTTAAAAAATTTTAACTTTTAAACAATAGATTTTAGAATTATAGTTATTATATATATTTAATCTTTCTATTGTTAATTTTATTTTTTATTAATTTTTTTTTTTAAAAAATTTATACATATATAATAAAAAAATACTTATTTTATAATTTCTATTTCATTCTTTAATTTTAATAATACTTTAATTAAATTAAATTTTTTTACTTTTGTGAACTAAGTTGAAAAGGTATATTCAATTTTATCTACTTTAAATATATTTTTTATCATTTGAATACTATTTGTCAAATTATATGATACTTTTTATTATTTAAAAATTGTTCTAATCAAAGTACTTCTTTATTCAAGTTTATAAATTTTTTTATTTTAAAAAAAGTCAATTCTTAAATTAGTTATTTTATATTTATAGATCAAATATAAAAGAATAATTAAATCAAAAAAGAATTCTTATTTTAGCTAATTTATAATATAGGATATAATAGAACAATTAATTTTAACTAGTTTATTATATAGGAATTCTAATTTTTAGCTTATATATAATATAAAAATTACTATTTAGTACAGTAATTCTTTTGTATTTAATTAGTGATTTTTTGATACAGAACTTTCAATTTTCAATTTAATAAATTTTTTCTTCATAATAAACTTGAGTTTATAAATTTGAACCAGTTTCAATATCATTTTTTAACATGTTTAAGAAATTCTGTTATTCTTTTTCTAGTTAGTTTAGAATGTTATTAAATATATTTGAAAAGATAAAGTTATTAACATATCAATTTATCTTAAATTACTATAAAGTTACTTCCACTTTATTAAAGTTTTAAGTTAATTATAATCTTAATATATTATTTTTTTTATACCTTTTTCATAATTTCAATTTTCATTATTAAATAATTTTTTCAAATTTTTGATATTGTTATTAATTAAAATTGAATTTGAATATTTATTATATAAAAATTTATTTTTGAGTTATTTGCAAAATTTGATTTTTAATAAACATGAATTTTTTTAATCTTTAAGATACTTCTTACAGGTCAAATACAAAAAAATAGTTATATTGAAAATGAACTCTGATTTTAGCTAATTTATAATATAGAATATAATAAAATAATTGATTTTAGTCAATCTATGATATAGAAATTTGATTTTTAGTTAATAATATAAAAATCACCATTTGACACAGTAATTTTTTAATATTTATAAACTTTAAAAATATCTGCAATCTTTTTTACAACATGAACAAATTATATTTTTTATTTTTCTTGTCATATGTTATAAATCTAATAGTTACATTATAAAATACTTATAAAAATTTTTATTTCTTTAATTATTATTTCATAATTTATAATTTATTATCTTCTGATTCAAATATTTATATGAAGTCAAGTATTATAATTGGTTTCAAAATATTATTCTTGAAAATAATAATAAAGTTAATATCAAAAAACATATAAATATAATTATGAGAAAATAAAATAAATCTAGTAAAAATTTTTACAAAGTGGAACACATTATTTTAAGCAAAAAAAAAAATCCATCTATACTTTTTATTACTAAAGGTCTTTAACTCAATTATTAAAATTCAATTGTCTATATGATTATATCAAATAATTATATTAAACAATTGTGTCAATTACATTAATTTTTATATAACTCAATTTCAATTTTTCATAATTTAATTGGAATAAATTCTAGATTATAAAAATATTTAGTCAATATCAATACAAATAGAAAATAAATAAATTTTATTTCTATAATAACCTATTTGAGATTTTTTTTGTTTAAAGTTATTTTAAGAGAAATGATTAAAGTGCAATCACTATAGTTTCCTTTTGATATGATAATTGTTTTTTAATTCATAATATTATAAATATTGAGAATGGGTGAAAAGATCTCTGTACAAAAGAACCATTTTTTATGTAAGATATTACATTATAAAAGATCTGTAGTTAGTTACTTGTAATCTTTTCTCAATAATAACAATATTTTCCCTGAAATATTTTCAGGATAATTTCTATTTCAAAGACTTTTTACAAATCAAAAATATAATGCCTTCAAATAAATTTTTTTGGGTCCAAATTGGATTGTGAGGTTTGTACTTGTGAGTTTTAATGGTGAAAGAAATGATTATATGTAAGAGACATCTTAATGACTGGTGGAAAAAGTACAAGGATGGGAGATGAATTTTCTAACAAACTTATAATCATAAGAGAAGTAATACATTAAGCACGTGATTTACAGAACATGTACATATTAAAAAAGTGTTTTTCTCGAACCAACCAACCAACCACACTATTCAACGCTCTTTACCTCACAAGAACAAATATATATATATATATAAATAGTTTTTCTTCAAGATTAATTGTGTCGTTTGTGTCTATTATTGTGTATAATAATAAAAACCACGTTTTATTCTGTAAAATGTCTGACATTAAAATGGAAATTATAATGAAAAAAGAAAAAAGGGCTGAAAGTCCCCAAAACTATACTGAACATATTGTAACTACACATAATACAAGAGAAGAGACAAACAGTAGAAATAATAGTTATATGAATGATTTAATTTCCAACCCAAGTGCTAACATAAGTGGCAATATAAATCGACCAAACTTTGAAAGTAATAACATGAACTTTTCAAATGTTTCGAATGTGAATGATTTTAAGTATTTTGATTCCAATAATAATGCTGGTTTACAAGTAGCATCACCTTCACCTCAAAAAGTCACCACAAGAGAACCGCCACCAGCGGCGGAACCTGCTTCTTGGCAAATTCCACCAAGTGCTTTACAAACAAAAAAACAAATGAAGAATATTCAAATTGAAAAATATGAATCCCGTATTTCAGAAAATGGTTACGATATTGAGGCTTGGTTAGGCCTACTAACAGAAGTGCAGGCCAAAGCTGATGTTGATAAAGTAAGGGAATCTTTTGAAAGATTTCTTCAAAAGTTCCCTACCTCGGTAAGTGATCAAAGATTTTCGATACAAAACCTGATTTTATTCAGTAGCAAAATCTAGAGGTACTTGTAATAAATATATAAAGTTTGTGATGTTGGATGGAGAGTGTATAATACTGGTGCAAAGGCATATTTATTTTCTTTCTACTCGATTTCGTGACTTTGTTTGAAGAACTTGACGAACGAATGCTAGATCTTAAACATTGCATTCTTTTTTTTATTTCTATATGTATGAATCCTTTTTATCTGTAAATTGTTTTTGATCAATTAGTCACGCCAATGGGTTCAGTGTGCAGAATTCGAACTAAAAAATCAACATTACGACAGAGTGGAAACAATATTCACTCGTTGTCTTCGCTCTGTCCTATCGGTTGAGCTCTGGAAGTTCTATTTAAACTATGTGCGTCGAATGCATCAAATTGAAAAGGGATCAGCTTCAACCTCTCAGGCGAGAACAACAATCACGTCGACCTACGAATACGTTCTCACCCATATTGGTCTAGATAAGGATGCCGGCACCATATGGAGTGACTACTTGTTTTTCCTCAAGACTGGAGAAACAAGTAGCACCTGGGAAGAACAGCAAAAGATGGACACAATGAGGAAGGTATATCAGAAAGCGATATGTATTCCTCTAAACAACGTCGAATTGATCTGGAAAGAATATGATCAATTCGAAAATTCTTTGAATAAAGTTACTGTGAGTTTATAGTTTACGTTTTACTTTGAGATCGAAGTTTATGTATATTAGTTTTATTATTTATCTTGATTAAATGTTTATATTGTAGGCAAAAAAGTTTCTACAGGATCGGTCCCCTGCCTATATGACCGCACGAACTGCAGTAAAAGAAATGCGTCGGTTTACCGACAAGATCAACAAGAATATCATTCCGACACCCCCAAAATGGACAAAGTCTGAGAAGGAGCAGGTAATTTATTATTATTTCTCAAAACTCATTATGGACTTTTATGGTTAAACATATATTGATTTGTTCTTTAATTGTTAAAACATAATTGTTATAGCTTGCATATTGGAAAGAGTGGATCGAATGGGAAAAATCAAATCCATTGGCACTCGAAGATCAAACATTATTAAAGAAGAGAATTACATATGTTTATAAGCAGGCCATGATGTATTTACGATTTTATCCGGAAATATGGTAGGGATTTTATTTCCGATCACTATGTTCTGAATTATGTAAAACATTAATGAGTATAAACTAAAAATTTTATAGGTTCGATGCTGCAAATTACTGGGCTTCAATAAAAAAAGAAGAAGAAGCAGTTTCCTTGCTAAAAACAGCAATGGAAATAATGCCGACGAGGTAAGAGTTTTAATGATTTTTTCAAATAGAGGAGTTTCTTTTAATTATGTTAAGCTAACATCATAGTTTTATTTGATAATTTTTCTTTTAGCTTCCTCGTGCATTTCTCGTTCGCAGAAATGCAAGAAAAACGTAATAAACATGATGAAGCCCGAAACGCGTATGAGACATTGTTGTCTAACGTACAGTCACAAATTGTCGATATTGAAAAGGCCACCGAGGCTGAAGTTAAAGTTTTGATGCAATCATCTCCGGAAAGTGGAAATGAGGATGGTGATGCAATTGTAGAAATGGATGGTGAAACCCGAGAGCAATTAAGAATTAAAGAAAAAGAACGTGAGAAAGAACGACTTAAATTTGAAGAAAGTAAACAGCAGGAGATAAACGAATTAGAAGAATCTTGTGGACTTATCTGGATAATGCTAATGCGATTTACGAGACGGTCGGAGGTAATATATTTCAGAAAAATTTATTCCTATAATATATTAATTATATATTAATTATTAAATTAATAATAATATTTATTTCTGAAATTAGGGAATTAAGGCTGCTCGAGTCATTTTTAGTAGGGCAAGAAAGTATCGCCAATGCCCATATCGGGTATTTGTTGCTGCAGGTATTTTTTTAAAAAATATTTTGTGAATATCTGATTTACCTACTTTTCACTTCCTAAATTGTTCTAATCCTTTTTTTTCAATAAATCTAGCATTGATGGAATATCATTGTACTAAAGATCAATTAGTTGCTGCTAAAATTTTCGAATTGGGATTAAGGACTTATGGAACCAATCCAGATTATGTTCTCCAATATTTAGATTTCTTAATTCAATTGAATGATGATCTTAGTAAGTTTTCATTCCAATTTTTGTACTAAATATAATTTTTTACTTTAATTGAATAATATTGACTCAATTAATTCATATAGATGCAAGATCAGTTTTTGAACGAACTCTTGTGTTTATGCCAGCCGATAAGGCTAAAATAATATGGAAACGATTTTCAGATTATGAAAATAAGTATGGTCATATTATGGCAATTCAAAAGCTTGATGAACGAAGAGGAACAACATATCCTGAAGGTAACCACTCCGTAATCATTTTGCTTCTTGTTTTTTTTTTTATAATATAATTTCTTTCTATCAATATCTATCTATTTTTTAATATTAGAATCTTCACTAGAACACTTTGCCGAACGATATAGCTTCCTTGACACTAATGTTATATGTAAAAAAGAAGTGGGACCTAAACGTAATTAATTAATAGAATAAATGACGTAAATATTATTATATAATGATTTACATACTAATAATTTTATCTCTTTTATAGCTGATCCAGAATCGGGTTCGAGTTCATCAACAGCAGTTCAAAATGACGAAGAACAGGATGCCGCACCCACTAGACGAGCATTATTGGATTCAGTTCATCCAGAAAAATATCCTAGACCAGATTTCCGTCAATGGGTTTTATATAAACCTTCTGCAGAACAATTACGACGTCCATTTTTCCCACAACCTGGGGCTTCAGTTCAACAAATTACTAATATATCCACAACTGGAAGTTCAGTACAACCACTTGGTTCATCTCAACCTATAATTTCACAACCCCACGGTTCCACGTTACAATCCTCAACAGCGCCACAAGCTCCACAGAATATAATTCAGCCATCATTAAACTGGACCCGTGCACCAAATGGCATGATGGTGCCGGATACGGTTAATAAATTTTTATTAATTTTACCTCCACCATCAAGTTATAGTGGTATGTAATATTTAATTTGTCATTTAAAACTTTGTTTTATCGTTTTTACATAATATAAATAGTAAATATAACATCAAATATATTATCAAATATACATTATTAATAGGTCCAATAATAAATTCTAACGATTTGATGGAATTAATACGTAATTCTGTACCGACCACCAATATAATGAGTGTACCACCAACACAACATTCACTTCAACCACCACAAACAAGAGATAAAACTCGAGGAGGGAGTCCGGCTCGTGGGGATGGCAGGGGGTACACTGATGGTAGATATGGAGAAGGATCTAGAATTTATGATAGATCTATGGAAAATGGTCGAGGTGGTAGTGGGCCAGGTAGACTTGGAAAACAAATGAGGGTATGTACATAATGTGAAGGTTTATTAATCATTTTATTCCGAAATATTAATTATTAATTGTAATCAATAATTATTAATAATATTAGGGAGCAAGTTCATTATCACAACGTGGTCGAGGCACGAGTGAAGCAGGAATATCAACATCTCAATTCAATAAGCGCAGGAGGAGAGATTTTGACGAGACAGAAGAATTTCAGGGTAGAGGTAATCTATTGGATATTTCAATTATTAAAATTTTTATTATTCATATTAACTATTAATTAAATAATATATATATATATGTGTATATATAATTTAAAAGGTGGCCCGGGTATTAATCGACCACCTGATTATGATTTATTTCGAGCTCGCCAGCAGAGAAAAAGGGCTCGAAATGAATCATCATTCGGGCAAAATAGTGCGACAGTCGAATAAATGGTAAATGAATGCTACATATTAAAATTTTTTGTATTTAGTTAATAAAATATGATGTCGTAAGATATTACAAGATAATTTTTAGATTAAATAAATAAAAATAAATTTCAGGAATCAAAATTGATCAAAATTTAATATCATAATAATTATAATATAATATAATGCTGACAATTTTTCTTTTTTTTTCTTTAAATTATTGAGTCAAATAAATATATCAAATAAGTATCATGTATTTACATTTCAAGAATTTTTTTTTATAATAAATAAAGTTATTGTTATTACGGAAAATTTTAAAATACACATCACAATGATCAATATTAGTTAGGATTAGGGTTAAAGCTATAGTTAAAAATAGAATTTGTATGTAAAATTTTGCAAAGAACATTTTTTGTTATGACTCGAAAGGCGATTTCATAATCAAAATTTAAAGTTACAAGCAATTTTTAAAAACGAAATTTATTCTATCTTGAATATCGGTCGCTAAATTTCATTTAGGTTAGGTTACACGTATTTTATTGGCTACACTAAGATAAAAAACAATTAATTTATTGTTAGATCGGAGGGAGTACGTAATGTCACGCAAGGTCCTACGTTACACAAGTACACTCCTGACAATAATATAATTTTATTATCATTATATAATATATTTGAGCGTGGGAACAAACTTTAATTAACTGCGTGAGAATTATAATTTAATGACATCATAGCATCACCGAATCTTTATAAAAACGCCTGTTTTCCTCCTTTACAAGATATAATATTTTAAGAATTCTACTTTACAAAATGACAACTTATACTGATAAAGGGCCTAAACTTGATACCGCTAATTATGAAGGATTTGGTATTTATATTACGATCTTATATTTTTATTTATCATTATTTATTATTGTTAAACATTTAATTTTTCTTTAGATCATGTAAAATTTTGGGTCGGCAATGCTAAACAAGGTAAATACGATTTTTTTTTTTTGATTTAATTTTATTATGTTATTCTATAATTAAAACATCTATTTATATTTTTTCCTTAAAAATTTTCTTTATTATTTACCTTTTATTATTTTTAGCTGCTTCATTCTACTGTACCCGCTTGGGCTTTGAACATATCGGTTACCGAGGATTGGAAACCGGACATCGGGAAGTCGTATCTCATGTCGTTCGTCAAGGAAACATCAATTTCATATTCCAAACTCCACTTACTCCCAATGACAAAATAATGAGTTCACATCAAAGTCTTCACGGTGACGGTGTCAAGGATATTGCCTTCACAGTGGATAATGCTCGTGATCTTTATTATAACGCTATACAAAGAGGTGGTAAGCCAATTAGGGAACCATGGGAAGAAAAGGATGATGATGGAGTAGTGGTGATGGCCACAGTCGGTACTTACGGTGATACGATACACACTTTCGTGGAAAGAAGAAATTATCATGGAATATTTCTTCCAAATTTTAAACCTCTTGATTTCAAGGATCCTTTAGAGGAAACTTTACCACCTCCAAATTTACAATTTATCGATCATGTTGTTGCCAATCAACCTGACCTTGAGATGGAGAAGATTTGTGAAATGTATGTTTCTTTGATATCACGTGACAAATATAATTTTCGGTTATTTTAATATTTTTTTCTACTTATTTACATTTATTAGGTATCAAAATGTTTTCAATTTTCACCGTTTCTGGTCAGTCGACGATAGTCAGATACACACGCAATATTCTTCCTTGCGTTCAATAGTAATGGCTGATTACCATGAAAAAATTAAGATGCCACTTAATGAACCAGCCATAGGTCGTAAGAAATCACAAATCCAAGAATTTGTTGATTATTATGGTAAATTATTTTTTTCATAATTATGCCAATTTTTTTTTTTTTGAATTATATGACATTATTAAGTTAATAATAATAATTATTTAAATAGGGGGCGCAGGAGTTCAACACATTGCATTAAAAACGAATGAGTAAATATATAAAAAATTTAAATTTTTATAAAATACATTCACTAAATATAAATTACATAAATTTTGCTTAATATTATTTTCTCTTTACGACAGTATTATTACTAGTATAAAAAGTCTTAGAGCTCGTGGTTTGGAATTTTTGACAATTCCAGCTGTATACTATGATGACCTTCGTTCGCGACTCTCCACTTCAAATATCAAAATTTCCGAAGATATTAGTTTGTTACAAGAATTACATATATTGATAGATTACGATGAAGAAGGTTACCTTTTACAGGTAAATTTTTATATATTAATGAATATGAATATTATTTACCATGTAAAATATATAACATTAATAATTATTATTTAGATATTCACAAAACCATTACAAGATCGTCCTACGTTATTCATAGAAATAATTCAACGCCACAATCATCAAGGTTTTGGTGCCGGAAATTTCAAGGTAAAAATGAGAGCATATATAAAAAATATGTATAAATTATAGATAAATTATAGATAAATGATTTTTAACAAAATATAATTCTTTTTGCAAATTAGGCACTTTTTGAAGCTATTGAACGTGATCAAGATGCACGCGGAAACTTATTTTAAAATTAAATTGGCAAGTTATCGTGATAATGCTTTAGATAATCAATAAATAATAAACGAGTAATAAAGTGAACGATTTGTGTGGAAATTTACAAATTTATAAAATATCAAAAATATCTATTGCAGATCGATATAATCATTACCGTTTATTATTATGTTATAACAATATCCCTTAGATTTTCTTTTCTTTAAAACTAATTTATTTTTTTATTTATTTTTGATAGTATTTCATTTTACAATATTATATATATATTTATTTTTTTTTGTATAAAGTTTTCACTATGTACTTTAATATTTAGTTAAAATAAAACTACCTTCAAATGGTTATTAATTTTCAATATAAAATCTATTTGCGTTGTAACATTATTTATGTAAGGATGTTCCACTTTATTATTATATCAGTATCACAAGAGTTATTAATAGGAGTAGGGAAAAATCTGCTCCTATTGAACATTTTTAACTGAAAATAATGGTGCATGCTTATTTGTGACTCATTTGATTTTAATAATTAATTGATTGTATGAAATGACATATATTCTAATAAAACAAATCATTATGAAAACATTTATAAAATAAATTTTTCACATGATGTGAGGAAAAGTGAATCTATCTTACAAGGCTTCGAAATTCAATTTATGACGTGAAAATGAAATGTCTTGTATGGTGAAATTATACAAAATATAGGTTATTATTATGGTGCCAAAATTGTAATTTTCAAAAGGAATTACTTTATTTGACTGCTGTTAACATTAATTAATGTTTGAAACTCAAATAAAAAAAAAAGTATGGACATGGTAATATTTTTATTAAAATTTTCGATTAATAAAAGATTATAAAAAACTTCTTTTAATTTTGAAGTTCAATAAGCATTCTATGACAATCAGCTTGTGCAAGTGATCGTGAACTATCACTATAATCTGTAATGACGGAATTGAGTTGGTAGTTTCCGGATTCCTTGAATAAAAAAAAAAAATTTAAAATCATTTAAAAAAAAGGAGAAAAAAAATGAATGAATGAATTCCTCCTTTTGATATATTTTAAAGCTTACTAATATTGAAATGCAACACCAAAGCATTTTCCCCTTAATATTAGACCCTAGATGTCCTGAAAATCCGTTTAATGCATCTCCGATAGAATTCAAAATATCCTTGAAATAATAAAATAAAAATTTTTATTTACTCAAAATATATATTTAAATACACTTATATATTTATTTATTTATGTCTTACCTGCGAAACGTTACTTATCGCGTCGACCCAAATAGCTCCAGTTCCATCATCCAAATACCATTTTATGATATTTAATTCTTCATTTATTTTCCAATCATTAATTAAACAACGACAAACGAATTGATCAAGGTATGTATTACTAGCATATTTAGTAATGGTGTTTAGTGGGATTGTACAATTTCGCAAAGATGAAATTGCTAACCATCCTTTTGCTGTGCTAACTATTTTATTTCCAATAAAATTAATAAAATGAATCAAGATTTTTTTTTTTAAAAAAAAAAATAAAAATTATTATTATTCTTATTATAATGATTTATTATTTTACCATTATATACCACAGTTCCTATTGATGCATCACCATTAATATCTAAATTATCATCAAAATTTTTCCACGTACGTAACCCTTCTAAGACAATATATTGTCCAACTTGAAATTCTGTTACTTCACGTCCAATTTTTCCCCATAAGGTAATAGATACATATCCTATTAAAGATCGATCATTAATTTTTAATGGTAATTTAATGTTACAGAACAGATATCATTTTCTTTACCAGTCTTATCACTTAATTTTATTGCATATCGATCAACGGGTTTTCCGTCACTCAAAATAGGAGCCTTTTATTATTATTATTAATAAATTTATAGAAATTAAATGATTAATATTATCAATTTTATTCAAAAATCAATTTCTTTCAATATTTTTAATATTCACCTACATTCTCAGATATTCTTTCAAGTTTTCCATAAAGGGTCACATTTAGACCCCTTGATGGTAATTGATTCATAAAGAAACGCTCGTGATGAAATTTGTAATCAATCATGTGCTGAAAATATTATGAAAACTTTTAATTTTTTTTTTTTGAAGTGGGAATATATTAAATATAAAAAAAAATTTAATATTTACCAAATAGTCTCGATAATTAAATTTATTTTTTACCTCGCCTTTAATCTTTTTTGAATTATCCTCCTTATTTGAAATCCAAAAAAAGAAATAAATATGGATGAACATTAGGTAATCAAGTAATATAAAGTAATATGTACCTTACAAAGTTCACTCATTGGTAAACAAAAAAAAACAGTTAAATCACTATAATGAATAATCATTCCATCTTGAGTTTCAAGTCCACTTTCAACATAAGGCCAATGTATTCCTAAAAAGTCTCCCTAATGAAAACAGAAATCAAGGATATATTCAATTATCTTTGACAACAACTTACAGCACATTCATTTTAATCATTTACCATCTTAAATAAATTTGTCATTTGTATCTTGTCATCCAATAAAATCAAAGTTGCACATCGTGTACTTAACATATCGCGAACATATACACACACTTTATCAGAGAATCCTATTAAATTCGCTGACTCTTTAGGTCCTATATTAACAACCTTAAATAAAATTAAATTAAATACATTTAAAATATAGTATGTAATATTTTTTTTTTTTTTTTAAAAAAAAAGAAAACTATTTCTTCTCTTACTCTCATCCAAAACTGAAATCCTCTTCCATTACTAATATCATCTGACGTAACGTCAAGGAATGAATCAGTAAATAGATTATTAATAAATTCTTCGTCATTTGATGTTAATACAATTATTATATTTCCAGTGTTTAAAAATGTTAATTTAGGTGCTGTCTTTGATAATGATGCTCGATTGAACCTCACACGACGATCCTTCTAGTAAATTTAGAATCAAAAATAGATAATTAAAAAACCCAGTGAAATATAGAAAATTCTTTAATCCTAAAAATAATGATAAATAATAAATAAATAAATAATATACTTTACAAACAATTCAGGATAATATCCATCAATTGTAAATCGATATAACCTTGGAGATATATACATATCAACGGTGGAACTGCCCGAATTATCGGATAAGATAAATTGATGTATTTATAAATTTTAAAGATAATAAAAGAAATTTTTATTTTTATAAAAAAAAGAAAATTTTCAAATTAAAAAAAAAAAGGATATAATTCGATTTTGTTTGATTACAACTTTTAATATTTCTGACAATAAGTTCATAATCTCGAATTTTTGTATTGTAACGTGGAAGTATAGTACGAAATGGAGAGAATGCTGCAAAATTATTAATATTATTATTGAATTATTTTTTATCACTTTTTTTTTTGTTTAATTTCAAAAAAGAAAATCCTATTCGAAGAAGACTTTCATGATAATAAACATACTTTTCGGAATGCCTTTTCGATATTCAACACTTATATCTTGCCACTAAAAAAAAAAAATAGAAAAAAGTTTTTAATTCAGAATTGATAAAAAAAAAAAAGAATAATTTATGTTTTGTACATTTATATATATATATATATTTTATTACTTCTGAAAGTAACTTGTTCAACATGACACATTCTGTTAGTCCATGTGGGTTATGGGTAAGCATGTCTGCTACTCTAGCACAAACCCAACTCCTTTTTTTAAAATAAAATTTTTAAACTTAATAAATAAATTTCGGATAAAATTCAAAAGATTATTATAGACTAATTTAACTACCAAGACATAGGCTCAATTTCTGGTTCGTAAAAATTATTATTAGAAGAAACTTTGAAAGTTTTATTTTCATTTTCATTGTTCTCTTTGCTTCTATTAGCACGTTTCGTTTGATAAATTGAAAGGATTTTTGAATTTAACGAATTACAATAGTTTTCTATTAATCTTTCGAAATCCATAATTTTTCGTGACAAGTTTAATAATTAATAGGTGTTTAGGAATTTTTACGCGTAAAGATCGTGAAAATATGGTACTAACCAAATATAGTAAATATTGTTTAATTCATTACACACATTATTACATAGCTCTAAAATTTATTCAGTAAAGATCGAAAATGCCATCGTCTCTTATTTCACCTTCAGAACTTGATTATATTATTCGAGGAGTTGATGATAATCTTCGTGCAGATGGCAGAGGACGTCTTGATTATAGAGAAGTTATATTAGAGACAGGTTTAATTTCTCAAGCTAATGGAAGTGCTAGGTGTAGATTAAGCAAAGGTACAGATGTGCTTGTTGGAGTGAAAGTTGAAATTGGAAGTATAGAAATAGATGGGACTGATGAAGAAGTTGCAGCAATAGAAGCGAAAAGAGGCAGAATAGTTTGTAATGTAGAGTGGTATGTTATGACAATTAGCAATCTTTATTTATTTTTTTTTTTTTTGAAATATAAACCAGATTTTATTAGATTTTATTAAGTTCTGCAGTTCTCCTATCGCGTCACAGCAATTCGCTGGTAGAGGAGCAGATGATATCAATAATGAATTAACGCAGTTAGTTGATCGTGTTTTGAATGGACCACAAGGAGGTCTAAATCTCGAAAAATTATGTATAATTCCAGGAGAAGAATGTTGGATTGTTTATATTGACGCGCTTGTATGTAAAATTTAATTATAATAACATTAAATATATTATAATAAGTTTAAATAATTTACAAATTTTTTTACATTATCTGTTTTAGGTATTAGATTATGGTGGAAATATTTTAGATATAATATTTACAACTATAAGAGCAGCACTCCATAATACACGAGTTCCCAAGACAGTAATTGAAGAAGATAAAGAAGTGGAAATTTCTGATGATGTTGAGGAATGGGAAAGAATAGAAGGTTGGGAACTAGTGCCAATTTCAGTTACTTTAAATAAGGTAATTTTAAACTTTAAATAATTCAATTAAATCTAAATAATAACAAATTAATAATTTTTATTTTCATTATTATTATTTAGATTGGGACACGCCATATTGTTGATGCAACAGTATTAGAAGAACTCGCGACAAAAGCGAAATTATCAGTAATGGTTAACAAAAATAGTAAAATATGTGGAATACAAAAGATTGGAGGTGGAAGTATTGAACATAGTCTTTTAAATGAAATGTTGCAGGTATATTTTTATTTAATGTTGTATTATAATTATATCTATAAAAAATAACAAAGATAATTCAATATTGTTTTTTATTATATAATTTATTAAGACGGGAAGATCATTAGGACAGAACTTAATACATAATTTGGACAAGATGCTTCAAAAAGAAGAAGAGATAAATGCAAAACGTAAAATTGGTTTCTTTGCTTCAGCTTGAAATATTAAATAATTACTTCCAGTGTGGTTAATGTATAGGCATATTATAATTAAATTTTATTTTAAAATTAAAAAATAAAAAATAATAAATAATAAAAAATAAAAAATTAATTATAAAAAATAAAATTAAAGAATATTAAAAGTAAAATAAAATAAAAATAAAAATAATAAAATAATAAAATAATAAAGAATAAAGAATAAATATTAATAATAAAAATAAATGAAATTACACAAATATTTTCTAAAATATCAATTTTTGGATCAACACAATAAAATTTATCAAAATATCAAAAATAAAAATAAATTGTGGTTAGAAATCCATATCATAAAAACAGCATTAATCATTAATATCCTATACAATACTATGTAAATTAATAATTATCTTATTATTCCTAACTAATTTAATTTTCTAACCCGGTAAATTATATAAATAATTTTTGTAGAAGCATTTATTTGATTAAATATATAAAATAGTATATATAAATAGAATATGTAGAATATGTAAATAATATAATATAATAAGGGAGGGAAAAATTATCCGAGTATCAATCGTGATTATTATTAATCCACGAAATTACAAGAGAATTACAAACAAAAGGGAATAAAATAACAACTTGTATATATATAATATAATAATATAAAGATTGAATAAATTCTAAGCTACCTCTTTTAATGATGGGAAGGTTTGTATATAAATAATAATTATTTTTTTTTTAAAAAAAATTTCTTTTTTAGTTTTGTTTCCAGAAAAAAAAATTTTTTCGCCATTTATAAATGATACCACGCCCAAAAGTAGGTAATAAAGTTAATACCCAACACTAATAAAAAAATTCTATTGATTATAATATTGTGTTATTCTAATAATAATATAGTTTTTCGGGATTCATTTATTTATTAAATGAAAAACCTTTCTTCTTTGCCTTTTCGGGGGTAATCGGTCTACCTGACTCCAATCGTCTTTTCTTATCCTCCAACTCTAGACGTTGTTTCTCCAGAGCATCCTTCATCTCTTTATGACGTGTATATAATTCTTCCTCGGATTGTTTCAATTTAGCTTCTTTCTCTTGAACTTTTTGTTGGAATACCATTTTCATTTCTGCTTCCATCTTTTGTAGTTTGGCTTCATGTAATTGGCGTTCTTCTTCCATTTTAGCAAGTGGATTTACTTCTTTGAATACTGTTTGATCTTGCTGTACTCCCATAGTAACAAGTTTCTCTGAGCGATAATTTTCATAAAGCACATCATTGGTATATTCTTTAAGTTCTTCCATATGAGTTCTAACAAATAGAATAAATTATAAAATAAATAAAAATAAATATTACCGCATAAACTATCATAAACTATCATAAATTATCATAATTATCATAAATTATCATAAATTATCATAAATTATCATAAATTATCATGAAATATTTACCGAATTAACATTTGTCTAAGTTTGACAAAGTCATTATGCTCTTCATTATCAACTTCAATTACACCCCATGGATATTTACGTCCACGAACGCGACGACCATCAGAAAGTTCTACTTCTTTATCACTACCGACAATTGCAAATGGAATTTTGCTCTATTTTAATGATGGTGCCAAAATTTGATTAATTAAATTAATTAATTAATGAAGGCAAAAAAAAAAAAAAAAAAATAAAACTGAAAATTTTGTAAATTATCTTTAAATAAAAAAAAACTTACTATTATTTCACGATTTTCTGCCACTGTCTCATGATCATCATATTCATATTGTGGTGCTTGATAAATTAGAATTTTATGATATGCAATATCATCTAGAATACGTTGTTTAAATTGCTTAATTTCATCTTCAGTTAATGTGTCAGACTTAGCAATGACTGGAATGAGATTAACTTTAGTATGTAGTCGTCGCATAAATTCTACATCTAAGGGTTTAAGTCTAAAAAAAAAAAAATTTTTTTTGAAAAGAATTTAAAGAAATATCAAATTTTTTCAAAAAATTCAAATAAACTTTGTTCGATTCTTACGAATGGCCTGTGGGGGCAATGAAGTAAATGCATGCGTGAACGCGGTTATCAACCATCTTACGACGATTTACACGATTTTCTTGCTCAAGATATGCATCAAAACGTGCTTCGATATTTTCGAGAATTGGTTTCCAACTAAATACAGTAATTAAGAAAAAAAAAATAAATTAATTTCATAAAAAAAAACAAAGTCATATCATATATGTCATAGTGAATTCTTCTCACCTTTCCTCATTGTTAACAAAGTCCCCAAATCCGGGAGTATCTACTACTGTAAGTCTTAATTTAACACCATTTTCTTCGATGTCTAATTATTTATAATAATAATAATAATAAAGAAAAAAAAAGTCTTAAATATTTTTACAGGAACGAATCATAAGATAAAAAAAAATGATTTATAAAAAAATAAAATAAATAAAATCAAAAAGTGACCTGCACTAAGAGATTGTATTTCTACAGTCGTTGGTGTCTCGTCAGAAGGTTCTGCATCACCCTTGTGAGGATAAAGAGTTGTTCCAAACAAAGTATTAACGAGAGTTGATTTCCCTAAACCGGATTCACCTAAGAATAAAAAAAATTTAAGAAAAAATTTTCATGTTTTTAATTAAGATATTAATTATATCAAAAGCATCACATACCAACTATCATTACTGTAAAGTGAAATCCTTTCTTCACAGATTTACGGTGTACTTGGTTTGGAAGATTAGCGAAACCGACATACCCCTGAAGTTTTTTCTTGATAACGTTGTTTATAGCAGCCTATAAAATAGGATAAATAGGATGAGATATGTAAACCTCTTTTGACTAAAGAAATATTTTAATTTTAATATTTCAAATTATCAATTCATTCCGGAATGAAATCTTTTTCTTATTTAATTAAAACTTTACCACGTATCGAAAAACGAATTTTTTTATTTTTTATTTTATTTTAAAAAGAGTAACAAACTTACTTTCAAACTAGGGACATTGGGCGAATTATCTATTAGAGTATAAAATATTTACATAAAAATTTGAAGGTTAATTCTATCAAAATTAAAAAAAAAAAAAAGTTGAGTTGACTATATATAATATATATATAGCATATGCATATATATATATATATATATAGAAGAAAGAAGAGAATGAAAAGAGAGTATTGAAATTATTATGTAACTAGTTCTAGGGTAAATAACGTGTTTCATAATAAAATTTAAAAAAAGAATTTTATCAAAAACACGAAATGGTCAACAGGATGAAGACAGATGATGCAAGGACAAATGCATCGTGATAATAAGAGATATATTGAAACATTCAAGGCTAAATTCTTTATTGTAAGAAAATTATAATGATTCTTTAATTAATGACACGTACCAGACATTATTTATTACGAAAAATTTTATGATAACAAATACGATATACGATAAAGAAGAAGGAAAAGTGAAGGATATTTAGATTTAACTTATTAAACTATTTTGAAGGAGTGTATGGAGTTGGCGAAAAGACACTCAGCAACAACGAAACAACACAGATAGTTTTTCTTCCAAAGGGAACTAAAAAAGGTTGGTAAAATTTTTTTTTCTAGGGTGTGGTAGTTTGAGTTGTGGTGTGTCGAACATATGTTAAACGTAATAGTTCATAATAGTGAAATGTCAGAAATCGTGGGATGTTGATTACACAAATGAGTTACAAAGAATAACTAACAATAATGTAAGTGAAAAATGCCAAACCAATCAATTAAGTCATACTGGTTAGCTTTCCATTTATGAGAAATTGTAAATACATTTAAATTTGTATAAACCTTGTACTTCTTACAATGCATTTACCATTATTAGTTTATTAATAAAAGAAGTTCACAAACAGTTCTGTTGTGATCGCTTCTAAGTCAGTTATACAAATTATTATTTTTCAACCATTTATATTGTCATCTTTCCCCTCAAGTTGTTTGGTTAAAATTAGTGTCATTTGTTTTTTTTGCTAAATTCAGTGTTGTACCACATCAATAATAAGCATGACTCTAGATAATAAAATCCCTTTTAAAATACATTAAATATTAGTGTAAATAATTTTATTCAAGATTTGTTGTTTGATATTATATCTGCTAAATATTCCTAAATCGTTATGTTATCCAGTTTCCGTGGGAAATGTGAAAAATTGAAAAGTATTGTATTAAATAGTTTACTTAAAATAAAATCAAATTCTCCTTGAATTCTTTTGGTTAAAGTAAATTTTTAGTTAAAATATGTAAGTTTAAAGTGCAAGTGATGTAATTTTATATTAAAAATTTAAGAATTTATTATTTCAATGTTTTCTTGTTTTTTTTTAAAAAAAAAATTTAATCTAATAAGTTTATTAAAATAAAAGAAACTTAATAAAGCTCCCTATAAGCCGAGCCTGGCCAATCTCAAAAAACTTGAGCCTAAATTTAAAAGTTGTGCTCGGGTCGAGCCGAGCCCATATAATTTGAGCTCGGCTTGGCTCTCAAGCCTTAATATGGATTCTCGAGCCTTAATATGAGCTCGCGTGCCTTGATACGGGCTCTTGAGTCTTGATATGGGCTCTCAAGCTTTTTAAAATAATATTAGACGATTTAATAATAATATTGTTAAACCGCCTAAAAATATAACATTTGTTAAATCGCCTAAAAAATATCATTTTTAAATGATTTAATAAATATTTTGCTTAAAAATATTATTTTTAAGCGATTAATTATAATATTTATTAAATCGCCAAAAAAAAAAATTATTTTTAGACGTTTATTATTAAATCGTCCATAATTCTTCTAAAAATAATCTTTTTAAAAACAATTTAATAAATATTTCAAATAATATTTTTAGACGAATTATGGACGATTTAATAATTAATCGTCTAAAAAATATTATTATTTAAATCATTCCAATAATATTATTTTTAGACTTAATAAAATAATATTTTTAGACGTTTAAATAAACATTATTAAATCGTCTAATAATATTATTGGACAATTTAATTATATTAGGCTCATGGGGAGATCATTGCGGGAGTGGTCTTCGATCAGTTGACGATCTTTTAAGTGTACGGCTTGATTGGCAACTCTTATTTACGGAGTAAAAAAAACATTTGAACTTACAAAGTTGATAAAGTCTTGCGCAATATTCGCACTGTAAATCATCAATCTTAATATTCCAGTCACTATCCGTTAAATTTTGTTTGGAAAACTCTGTTAAAAAGTTGTGGACATTTGATGGAATCAAATTTTCAATCCTGTCATCAAGATCTTTAAGATATGGTTTCAGAAGAGTTGAAGGAAGTTTGTTTGTAAAATCTGAATCGGGTCTCAAGTCAATTATAGGATCATTCAAATAGAGTTTATTATGGTGTTAACAGATTAACATCATATTCTCGTAACATTGACCTTCGGCACCAAACAGATCTTGTAGTAATTTTTCATTTGGAATCTATAGAAATAAATACTATCAAATATATTGAACATTTACAAGAAGAATACAAATATTTACTGTTACCATTTGATTATCATCTATTTCACGTTTCCGTTTGGAAATTTCACACGGGGTTTCTGTTCCTGTAGTATATAATTTCTGTAAATGTATTAATTCAGTTAATTACTGGAGATGATGCAGTATATATTTTGTAATCTTCAACAGTAAGCTGAATTTCCGTATCGAAAAGTGATTTTTTTACAATTAATAACTGCCTTTTACTTTCTTCAATCGCCTGTAAAGTCAACAGTTTTATGTTACATGGATACATCGAATAAAAAATAGTAATCACTAATAAAAGCAATTTACCTTCGTATCCATTCTTTTAAAAAATGTCAAAACTACTTCAGATTCAAACAACTGATCCACCTCATTATAAAGTTTATTAGCTTTTTTTTTGTGCACTTTTTGACATTGCTTGGTGATTCATTAAAGAATGGACATAACTCTTAAATTCATTTTAAATTAATTCTTTGTCAGATGTTTTCAGATTTAAGGATTTATTTTCCAAATATTCTAGACATTTGAAGGGAGATCAGCATTTAAATTGAATTTGTTCGAAAAAAAAGTGAGATTATTTTTGGTATTTCCATTATCTTGTAAAGGATATAATCAAATATATTTAGTAAAAATATTAACAATATTTAATAATATAATCAGCGCAAGTGTATGTGGCTGCATTGATAAAATAGGTCTCTGGAAAAAGATCGGCACGCTAGGGCACTAAGGATAGTGGGCGTATATGACCCAAGCATCGACCATATAGGACTGTACTAATGGGTAATCCACACGATTATGGTCACATGGCCGTAGGATATTGCGTATGCAAAAATGATACCATTGTAAAAATTACTTAACGTTATACTTAATAACTCGATCGATACACGTAAAGAAAATATTATAAAAAGTCGCGTACTTCAAATTATTAAAAAAGATTTTTTTTTTTTTTTTTTTTTTTTGATTACAGTATATATGTCACGTGATTTATGATTTTGATTATTTAATGTGTAATTATAACATGTAATTATCCTTCAATTGTTTCAGTTTAAATAATTTTTATTCTAAAAAGTTTCCCATTTCCTTAATTCAAAAAAGAAAATTTTAACAATAGAGTCTATTATTAAAATTTCTTTTTTTTTTGAATTAAGGCAACTATTTATGCAATTTGATCATCAGAAAATTTTCAAATAATATATTTTTATAATGTAAAGACTATTTCTACTTTTTGTATAATCATTTTATTTTGAATGCTTTAAATAAATATTGTCTCAACTGTAAAAATATAAATTATAACAATAGTAAAGAATACTAAATTTTTGTTTTAATTATTTGTATAATTTATTTCAATCAAATATAAAATGTGAATAATAGACACCAATGTTTTATAATTGTTTTGTTTACTCTTATAACATTCCTATCAATTGTTACAACCATAGGAAATTTTAATAGGCGAGAGCCTCCAGAGTTTTCTTTACGTTTTTCGATTTCGTTCGCGATTTACAAAGCGTAGATCGATTTCTACTAAGATATTTCTATTTTAGAAACATCTTAGTATAAAATCGCTCTACGCTTTGTAAATCGTGAGTGAAGTCGAAAAACATAAAAAATCCTTTGGAAGCTTTCGTTAGCAACAAAAATCCTTTGGAAGCCTTCGCCTATTAAAATTTACTGATGATATCATTAAACTTTTCTATCAATTATATCAGTAATCACAAGACATTTATGCTTTATTTCACGTATACATCTATTTTATTTAAATCACTTATTTCTAGAAATAAACTTAATTGAATTTCTATAAAGTTTTGTTCTTTACTATTTTTATTATCAATTTCACTTAATTTTCATCTAATACTATTTTATTTTGCTGCCAATAAACTTTTTACATTAAATTCAAATGTATATTTTTCAATTAGTATAAGAATTATTAAAAAAAAAAACTTTATTTTATTTTCAAGTGTGTCTTTTTGAACAACAAATTTGGTAAATTGAAGTAACTTTGGATTTGCCAGAGTATTTTAAAATAATTTTAAGAAACTTAAAATTTTACAAAATATCAATAAATATTATCAATTAGTAAAAATTTAACAAAATTACCTTACAATTTTTTTGCTTAATAAAAATTATTAGTTAGAAGTCTGCTTAACATATTCATATAAAGAAATTATTCTGAAAAATATAGAATATTTTGTTATATTGCCTTGACAATTTTAAAATTTCCAAAAAAATTTGTAAAAATTATATAATTTTAAGAAAATTTCATCTTTTGATTTTTAATGTTAAATAACTTTACAGAAAAAATTTGAAAATTTAAAAATATCTGCTCTGCCCTTAAATTATTTATGCTGAATATGTGAAAATTATTTATTTTCAAATTATTCATTAAAATTAATGCTCTGATTAATAGAATACAAAGACCATAAATAATCACGCGATCCAGTATAATAAATCAAACTTATTTTTTTTTTACTCTGAAGCTACATAATGTCACAAACAGAGAGAAGGGAAGTATGTTACTTAAGGTGTACAATAAATTCTGAAAAATTAGAATTTACTTGGTCAATAAGCACACCATCTATATGGGATTGGATTATATGAAGATGATAGTAAAGCAAATAGAGAATGGTTTGATAGATATTGGTTCTATATGAGTACTCATAGCAATCGTTTGATTCTTCCTGATGGTCAATATTTATATTCTGGCAGTTATTGGATTGGAACTGTTTCTTGAAGAACTTGACAAAGATATATTTTTTACTAATTGATCATTAAAAAATTGAATTTATAAATAAGTATTACACTGTATATTGGACCAATTTGTGTATAAAGAGATTCTTTCAATTTCTTATATTCCTTTGTAATGAATTTCCAAAATTGATATAATTGAAATTTTTCGAATAATCTTTTATTGTAACAATTTTTCAGAATTAACATTACATATTATATCAAACTTTTAAAAATTTTCTATCGCATTTTATATGATGTATCAAAATGTTAAATACTAATGTCTATACCCAATAGAAGTTCAAATCAAATATCTGTCAGTTAAAGATATTTTTCCATTTTATAGCATACTTTCTCTGAAAGATATATAATAAAGTGTGTACTAAATTTGGATACGATCAGACGCGTGATGCAAAGTGAAATGCGATTGCTCTTGAGCTAAAAATAATCGTGTTCACGAAATTAGTAATCTCTTTTCCGTTAAAATCACGGGTAATTCTTCAATATTTTCACTTATTTTATACAAACGTAACTTTACATTCTTCGTTTATGTTTATATTTATATATATACTGTATATATATTTTTAACTTAAACTAACGCTTTTTGCTGGTGTCGGCACCTTACTAATTTATGGTATAGTACAATTGGCTGATAATCAAAATCTTGTGTGACCCATTACGCGTAGTATATTATGTGATAGATTTCACTTTAAAAATTCGCGTCTCTTTAATTATGGATATCGAATTACCCTCTGACTTTGAGGGTAAAAGAGCTTCATGTTTACATTTTGACGAAAATAGCCCAGGAAAAATACTCAATGAAAAGATACAGTATATAACTCAAAGTATGCTTTTAAACGTAATTTCTGCTTGAGATTTGTAATAATGGGCAAAGTTCATTAATACACAAGTCCAGACAAACACAAACTTATCAAAATTATCAATCTTAGATATAAATGTGAAAAATCAAATCATTGAATTAGAAAAACTTATTCAATGGTATGGCCTTGAAATACAACAATTAACAGAAATTATAGAAATTATTTTAAGTGGAAAATATGGTGAGTTTTCAGAAGAGAAATGATTTTGATAGTAAATCGCAATTTGTTCAATAATGAAAAAAAAGAATAAAGTGAGAAAATAAATTTAAACTTATAACTATTTTTCTCATTAGATGACGAGGATACTAGAAAATTTATTAAATTCCTCATTCCACGCACAAAAGTGCCTATTAAATTGATAATAAAGATTTTCGGAAGTCTCGGAGATAGAAATATAAAGCTTAAAATTCAGGTTTATTTAAATTATTATTATTTTTTTTTTTTAAAAAAAAAAACCATGATTATTATTTTTATTGATACTAATAAAATATATTTATTATATAAGGTTCTTTTACTTCGTTGGATTATTTTGGTTTATAATATTTTAGAAGACCATTCAGAATTGTATAAATTTTATGGTGTTTTATTTCATTATATGGATTATGACACGTTAAGGTAATTAAAGAAATTTCATTAAACCTTTAAAAAAAATAGATATATAATATTTTCATTATTTTAACAATATTCTTGACAAATACAGACCCTCACTTTGCCATCTTTTATGGCTTATGACTCAACGAGAACACGTAAAGCCATTTCGAATACGCAAAATGTATTGGAAATTTCTATGTAACTTTAAGAATCATAAAGAAATAGAGTTGATTTCTGATTAAATTTTTATAGAATAGAATTACAAACACGAGTAGGACCCGAGCCTCATCTTCTAGGACTATTAAATCTTTATCAAAATTATTCTCCCGCTTTGATTACAACTCGTGTTTCTACTACCAAAAGTATTGTATTTAAGGTAATTAAATATATTCTTTTTGATGTTTGTGTGTTTTAAGGAAAAACCCTCAAATGTAAATTTTTTATTATATTTTTTAAAGTGCCCAGATATAGAATGGTTTCTTCTATTAAATCAAGTTTATATTAGGTGGAATAATGATGGATCTTTACTGAATCCAAATGTAACGGTATATAGTAACCTTATTATTTAATCATTTTGATTGAGAAAGATTTTTTAATTTCAATTCTATTTCTTTTTAAAAAAAGAATAAACGGAGAAAATTAGAGATTTCATCGTCAAATACAATTAGTGTATTCAATACTTTTCAAGTAGGCATTGTGAATACGCAATAATTCGTCGTTATTTTTTTTTTGCTTTGTTTTAAAAATTGGTTTAAACTACAAAAACAGAACACAATTGACATAAATGAGATATCAGATGTTAAGCATCTCGCATCCATTATCGATAAAATAGAATTTCCAAACCATTTAGTTTCTATTTTAATGGAAGATCGAATATTACAGCATATTTTAGTATATGATCCCAAAGGTATGTTAAATAATATTAAAAATTATGACTCCAAGACTATTTCATATCTTGAAATTGAAGTTCGTATTTTCAAAATTTAAAATTCTACTTATTGACTTCGTGTTTTTTAGAAATTATTATTTTAAGATCAAATTATTGGATTCATTTATGTCTTATGGAATCTGTATATTTGAATGATTGTGAGACGCGACTTGATGATTTGTTGTTTAAGTTAGTGACAATGACTGAATTCTTAAAGGTAATAATATTAGATTATCTGGATTTTTTTTTTATATAATAAAATTAAAAATTTTTAATGTTTGATATGTAGGAACTTTTTCCCGTAGTTCAAGAATTTATGATTAAATATATCCCTTCATGGAATGGAATAGCGCATCAGAAACAAATGTTTAAGCTTTTGGCTTATATCAGGCCTGGATCTTTTAACCGTTGGTTTTTTTTTTCTAAGAATCAATATTTTGTTTTCTATCACGGTGACAAAGTAAATTTACCCGAGAATCTTTTTTTTTTTTTAAAAAAAAAAAGAAATTTTAGCTAATTTTTTGAAACCATTAAAAAATTTATTTAAAATTTCTTCAGCCACTTGGAAGGTTTGAATTGGGTTTCTAATTAATACTATTAATACGTGAATGATTTAATTTTTATATTACTTATCTATTCTTTTTATATATAGGCCAAATTAATACATTGTTATAAAGATTTATTAATATATTGGATTTCACTTTATGTAAAAAGTCAAAAGTCAGAACAAGAGTATCTTGGGTAAAGAAACTGCACTGAAATTCTAACTAAATCATATTTTCGCGTTTGAGTTTTTCATTAAATTTAAATATTTTTTTTTAGTGAAAGTTCAATATTTAAAGATGGTATTAATATAACGGATATTCAAGATTTTGCTGACTATATTATCCAAAATGTTCTTAATGTATTGCCATAATTATTTTATTTATTATTATTATTATTTTTTTTAAAAAAAAATAACAATATTTTAATGAATTTTTATTTATTTGCACAATATAGGTTGAAAATGATAGTATAGAAATACAACATGCAGTACTTTCTTTTATTGAAAACTTTGCAGTTTTACAAGTTGAATATTGTTGTTGGGATAGAATAATAATTCCTTCGTCTTCACTTATATATCGATCATTCTTTTCATCCTCGGGAATGGCTTTATCAAGAACTTGTGGTTTCATGTTAAAGTAATTAATGTTGTTATTTATTATTTATGTCTTATTATGACTTATTATTTGATTTATTTTAGATTTAAAGAGAGTTTCGAGAGGGCTTCGAATTGTAATAGTCGAGATTATATTAAATATTTCAATTCGTTTGCTATTGATATATGTAATTGTTTGTGGAAAAATCGTCCTTTTAATAAGACAGATAAGGACGCGAGAGGATTTCATATAGAAGAGTGAGTTCACGATTTATTACACAATTAATTTTTTTGTTGTTACTGATCTTTCTCCTTCCCCTCTCTCTCTAAAGTGTTGTCATCGACCAAATGCAAAAAATGTGTGGAAATGATTACTCTAATTTTTTTTCACTGATGTATCTACCATCTTTTGCCACAATATCTAAAAACTGTGCTCAGGTAAATACTTTTTATGTACTAAGGCAAGGAAAACTTGATATATTATTATTTATTTATTTATTTAATACATTTTTATAGTTAGGTGAACGCGAAATCTCATATAACGATTTTCGTGTTCGTTTATTGGAAGAGCTTTTGAGTTATGGATACTTCGGATTGTATGATTTTTTGTATCAATACATAAAATCGTCGGTTCAAGACAAAGAATAAAATTTAGTTTTCAATAATAATTTCATTGTCGAATTATTTACATAAATTAAAAACATCTTTATTAAGAGAAACTTTAAAAGATAAATGAAAAAAAGTTATCTCGCATTTTTATGGTCTGGTTACAAATATTTTGAAAGTCTCGCAAGATGATAATTGACTGTATTTGATCGGTTTTTTTGTGATTTCTTTAAAGTGTATAAATGTAAGTAAATCCCTTCTTTAGGTTTTATTTATAATATTAGAATCTATCATAAAATACTAACCGCATTGCGCATACAATCAGTAAGGGCTTGAACAATTTGCTGACAAGAAGGAGAATCCGGAGAATTATTTGACCAACAAGTTAAAACAGCAGCAGTTTCAGGAATACAAGCGCCAAGATTTTCAACTCTTTTTGGTCGAACTTTAAGTTTTTCTATTTTCATAATTATAATAATTATATTTCTTTTTTCAATTTTCCTTTTCTCTCAATTTTCTTGAGATTTTCACGTGACATATCTGTTTTATTGAAAACGTGGAAAAATAATTAAAATAATTAAATTTTTGATTTAAATTTTAATATCCAAATGTATTAAATGTCGTGTCAGATACCGACGTAGTCATTGTCACCATCATACATTCGCATATACGAATAATATGGAAAGACGATTCATACCTTTATCATCATATTTATCGAAAGAAAGATAAAAATTAAAAGATAAATTCAATACATACCCAATTTAAAAATGACAAAATGGAATTTGGTAAAAAAAATTTTCACCAGATTTATTAAAAAAACCAGGAATAGTTTCATCTACATCGTTGTTATCTAAATTTGGGGAATCAAAATAAAACACAACAGCGATTTCGGAAGTATACGGATTACGTATGGTGGCTTGCAAAAAAAAAAAAAAAAATTTTTTTTTTTTTTAATCTGGATTTTATTAATCCAATCAAAACAAGTTTTTCTCGAGCTATTTATTTCTCTATTTTTATTATTTTATATTAATTGTTTTGCTTTCTCGATCTCGATTAATTACTTTCTCCCCACTCTTAAACTTTAATATATAATATGGAGGGCCAAGGCCAAAAGAAAAACTTTATTGTTGACTTTTTGATGGGTGGTGTTTCCGCCGCCGTATCAAAAACAGCAGCAGCTCCTATCGAACGTGTCAAACTTCTCATTCAAAACCAAGATGAGATGATCAAAGCTGGTCGTCTTAGTAAACCTTACGGTGGTATTGTCGAATGTTTTACCCGAACGGTCAGGGAAGAAAGTGTTTTGAGTCTTTGGCGTGGTAATACTGCCAATGTGATTCGATATTTCCCCACCCAAGCCCTAAACTTTGCATTCAAGGATAAATTTAAGAGGATGTTTAATTATAAAAAGGATAAAGATGGATATGCCAAAGTCTTTCTCGGTAACATTGCGTCTGGTGGTGCTGCTGGTGCAGTCTCTTTAACTTTCGTGTATTCACTTGATTATGCCCGAACTCGTCTCGCAAATGACGCTAAAGTTTCTAAAAAGGGTGGTGGTGAACGTCAATTCAATGGTCTTTTGGACGTTTATCGTAAAACGTATAAATCAGATGGTATCATTGGTCTTTATAGAGGTAGGATAATATTCTTAAAAAGAATTTCATTGACCAATCATATACGTACTTATTTCATTAATTGATCTCATATAAATTCTATAATATAAAATTGATATTTAGGTTTCAATATTTCATGCGTCGGTAAGTTAAAAAAATTTAATTACAAAGATTAAAAAAAATATTCAAACGATTCGATCGTATCGATTGTAACAATCATATTGATGCATCATCTGATCATACGCTTGATATTATTATATTATTATGATAACTAAAAAGAATATGAATTTATCATTTGATCTTGATTAAAAAGGTATCATAATCTATAGAGGTCTTTACTTTGGTATGTTCGATTCTCTGAAGCCTCTTGTCCTGACTGGTCCTCTCAAAGATAATTTCCTCGCGTCGTAAGTATCTTCGATCAATGTCATTTATTGATTATATTATAATATCATAATTCACGTTTATAAATTTTAAAATTTATTTTGTTAGATTCTTGCTTGGTTGGTCTGTTACTATCGGAGCAGGTCTCGCAAGTTATCCTATTGACACAATACGGCGTAGAATGATGATGACGTCAGGTGAAGCTGTTAAATACAACTCTTCTTGGCATGCATTCTCTCAAATTGTCGCCAAAGAAGGTCCAATGTCATTGTTCAAGGGTGCTGGAGCCAACATTCTTCGTGCCGTTGCTGGTGCTGGTGTTTTGGCAGGGTAATTAATGTTATCCTAAATTTTCTTTTATTGTAAATTTTCTTTAACTGTTTATTAATTTTTTTTTCTCTTTTTTTCAGCTATGATAAACTCCAAGTCCTCTTCCTCGGTAAAGCCTACTCTGGAGGTTCCGGATAAGAAATATATTAAAGAATAACAATAAAATATGTCAAGCTTTTTTCTGTTTATTTTTTTATAGAAGATAATTTTTATTTATTTTCATAGTTTAGATTATTTATATTATGGTAATTAGTCACATGCCTTTTTGATATTCAATAATAAAAAAAGCCACGGGACATTAGATAAATGATATAAATCACACTCAAATTTTCCATAAATGCATAAAAATATATATTTTCAATAAAAATTGAAAATCTAGACATTATACTTTTACAAAATAAAAATAAAAAGAATTCATCAACTTTTTGTTTTTCTTTATAATTCTTTATAATATAAAAAAGTATTGAAAATAATAAATGAGACAAACTAATTAAATTGGGTATACTTTAAGAGATATTTCTCTAATTGGTAAAATCTATAGCTTATACTTGACAGAAGTAACTTTAAATATTAAACTCGAGAAAATTAAGAATTTTTAATTAAATATAATATAGTTTTCCAGTAAAAGAAAATTATTGTTATAAATTATTTATTTATTATTAAAAATTGGCATGCTTTGGCTTTATTACGTATAAATATTATTAATATGATGACTTACAATTCTTCCGGCGTGGGGTCATCATAAGATACAAAGTATTTTTTTATTATTATTATTAAAATTTGAATAAAACATTATAAATGTTAACATTCTTAGGGTGATCAGGAGAATAATTACCTCAAAGGGTTTACTTAAACTCCGCGTTATTCTTACGAATCCAACAAATAATGTGCAGTATACAAATTTCTATTATTTATTTTACTTTAACGTAAAATCAAAAAAATCAAACATACATTTATTATTTATTTTTTATACGAAAATGCAATTTAATAAAAAAAAAGATGTAAAAAAAAAAAAATACAAAAATAATAGATTACTTTATAATTATTCTATAAAACTAAAAAAAGAAAATGCATAGATTATTGATTGAGGAAGTGTACAAATGTAAAAGTTAAATTAAATTAAATAATTTTTTTTTTTTCAGGATAGAATGAAAAAAGAAAGCTTCCCAAATTGTCTTTAGATAAAAATATTAACAAAGATTTTTTTTTTTTTTGATTATATTGGTACATCCAATTTCAAATTAACTCCAACAAATATAGGTCCAGCAATTAACCCAGAAAATAAAAGAAACATTATTAAAAATAAAAATCCATATGTCCACATAATACGTGATCTACGTTGCTTCTGTTTTTGTGAAAATATTGGTTGTCTAATTTGTTTGCTTGGTCTCAACCAAAATAACATGGTGGAATGCAATTTATCTATCCAAGGAATTAAACATACAGGCCCTAACATGAACAAAATGATGTGACCCAATATAAAGTCAGCTGCAAAAAGTGACATCTCAACGATTTTACAAATATATTCGCGGAATGGTTGCGTAAGTTTTGAATTTCCTAATCCACGACCGTTCCATTTTCCTGTCCACCAAGCTTTATTTGTTTCATCATGCTTAAATTCACGAGATAAAAATATTATGATCAAGACTTTAAAAATAAACCTCTGAATTGCGGCCAATGCGATCATCCCTAAGATAGCATGAGGAATATTCCATGCTTCAATGTACCATAGTAATTCAAATGCACCGATTAAACTAACCACTGACCACGTGTGAGCAATTGCTGCAATCACTGATCCAAATTTGTTGAAATATCCATTTACAATTGGACCCAGACAGAATGAAATAAAGAAAAGACCAGCCAACATAATAGAATTTAATAGAATTGGTATGACTGCTATCGAACAGACACGAATAATAGCGCTTGGACCATTGTTTGGTTGTCCAGGATTTAAAGGATCAAAACCTTTTACAAACGAAAATGCTATGACACATAGAGCTGCCAATATAAATGGTGACAAGATTTCTGATGCAAAGATAACAACAAAGTTCGGTCGGGGAATATCACTAACCAATTTCTCTGAAGGATGTCCTAATCGTTTACGTTTATAACCAGTAATCATCGTTCTAGAAACACGACAATATGCGATCCATGAATTTGCGTGGGATTTTGAATTTCCTCGAGACATCCATCTTAAGAACTCACGATAATCGACAAGAAAATCAATAAAAGAAAATTGATGTGGGTTGAATATGAATGGTGATATTACCAATGCGATAACTGATACCCAAAAGTAAATTAAGTGCGGAAGCCACATAGTCAATGATACAAATAATAATATCAACAAGATTCTCATGCCAAAATAAATACTTGGACCAGAAAAACGGGAATATAATATTGCGAATGGAATACGAGCAGTGGCAAATCCACGACCAGTGGCAATATAACGGGCACCACCAAAATTTAGATTTGCCATAATACCATTAGCATAAATCTGGGTTGTAAAAACTTCAAATAAGGGGGAAAGTGACATAAAATGTTTTCCAAGCCGAGTAAAGCTACGAGTGAAACCTTTTTCAGATGACTCTTGAATGAATAAAGGTAAAAACGCCACGAAGAACACAAGAAAGATCGAGGTGATTGAACGTTTGATCCAAGCGAAAACAGGGACTAGATTATAACATCCTGGGGGACTAAGTTCGGCAGTTGGATCAGGATTGAAATCACATAACGTTAAAGTAGAGGCCATAGCACCGATGAACATCATTCCAAACATGAAAAGTTGTACCGATAACATAATAAAGATATTATTCACATGAAATCCAGGATGTGCATAATAAAAGGTCAAGAATCTATCCAAAGGAAGCTGAGTGCCTAGGTAATAGTATTCACGAGATAACATTTGTTCTCCCATACCAGTTCCAATTTTGGTGGTAAAGTGAAGAATAGATCCAAACCCAAGATCACGACCTTTACCACATTGATAATATTCAGTATGCTTAATACGTCCACCTCGATTAAAAGCACTCATCCCAGCATAAATATCTTCGTTAAGATGTAAACCCTTTTGTGCTTTTGATATACCTATTTTATATACATATATATATTTTAAATTCGTATAAATATTTTATTAACTTTTCCTAATTATTTTATACAAGATACAAATAAATAAATAAATAAACGTACCACCACGAGTTATCATAAATATGGCATTTAAGAAATCCGGATGTCCATAATGTAACCTAGCACCTACTTTGGCCATAATCCTTTGAGACAATGTACCAAAAGTTTGTTCTTTACCGGCCGCCACATCACCAAGAACACCATAATTTTCAGAGAAGATATATTCTCGAGCACCAACAATTGCTACAGGATCTTTTTTGATTGATTCAGCAGATGGAGCATAAGGAGATGTTGTAGGCATTTCATATTGTTCAAATTCTCTTAAGACACTACGAATCTTTAGACATTCTTCAAGGTAATTATCTTGATTAGCATCAACCAATTGTAAATATTCACCTCGATAAAAGATGATTGCATGATTTTGATTGTCAGATTTTCCATCTCCAAGGATCGGATTTCCGGGAAGTTGAATACGGAATTTAGGTTTTCTTTTTCCATTAGATAATATTTTACAATGACCATCTATTAATACGGAAAATATTTTTGGTTCTTCTCCTTCATTTTCCGGAGGTACTTCATCAAGATAAGCAATTTGAAGATCCGGGTAAGCACGTAATAAGAATTCGGCATTTTCTCGTTCTTCATTATTGAATTTATCATATCTTTGCATGGATACTAGGAATTTGAATTTGCGACGAGCCAAGGCTGTCATTTCTTCTTCAAGTTTTTCTGGATTATTTTTTAAATTTGAAGTGATTTCGGGATTTTCAACACGATACAAAAGTTTGATCGCTTTTGAATAATTCATGAATCCGGATATTGTACGATATAAGGTTTGAGATCGAAGTGAGGCCCATATACGTGTACGTAATGTATATTCAGGTGCTGATGATTTAAATCCAACAGAGTAAAAAGCTAAGTCATCATTTTTTTTATCTTTAATTGTTTCTATTGTTGAAGCATTACTATTTGATAGAGATAATTGTGGTGTTTGTGGAGTCATATTCTTTTCTTCAACTACTTTACTGTCTTTAACAAAATTATCCCATTCTATTGGATGTAATTGTTTCAAATATTCGAGTAAAGTAACTCGACTATTTTGATCCTCTTCACGAAGAATTTCACGAAGGGAAAGAAGAATCTTTTCAGAATAATGAGGAGTCAATACTGTGAATGTGGGCATATTTTGGATTGGTAATGGATCTGGAATTGTAGTTGATAAACTTTGTGCAAAGAATGATATACGACGTTCTGCTTCACTTTGTGGTGGAAAGAAATAATCTGAATTGGGAGATTCGAAAAATGTAGGGGGATTTAACGATTGCTGTCCATCTTCTGAAAGAACCTGAATATATTTTTTTTAAAAAAAATAAATATTAAAAAAAAATCAATCTTTTTAATTCTTTAAATTCTTCTGATTTTAATTTTTAATTTAATATATATACATATAATATTAAAAATTAAATAAATAAAAAAAAAAGTAAATAAAAAAAAATACCTTTTGATATAATAACTTTTGTACATTTTCCATAGACACAAAATGTTCTCGATACATTGCAATAACGATCGCGTTCCAAATTTGGGGAACAAGAACTGGTGGTTTGTATTTTATTTCCATGTTTGTAGCTGCTAAAATCTTTGAATATATTTTCTCGGGTAACATTGAATAGATCTTTTTCATTGAAGTCCAAATGGACATTCCGAGATATAAAGCGCGAACCGCCGAAAAAATGGCACTCCAAATGATATACCATAAATAAGTATCCAAAAAGAAAAGTACAAGTTCCATAATAAACATAATCACAATTGACATTACAGGCATATAATAACAAAGCATGTCTCCAGCCAGTTTATCATTACAACCAATAACTCTTTGATCGTACATTGCTTTCAAAGGACTACTGAAAGAAAGTGACATGAAAAAATAAGATTCAACTAATTTACATCCAAATACACAACACCAAAGACTAATTGAGATTGCTCTATCAGTAGTATTTAATGTTGGATAATTAGCTGTGAATGTTTTAATCGCCTTATATCTTTGTGAACTTTTATTCAAACTACCAAATAAATTTGCACTTGGTACTATAGCAAAAGTTAATGTTGTTAAAAAAGAAATACCGAGTTGAGTCAATGCTATTATTAAAGAAGTTGAAGTTGAACGTGCTCTCGTATAAATGTAATAAGTAGGAGCGGTATTAATAATTAATATGATAAATAGAAAAATGAGTCGTTTTGTTAACATCGTAACATTTTCATTATTGAGAGGAATAAATAAGAATTCACAAATACATCCAATTATCATGAATAAAGTTGCCACAGATCCACCAAGAGCGACCATAGAATAATGAACTGCTGGTTCAGATACACCTGGATCCATATAAAGGAAAGGAGAATTATAAGCGGTATAATAACAAAAGGTTGCAATATGAATAATCCATATACGAGTGAAATTAACGGCAAGATGAAACCATGTACGCTTTTCTTTATAAGTTTTTTCAAAAACATTTTTCCAATCTACTTGACCAAGCATTTGATATCTTTGACTAGGAGGAAATGCCATAAGACGTGTTGAATTATTATCTTTTAAGATTATACGATCAATACTCTCAGGATGCCAAAATAATTGATTAATATCATCATAACCTATTATATCAACGTGATCTTTTTCTTTTCTAACGAATTTTCCACCAATTATTTCATATCCTTGACCACGAATGTAACGATAAAGTGGAGTAACTATATGTTTAAGATATTCACCTTCCGGTACTGGATGAACTTTTGATTTGAATTCAAGACTTTTAGAGTAATCATCAGCAAGTTTGAATAAAAAGCATAAACATTCACCAATAAATCTAATTTGAGCAGCTTCACCCCATAATAAAAGCCATAAAGCAATTTGACGTAAACGATCATATTGAGACATTTGATTCATACGTTGATTCCATCGTCCGTTGAGATCGTCATTATTTTTTGGTTTATGATTTGTATGATTATCAACATCATCTAAATCCATTCTAGTTGCAAAATACCATTTACGATAATTAGAATTTTCACCACCAATAAAATCAGCATGAAGTGATAATAAAGCTTGAGAAGGAGACATTCTTGAAGCACGTGAATCTAGCATACACATTAGATGATCGTACATATTATTCATACTTTCTTTTTGAAAACCAAATTTATTAGTTAAATCAATGAAAATATCGTAAATTTCCTCTTTTGATACAGGAACTTGATGATTATCAGAACTCCAAGCAACATAAACAGTTTCCGAAGATTGATTTCCACTAGGTATATGAGGATAATTTAAACTATAATTACTATTATATTGTTCCGACTTATCACCATCATCATCATCATAATTATTATTATCATAATAATTATTATTTTCATTATTATTATTATCATAATAATTATTATCTTCATTATTATTATTATTATTATCATCATAATAAATATTATTATTTCCACCAACAGCAATAGCATTATTTCGAGAAGTAGGAACAAATGAATTATTTGTTGGATTTGTTGATGTAAAACCTTTTGATAAAATTATTTAAAAAATTATTATTATTATTATTATTATTATAAAAAATTAATAAATTAATATGATTAATAAATAAAAAAATTAAATTAATTAATTAAATTATTACGAACCATAATTTGATGAATTAATAGGCAAAGCTTCCGCAGGATAAGCAGGTTCTTCTACAAAATCTCTCTCATTATCACTATCGTCATAAAATTTTGATATATCATCCATCGGATAACTATCATATTCTTCTTCTGAATTACGCCTATTTTGATCACGTGAATGAGAATCAAAATATGAAGCGGGATTATTAATATAAGGTGAATTAAGATATTGTTGTGGCCTAGGAGTTCTTGGAGTAGGGATTTGAAAATGAGGACTAGGTAATTGTTGTTGTTGTTGTTGTTGTTGTTGTTGAGGAAATCGAGGAGATGGTGAATGAAGAGGAGGCGGAGGAGGAGGGGAATTATTATGACTATTCTGTCGTGGTGGTGGTGGTGGAAGGTAATGTGGCACATTTGGTTGATGATAAGGATTATTAGGAGGGTTGCGTTGTCCGTATGACGAACCTTGGTATTGATTTCGATTCGGTCGTGGTGATTGTGATGATAGTAGTGGTGGTGGTGGTGGTGGTGGTGGTGGTGATGGTGGATGTGGATGTGGAGGACCATAATTTAATCGAGGTGGATTATTTCTATTATGTTGAAAATTATTATTCTGGTAAGCCATTTTTCTCTCCTAATCTAATTATAATAATTATTGTGTTGATTAATCGGTTGTGTGAAAATGGAGGTCGTTACTATAATCTTTTATTATAATTTATAATTTTTTTTAAAAAAAAAAATATTATGTACAATCAACGAAGTTGCTATGAGGATTTTTTTAAGAAAGAATTTTTAATTGTTGTAGATTCTTGTATATTTTATCTAATTAATAACAAAAAGAAGATTGATCGGTTTGAATTAGTTGAATTAATTGAATTGACTGAATAACAGTAGTAAATAAATATATATTATTTAAATTTACCTTACAATCCCTTCTTTCTTTCTTTTTCTCTAATCTTTTTTAATCTTCTTTAATCTTTTTGACGTAGACCTTTGCGTTCACTTTTTATTTCTTCTATGCAGGAAAATTTCAAATTTTGGTGTACATTGACTATTTTAATAATAATAATAATAATAATAATAAAAAAGACCGAATAATAAAAAAGTAATTTTTCTCTAATAATTAAATTTTTATTAAAATTTGCTTTATTTTTCCTGCGAAAAAAAAAACTAATAAAGAAATATTAAATAATAAATAAATTATTAATTAAAAAAAAAAAAAAACGAAAAATAAATAAATAATTTTTTATGTATATTATAAAAGGGGTTTATAGGTTGTGACGAGAGAAATGGTAAGGGTAAGTTTATAATAAAAAAATTTGAGAGAAAAAAAAAAAAGGAAAGGTGATGGGAAAGGAAAAAAACAGGGGATTGCTTTAGTTTACTAATACGCCGTCCGAAGAACAGTGATAGCAACGAAAAGCAAAAGAAAAGAAATAATTATGAAGTAATCAAGAGAAGGTACGACAACAAAGTTAGATAAATTAAGATACTGATTTTTTTGTGTTATTTGAGATTTCCATAATAATCATTTATTTTATTTGTTATTAGCGATATTGAGGTATAGTGTGCCATATAATACTTTACTGTACCTTATTATAAATCTGTTATACTTTCAAATTATCGTAGTGTAATAAACAACAAAGTGGTATAAATTTAATAATATAATAAATGTAACGAGTCAATCGTTTGCGATTATCGCAAGTATAAATATAGTATAAAGTAAATATTTATGACCTATTGAGGAAATATTTAATTACAGCAGTGTAACAAAGTTAAAAAACTTGAATGGATAAACAGAACAGTAAAATGCAAGAATTGAATCAACCAAAGAAAAATTTGAATAAGTAAAATGCATCCATTAAAAATTATTTAAAATTATTTTTGCTTAAACCAATTAAAGAAAAAATGACAATTAACTAATTCGTCTTTAATTTAATTTAATGTAATTTATTGGACATTGACATTTGAACACTAATTATACTGATTATGCATTATTTTTTTGTTAAAATAAAATAAATGTCTTTATTAGAGATGCAAAGCCGTAAAAGGATTAATTATTATTATTATTATTATTATTATTATTATTATTATTATTATTTATTTTATAATTTATTATTTTATAATTTATTATTTTATAATTTATTATTTTATAATTTATTATTTTATAATTTATTATTATTATTTTTTATTATTATTTATTATTATTTATTATTATTATTTTGCAAGGTGAATTTATTGAATTTATGTTTAGTGACTTCCAAGTAAGAAAATTTAATTTTAATTCATATCGGACAAATACAAATATTATCGTTACTCTCAAGTAAAAATTTAAAGTTCTCTTGGTATCGCTAAAAATAAAATAAACTGGGGAATTTGAATTGCAGATTGATGAACAAATCACATTGAGGATCTTAATCAAAACAAAACGGTAATAATAAAGAAATTCTTTTCTTAATTTATAAATATGAATTTCTTATTTAAAAATCTCACAAATATATATTTTCATCCCGTATATTTCATATAATGATACAAATTAATTTTATTTGGAATTAAAAAAAAAAAAAAATTATTGGAAGAAAAATTTATTAAAGGAATTAAAATCCCTTTATCACAAGTTTTTTTCTATTCAAACTGTTTAACTAAAAAATTGATTAAAATATGTCACAAACAAAATTTCCTTTCTATAAACAGTTAAAGTAATATTTGATATTATATCAATATTATATTTACATATATACTTATTCCGAAAAGCATAATTATGTGTTCAAGGAATTCTTGTACAAATAAATTTCCCCAAAATGACTAGAGTTTTGAAAACAAAGAAAGAATAACTTCAAAAAATAACTTTGAAGGCAGTGAACCTGGAATTTATAATTGTTACCAAAAGTAATTAATTAATTAATTAATTGACATTTCAGTTTTGTATATATTATATTATACTATTTATATTGGTTGCTCGCTTTTTTTTTTTTTTTAAAAAAAAAAAAAAAAGATTTACATCTTTCTTGCCGTATTTTTTTGAAATCGTTATGAAAATGAAGGATATTAGTAATAATTTTATGAAATTATCATTTAATTAAAAATGGGGATTATATAATAATATTTAATTAATAATTAATATATAGTGATTATTTAATGATTACAATACAAATGATTACAATACAATGAATACAATGAATTAGATTTATTTTTAAGAATAATACATACCAACAAACCATCGAGGTTGTTGTAAATTTATTATTCCTAAATTATTAAAGAATTGTAATATTTCATCTTCTTTGGTTTTTGCCAACATTTCAATTTGAGACATTAAATTTAAATCGAGTTCATAATTTTGATTAAAATGAGAAAATCTAAAAAAATATAAATAGGGTGTAGGATTATTTATACCAGAATAATCACGATATAAACCTAATGGAGCGATATATTTATTTTTTATATTTTTTATATTTTTTGGATTTATTGGATTTGCGATTACTGGTTGAGGAGAACTATTTAAAATGAATTCAAGTGAAAATTTATCTATAGGAGTAGTTGGAGTTGTACTAACAGAATAATTTTCAATTTTCCTTTTCTTCTTTACAATATCATCATCATCATCATCTGATTCTAATCTTCTCTTTCTTTTTTTATTTGTATTATCTTTAACATTTTCAATATTCATTATATTCATTCTAATTAAATTTTTAACTTTTTCTTCACGTATTTTTAAAATTTCATTTTCAATTTCATTCAATTTTACTAAATCAAATGAATGATTAAATGGATTTCCAAACATTTTTTTTTGTAAAAGTAGTTCTTTAATTTTTTTATCTTCGTTGTCATCATTTTCATCGTTGTCATCATTTTCATTTTTATTTTTGTTGTCATTGTTGCCATCTTTATTATCTTTATTATCTTTATTATTATTGTTGTTATCGTTGTTGTTGTTATCTACACCAATGTTTTCATATGATTCTAATAATTCAACCAATGGACAATGAATTCCATCAGGTCTTTTAATTCCAATTGCGGAATCTTCACTGAAATCTTTAGTGAAATTATCAGTGTAATTTCGCATTGAAGAAGAAGAAGATTGTGGTAGTAATTGTGGTTGATTTGAATACTTTAATTTTTCTTCATACGCATTTAAAATTAAATTTCGTTGTTGTATCGTTAATGAAGATAAATCGTATCCATAATAAAATATTAATTCATTTCGACCCATTATGATTATAATAATAATAATTATTATATTTATTCTTATTGTAATATCAGCTGAAAAAAAAATCAAATTCGCTTAAAAAAAAATTGAATAAAGAAATAAAGAAAATATGTAACATTTATATATTATAAATATTTAATAAATGTATTATTATTAAAAATATTAGATTATTGGTTATCATTAAAAATTTATTGTATTATTCGTTATTAATTGAATAATATTATAGGATAACCTTGGAACTTGAAATAAAATAAAAATGATAATAAAAATAATATTAATATTATTATCATCATTATTATCATTATTATTATTTTCCTATTTAGGAAAATATCGGAATAATTTATAACACGATTCACATGTGATTCGCATGAATTCATATTAATATTTTTTTATTTTTTTATTAATAATATAATAATACATAACAAATTAAAATAATTAATTTAAAATAGCAATTAAATAAATGATAAAATTAAATATAACAATTTTAAATATAGAAATATTTAAATATAATAATAAATACTTTAATAATAATAATTAAAAATATAATAATAATATTCAAACATAATTATAATTAAACATAATGTCAAACTATTTCCGTAAATTTTCTTTTCTTTTGGTTTTTTATAGAATATATATTCCAAACTAAATCTTCAACTTCATACCAATTCTTAAGTTCTCTAATTTCTGGTAAAAGTTTCATTAAATATCTAGTAGCACCTTCAAATTCCCATAATAATGTATACCACATGGCTCTTCTCTTGAAATTTCTGGTTGATATTTTAGGTTTATAATTATTACTATTAATAATAATAATATTATTATTATTAATATTATTATTAATATTAATATTATTAATATTATAATTATTATTATTAATATTATTACTAATATTATCATTACTATTAATGTAATTATTATTATTATATTTTTCTATAAATTTTTTTAATAATGTTTTAGAACAATTCAAAACTGAAATAAAGAATGGTATCATATCAAATAATGGATCACCTCCATATAATTGACAATCACCAAAATCAATTATTGATAATGTTTTCCAAATTCCTGATTGGATATCATTACTATTATTATTATTATTATCACTATTATCATCATCATCATTATCATCATTATCATCATTATTATCATTATTATCATTATTGGGTATAATCAATCCCAAAATATTTTCAGCATTTAAATCTCCATGTAAAAATCCAGCTTCACTATCTAATTCTGGATTATAAATCTCCCAAACAGAATTTGGTAAATATGAAATTAATTGCGAAATCAAATGCGGAGGAAAAATTAATAATCTTGAATGAAAATCATAAGACTTTTCAAGTCTTCGTAATAAAAATTTATGAAATGGATGATCGTTTTGTATTATTTTTCTTGATGAAAGTATTGGTGGTAATGATTGTGTTGATGTTGATGCTAATGTAGATGTTGATGTTGATGATGATGATTGTGTTATTGTTGGTGATAATGATTGTGTTGTTGTTGTTGTTGAAAGGCAATGAAGTTCTAAAAGTATTCTAATAATTAAATCAATTAATTCTTCCCAATTAATTTGTATTTCATAATCTTTATCATTGAAATAATCATTAATATCATTATAATCCTCATTGATATTATTGATATTATTGATATAATTGATATTCTTGATATTATTATTATTATTATTAACTTCAGATAAACTTAATACATTTTCCGAAATTGCATTCATTATTAAAAATGGCCAACGATATTTTCTTTCACTTGATCCATCTTCATCGTCATCATCAACATCATTAAATAAATAACCAGAACCTAAAAGTTTAGGAAAATAATTAACAAGTTCTTTAGAAATTTGTTTATTGATAAGTGAATAAGCAGTGATTTCCGTTGTCCAAGTATTAATTCCATTAAATAAATGGGAGTAAAATTTAATAACTGTCGTAGATGTACGAAATACCTAAAATAATAATAATAATAATAATTATATATTATTTATTTATTATTTTAGATATTATTTTAGATATATATTCAAATATAAAAAAATCTTCTTACTGGATTTTGTCCATTAAAAATTACATCAATTTCATCATTTTCATTCAAATTTAATCCACCTAATTCTAAAGCTTTTAATACTCGAGGATGCCATAATTCCAAATTATGAAATGATTCAATAAAATCCGTTCTAGATGAAAATCCTTCTTCCGATATAATTGGGTCATTAATTGTATCGGAAAATAATAATATTTTTTGTCGAATAAATGGTTCCAGATATGGATGGATTTTTATTAAATTTTGATGAAAATTTTCCCACGTCTACAATTGATGATTATTATTATATATTATTATATATTATTATATATTATTATATATTATTATATATTATTATATATTATTATATATTATTATTTATTATAAACAAATAATTACCTGATAACGTTTTTCATCAATTAATTCTTCACAAACGTTTTGTAAATTATGTATATTAACAAAATTTTGAGTAACTGCGATAGTATCTTCGAGATTAAGAACCTAAAATAAAAATAAACTTAACATGTAATACATGTAATATAATATGCAATATATATCTATTTAATATATATTATGCAATATATATCTATTTAATATATATTATGCAATATATATCTATTTAATATGCAATTTATAATATTTACCATATGCCACCAACCACTAATAATAATTAATATTTTTAATTTAATATTTTAATTATTTAATTAATTATAAAACAAAAAATAACGAAATCTTAAAAAAAAATTTACTTTACCTTGGAACGAAAATTGTCTGCCTATACAAGAAATTAACATAATAAGATTATCAATAATAAAGTAAAATATCAATATTAATAATGATAAATAATATTTACCCGGGTTCTTGTATAATCTCTAATGGAAGGTTACCATCTAATAATAATTGTGGATATACTTCAAGATACCAAAATAATGATGTGGTTGAATTCTTAAAATTTAATTCTTCTTCTTCATTATAAAGTAATGCTTGATGATGTCCATGATGATGACGTGAAATTTGTAATCCTAAATATTTTTATTTAAATATTTGTTATTGTTTTATTTATTATAATTATTTATTATTATTATTATTATTATTATTATTATTATTATTTATTATTTATTTATTTATTTATTTATTATTATTTACCAGGAGGAGAGATATGTGGTGGATATCTATATATAAATTTATAAAAATATTTTAATTAATATACAATTAATGGATAATTAATTAATAAATAATAATAATTACAATGCCCAACGTTTTCTTCCACTTAATAATGTATTCCAAGCTTTATTTGATGTTTAATTAATTGTTTAATTTTTAATAAATTTTTTAAATATAACACGTAAAACTTTAATAATTTTTAATAATTTTATTGGTTTTTTTTTTTCCCAACCTGAAGTTCCAGCAGGATCAACATGCCATGATGCTCCTAAAAATAAATAAATATTTTAAAAAAAAAAATATGTATTTAATTTATTAATTATTAAATTATTAACTTATATATTTATCATGGAATTTACCTGACCTTGCTGGACCAATTACAATCCATCTATATGGTGGTCGTTTGTCTGTTAAAACTTCAAAGAAATCTTCTTGAAAATATTTTGGTATCTAATAATATATGCATAATGATATATATGTATGTATGCATGTATGCATGTATGTATGTAGGTATGTATAAAAATAAATTCAAAGACAAATTCGATGAGAAAACAAAGGCAAATTGAATGATAAAGATAACTAAAGATAATAACCTCATAAGCTTCAGCCATTTCTGGATGTCGGTCAATAAAATTTGGATCAAATATATATAAAGGAGTTTCATCCCGTTGAAGTTTAATATATCGTACATAGGATTCTAATGTCATGGGAAGATAACCATTTTTTCCTCCGTGATCATTTGCCACTCGAAATATGGATTGCCCGTACTATCCAAAGAATATTATATAATAATATATAATAAGATTGATGAGAATAGTGGATGGAATAATAAAGAATAGTAGAATAATAAAAGAAAGAATAATAAAGAAAGAAAGAACAATAACCTTCTCTAATAAATTTTCCCATTTCCAATCTTTCCAAGCTTTCCAATTTTCTACTCCACAATTTTTAATTAAAACAGGTATAGCTTGGGCACCAAATAAAACATCAAATTGTTCTTTAGTTAAATTTTCCACCACAGGAATTTTAGGAATTTTAGAAATTTTGGGTGATGATGATGATGATGATGAAGGAAGAATAAAATTTCCCAGATACATATTACATCGACACCATTTAGCGTAAAGATAATGACTGGTAATATCTATTGGTTACTCGAAGATAATTTTTTTTTTTCAAGATAATAAATTAAATTGAGTTTTCTAAATTGAATATTATTATTTGAAATTATTTAAATGAAGAAAATAACTAATAAATAATAATAATAATAATAATAATAATAATATATTATAAAATTATTTAATACCAGGAAAATGTAATGGTCGATAAACAATTTCTTGTTCCCCTTCTCCTTGAAATAAATAACTTAATAACCATGATCCTCTATATCTAAAATTTTTAATTATTTTTGAATCATTTCCCCATTTATCTAAACAATGTATTTTCCATAGTTGATCATCATGTGAAAAGGTATAAAAATATTTGGATACTTTGGAGGATAAAGCTAATTCCTATTAATAATAATAATAATAATAATAATATTTATGATAATAATATTTATAATAACATTTATTAATTAATTATTAATTATTAATTGTATAATTGTATTAACTGATGAATTTTTATTATAATAATAATTATCTAAATAATTTTACCTTGGCTGATAATTTAGATAAAATACATTCAGATATAATATTATCCAATAATTTATAAAGTGTTCCAAAACTTTTTTTTCTTGCTTCGGAATTCTCGAATGACATTATTTATTTTTTATTCTCCTTGAAAGTTTGTGTGATAAATAATTGAAATTAATAGATTTATAAATAAATAAATAAAATACAGTATATATATATTATTATTATATTTATTATTATATTCTAATGATCAGTAAAAGAATTATTCACAAGTTTCTAATCCTGCTTATATTTGACACCAGGCAAGTGTCGCAAAGATTGGAATTCGAACGCAAATTACGCTTCTCTTTTCATCATATTATTATTATTTTAAGCTTGCACCTAAAAATTATTTATCTGTTTAAAATGATTTTTTACCTTTTAATCTTAATCTTTAATATTCAATAAAATTCACGATGACAATCACTTGTTATAATTTTAATTAATTATTATATTTTTAATGATGTGATGTTACCTAGTAATAATTAATAAATATTTTTTAATATGTTTTATACAATTTTCAAATCATAAAATCCACCCATAAAAAAAAAAAAAAAAAAGTGAATTATTATTTATTGACTAAAAATTGAACTACTTCTTTGCAACCTCAGGATTCCAAGGTTCAGGTTCAAATGAAGTTTCTTTGATAAATTAAATTATTAATCATTATTATCATTATTATTAATTATTATTATCATTTATTAAATAAATATTGTTAGTAATTATTGATTATTTTTAGTATTAAATATCATTAGTATTAATTATTAATTATTCGTTAGTGGATATCAAAAAATTTAAAATAAATAAATCATATATAAGTATATTAAATATATACCCTTTTTATCTTTAGTTTCTAATGGTTTATTTTGTTTAACGGGTGAAGAAGGTGAATGTGTGGGTGAAGGAGGTAAAGGTGATGCTTTTTTACTCTAATAATAAATGACAATAATAAATGAATGATAATCAGAATCTTTATTTATTAATTACTCTAATTACTATATATTTTAATTTCTTTCTCACCTCTTCCCATTCTTTATCAAATGCTTTTGCTTTTTGAATAATTGTTTCTCTTCGTTTATTAGCTAATTCAATTTCCTTTAGAAAATATAAACCTTTTGTTATTAAATTTATTATAAATATATTTATATATATATATTATGAATATACTAATTCTTTACATCTATGGTAGGAGGATCATATCTGGTATGTCTTAACCAACTTTGCCATTGTACTTTTTTTAATTTATGAAAAAAATGAAATATATATTATATAGATATTATATATATATGTATTATTCTACTAATTACATTAAAAATAGATTTCAAAATAAAAAACTTACCAGGCAAGGCATCTTCTTCATAATCACTCAATAGTTTCTTTTCTTTCATTTCCACTATACGCCTCGTCCTACCATTAGTAGCTGTAACACTTTCATAATACTCATTCCCTGATAAATCTGTACCTACAAATACTCGTGAACGCCAAGGTAACCGAGCTTGTTTCCATAAAGTTAATAAACGGGATATACGTGAAGACATATTATTATTATTATTATTATTTTTATTTTTATTTTTTTTTGGCAAACGATTCACAAAAAAAAACAATTTAATTCAATGAATACGACTCAAAAAAAAAATAATAATCAATCAATCAAGAACTAAACAAGAACAACTGCAAAGACAGCAAGACGGTGGGAAATCGCAAATTTCGAGATCTTAAATAGTTCAAATATCAAAAAATTTCCGGTTCGGTACCAAACTACCGGGTATCGGAGAAATCTTATGACTTTAATCTCTATTTATAACTCGGGTAAACCCGCTAATGTAGGTAGTCAAGAGTATTGATGAGTGCTTAAATTGTATATTATTGTATATTCTAATACCGACTAACATAATGGCTAGAACATAATTGTATTAAACTTTGTTTGAATAAAACTTGTAATACTTACACGTTAATTTTTGACGTTTTCGTTATTCGTTATCTAAAAGAAAATAACAATTCCAACGATAATTATGGGGCAGGAAATCTTTCGTAACATTTTTTGGCACCAGTATAATGCAGAGGGCAACTGTCACTCGTCGTTAAACGTACAAGAGGATACAGGCGTGCACAATAGAAAACACTTTGGCACTCGTGAAGGTAATACAAAGCCAAAACAAGTCTCGAGTTCAACAAAGATATCTTGACAGTCAACACAAAACCCCCACCCATATAAATTTGGGTAGTCACGGGCATCATTATACTGCGAGGTTACTCTCTTCACTCATGATTACGATTGACACTAACACACGGTCCTAAGCATCACTCAGGCATCATGTTACGAAGTGAGATGAAAAAAATTGTAGCAAACAATATTTAAAAAAATTTAAAAAATTAAATTATGAAAAATAAACAAATTTATTAATCAAATAATTAAACGTCATCAAATATTATATTACTAAAATTATTATTATTAAAAATAAAATTTAAAAAATATATATAAACTTTATATATCAAATCAATCAATCAAAAATTATTCTGAATCTACCGATTAATTGTTACTTTTAAAATTCCACGTGCATGAAGGGTTCACACTTCCAGAGCGTAAAAAAGGCTCGCCAAGACTAATAATCTATACGATTATTAAAGTATTCTAGTAAATCTTTTTACTATTAATAGTAATGACGGGATGGAGGATTGAAGGAAATTGTTCGTGAATTCGCTTCGATAACTTTTTTCGGACATTTGTTAATAGTTGATTTTGTGTTAGGAATAGTACTTCGTTTTAAAATAGATTTGGTTTCTTTCGTTGTTAAAATTTGTCCTGATGAATTATCATTAGGAGTTATAATATTTGTTCGAAATTGTACAGAAGTCCTATTATTAGTAGTACCATATTGTGACAATCGTGAAAATTGCGAAAAGCGACGTCCTGGTAAAAATAATGAATTTCTCATGGGGTAATAAGAAGATTGTATAGGTTGTAATGAGGAAATTGTTGATCTTATAGAAGGGTAGATGGGTTGGTTTGGTGAAACTATTGGGCGAATTGATTGACTTGGCATATAAACTGGTCGTAATGGTTGTAATGTAGTTGACGAGTCTGTTGACACTGAAGACAATCTCTCGGAATCTACTAGAGGAACCATTTTCTCAACATTTACACTTATTCTATCAATATTCTCTGTTTCAGAATCAACCTCTGTTATAAAACTATCTGATATAATACTATCTGTATCAAAACGATTTAAAATCTCTGTTATAATATTATCTGAACTAAACCGATTTTTAACCTCTTTTATAATACTATATGTACTAAAACGATTAGTAGTATTAGTAGTGACGGATGAAAAATTAGTAGTAGTTGGTGAATTATTAGTGGTGGGTAAATCATTTATTACTGTAGAAGAATTGCATCTCAGGATAGATGATGATTGAACGTTTGGAATATGTGTGTTAAGAAAGTCAACCATTCGTGACAGCGCATTCTTGGAACGTTTTCCAAATACATTAAGTAGAATTGGATAACTAGAAATTTTATAATAAAATTATATAAATTATTTTAAAAAATAAAATAAAATAAAATATGGTAAAATGAAATATAAATTAAATATAAATAAAAATACTTACTTATGAATCATACCCTCATCTACCTCTATAATAACATCTGGATGACTTTGTATCTCCTCGTTATTGATATCAGTTTTCTTGGATTCTATACATTTCTTACAAAATTTTTCAATGTCATCTCTAAATATTTCTTTTCCCCCATAAGAAATAAATAATGGCGGAAATTTTGCCAATATATTTTTAGGTATACGTAATGGAGAAATTAATGGATTTTCAAATGGGTTAGATGCAAATGTCTCATTTGTTGAGACTGGTAATTGAGGTGACGGTAATGACGGTGGTGACAGTGGTGACAGTGGTGACAGTGGTGACAGTGGTGACAGTGGTGACAGTGGTAACTGTGGTGATTGTGTTGAAAGTGGTGATCGTGGAGGAGAATTCAATTGAATTTCATAAAATTGATTGTTTTTTCGTATCCAACTACCACGTTTAACATTTTTTGTACTATCCAAATCACTCTGAATATGTATTTCTAGCGAGTCTGAGAATCGTATCTTACTATTACGCCTATTGAAATTTTTGATTGCATTTTCAAGATGTTCATTCTTTTCATTTTGTTCATTTTGTTCATTTTGCTCAGGTTTAGGAGATGAAGGCGCATTCGTTTGGGAAATATTATCATCATTAATATTCATAATTATAGAACTGTTACGAACGCGTCGACTTGATTGTGAACTTCGTCGGGAACTTCTCCTATATCGTCCAGTAGATATTCCTTCCCCGCTGTGAGTTTTCACTTGAACTACTTCATGCATCCATTCACTCTTTATATTTATACTACTTCTTTTTCCATTATTATTATCTCTATTAAAAATTGAACTATTACTCTTTCGATTATTTTTTTCATTAAAATCTTCGCCATCATTATAGAAATCAAGGTTTGTCTCAACTTTATTTAACCAGTCAATGATCGTTAAAGTATTTCGTCTTTCTGTAACATTCGATCTGCCTTCTTTGCCAAATATATAATTTTCTACCGCAAGTTGACAAAAATAACTAGATATTGTATCATATTTAGAGTTTGTGACATACGATAGAGATTCACATGATGCTTCAACCCAAGGAGATATTAGTATGGAACCGAGAGGAAGTATGGATTTTTCCATAAAATTATTTTCCGAATAAAGTTTTTGCAAGAGAGCCAAAGCCATTGTTCCACCCGCTGAATCCCCACCTAAAAAAATAACAAGAATTAATTAAAAAAAAAAATGTAAAGATAAAAAAAAAAATAATCCAAAAATAACATACATAAAAAAACATTTCGCGATCCAGGTATATCACTTGAAGCTAGCCACTGATAAGCACGTTCGACATCATTCAATCCTTTAGGAAACTGATTTTCTGGTGCCAAAGAATATTCAACAGCAAATGCTCTTATATGTTTGCCATACTTGGTACGTAAAGTTTCTAGTAAATAACAAAGAGCTTGTATACCCATCAGTGGTGATGATGATACGTAACCACCACCTTAATTTATTATTATTAAAAAAAAAAATAGGTTTAAAATTAATGTTAAAATAAAATAAAATAAAATAAAATAAAATAAATGCTTTTTAATAAGAATATTTTTTTACCATGAATATAAAACAAAGTAGCTTCTGAATGTTTTCCTTTCCATAAATCAGCACCTAACCAATACCCTTTAACGTCATTTACACCTTTCATCTGAATAAATGGTTCAGAACAATAACGATTTTTCATCATAGATTCATATAATGAAATGTTTTGGCGAATTACTGGTAATGAAGAATTCAATATTCTTTTAAAAGATCTAATGGAGGCCTCTTGGCCAACGGTATAGGAGGGGTGAAGAGGTCTCGAACAGATGTGGTTAAGAAATACACGAGGATATAATATTACTGTTTGGTAAAATTTTGAAAATATTAAATTAAATTTTCATATTCTTTTGTTTTCAAAAAATTTTTTTTTCTCAAATTCAAAGACAAAATTATTTTTACATACCTGAATGTAAAGCATTTGCAACAGGGCCACGCCTTTGATGATAAACGAAAAAAAAAAATAAAAAAAAAAAAAAAGTAAAAATTTTTTATAATTAAATTTTTTGTAAATATATCATTCAGGCGAGTCATGAATTACTTTTATTTCTTTTATTTACTCTCATTTTTATTTGATTAAATGATGATGATTACTTTAATTTATGCCAAAATGTATTGTTTTCCCATCGTTTTCTTAATTTCTCTCGTTGTTTCTTGACAGCTTCCTGACCAGGATCTATTCGAGAAGGGTTTGAAATCATTTTTTGATTTTTTGATAATTTAGTAGTAGTTTATGTTTATGTGGAATAAAATGAAAATAATAATAGGAGAAAGAAATGTATAAAGTGAGAGTATTATTAAAAATCAATGAACATAATTTTTTTATATAATCATAATATTAAACGTCATTCAAATATTCGTTATTTTCTTCGAAAAGGTTTTCCTTTCTTTTATTGCATTAATTCTCGTTTTTGTCTTTGTTAAAACAAAAAATAAGAATCAATATCCGAAAATAAAATAAAAATCCGTTCAAAGATAATTCAATCTTTAATCTAACAAATAAAATGAGAATCAATATAACAAAAGAAGAGGAAAAGAAAAAGCGAAGAAAAAATATCAAGAAAGACAACAAGAAATAAAAAAAGAAAAGAAAAACAGTATAATTTATATTTTAAGATACGCAATAAAAAATGATCCTCCAAAGAATGTTAACCAAAGACAGATAATCATAATATAATTTTAAAAAACGATTATGGAATATGTTGTATAAGCTATCATTTAATTATTTTATTTTAATCTAAGGTAAGATTCGCGAAAAATAAATATTAATTGTAAACCAAAGGTAGAATTTGTTTTTTAATACAATAATCCAATTTTATTATTTTTGCGTTGTTTTTTAATTGTATGCGCGTGGAGAAAATTTACAGATTTAATTATTGTATTTATTTGTATTCATTTGTATTATTTATTTTTTTTTTGTTGACAGATATAAAATTCTTTAATTTTCAATGTCGTTTTTTTTTATAGAAGCATTGTTCGATACTTTAAAAAAAAAAAAAAAAATTATATTCCTTAATTAGTTGTGAATGATATACCAACTTTGTTTATATTCTTTTTCCACATGTCTAAAATTTTAAATCCTAATAATTAATGGATAACTTGTTGTCCAGTATAAATTCTCTATATTGCGTACTATCCATTTTCAGAGTTAATTATAGGAAGAAAAAAATCAGGCAAAACTTTGGTTTATTCAGATAAAAAATTCATATTATCATATGAGAAGCATCTCGCTATACAAAACAGTAATTAAATGAATATTTTGATTTTCCTATTTATAAAATGATTAAACATTCGTGATGGAATAAAAGGTTATGATATCTTTTTTGAAGGACGGATGATATGAAAATATATTGAACTTCAAAACTTCATTAGCTTCTTAATTAAAATTTTAGAAACTTGATATAATCAAGTTGTTAATTACTGGACTTTTTTAACTTTTTTATGATATAACTGACCTTTAGAAGTTTTGTAGAGTTAAATTTCTTTCTAATTTCATATATTTACAAATTTGATAACTCTCCTTTGTTTTTGACAGGGTCACTTTTTTAAATATTCCTTTTCTCCAGTAAAACCTATCCTAAAATACTTTTTTCTATTAAGACTATTGAATACTAAGAATATGCAATTTTAGGATATTTGGTAATATACTTTTTTACTTAAATCGAAAATAAAGATCTTGATCCAATTGATATGAACCAATTATTCCTCTCAATGAAACCAATACCAATCTAACAAGCTATAAATCATCAAAAAACCAAATTAGTATTCGCTGAGAATATCTTAAGAATTAAAAATTATACTTTTACAATTGATAAAATTAATTATATCGTGCAACACTAAAAAATGTTCAATAAAAATTTTTACATTGTGCACCCTAATAAGATAGATAATCAGATCAAATTTTTATATCTTGATTTTATATTTTAAACCGTTCTCGCAAAAAAAAAAAAAAAAAAAAAAAATGTCACCAAAATCTCCTACATTATGTATTTTGGGATGTGGCACGATGGGAAAGGCCATTTTATCAGGAATAATTGCGAGTATGATGATCTCAGGTCAAGATGAAGACCAAATATATAAACCAAAAAAGTTCATTGCTTGTGTCTCAAGAGAGGAATCCGGTGCTCGAATCAAAAAAACTTTTAACGATAAAGTCACGTTGTTAGTTGGAGAAAATGTTAAAGGAGTTAATGAGGCTGATATAGTGTTTTTATGGTATACGTTTAATAAATGATTAATAAGTTTATTCTCCTATGAAAATATTATTATATAATTAATTAATTTAAATATTTTTAATTTAATAAAGCTCAAAACCACAAGTAGCACAATCAATTTTAACAGAGGAAGGAATGATTCAAGCATTAGAGAATAAACCTCTTATCAGTATATTGGCAGGAGTGACAATAAGTCAACTTGAGAAATGGGTTCCTTTAACAACTAAAATCATTAGAGCTATGCCCAATACTCCTTGCATGGTATAATACGTATATTATTTTTTTTTTTTAATTAAAGAAAACTTGAATAATTTGTTAGTGTTACAAATTTTATTTTTTTAATTGGGAATTTATTAGGACAATAAGTTTTAAATGAAGTAATATTAATAATCAAACAGATACGCGAAGGAATGACAGTAATTGGTTGTCGAAATGATGTTAAAGCGGAAGACAAAGATTTTGCGTCTTGGGCTTTTTCTACCTTGGGACGAGTGAGATTTTTAGATGAAAAACATTTTGACGCAGTTACAGGACTTTCTGGAAGTGGTCCAGCGTTCGCATGGTAATCATTATGAACATATTAATAATATATTAATCGTTAATCCGCCGATCAATCGGAGTACACCCAGAATCCGCGTTTCCTAAATAGTAATATCTGTTGATTTTTAACCTAATCAATGAAAAATTTTTTTTATAAAAACTTTTGGGATTGAGTTTATTTGTCAGAGCATTTTAATATAATTTTATAAAATTCAAAATTCTACAAAATAACCGTAAACATTATCAATTAGCAAATTTTAGCAAAATCGCCCACCCCACGATTTTCTGCTTAATAAAATTATTTAAATTTATCCATGGCATGTATACTTCAAAACATATATTATCATATTCTTATAAAAAAAAATTATCCAAAAATACAGAATATTTGTTTCTATTTAAAATCTGCAGATTTTAAAAATTGTCAGGGATCTTATCAAATATTTATATTTTTAGAATAATTTTTTTATAAGAACATACTAATATAAGTTTAGGAGTATATTTTGATAGATTTTGAGACTTCTAACTGATAATTTTACTAAGCAAAAAATTTTAGGGGCGATTTTGCTAAAATTTGTTGATGATAATGTTTTATAAAATTATATTAAAATATTTTGGACAAATAAACTCAATCTCGAATTTATTTTAAAAAAAATTTTTATTTGTCTAGGTTGAAAATTGACATGTAGGAAACGCAGATTCCGGGTCATCAGCGGATTAGCAATTAATACTATATTCTTATATTAATTATTATTCATATATGTATATATAGTGTCGTATTGGAATCTATGGCAGATGGAGGAGTTATGATGGGGCTTCCCCGTGATATCGCGTTTGAATTGGCAGCGCAAGGTAAACATTATCAGACTCCATCTTTTTCTTTTTTTAAAATATATATATATATATATATATTAAATCTAATATATAAATACTTTTAAATTCATTCAATCATTTTAATTTACAGCACTTCAAGGAGCAGCAAGAATGGTTTTGCAAACTGGTAAACATCCATCAGAGATTAAAGATACCGTAACAACTCCCGCGGGATGTACAATCGCGGGATTGCTTACCATGGAAGATGGTAAAATTAGATCAACAATAGCGAGATCTATACAAGAAGCATCTAATGTTGCATCTACATTGGGAAAGATACAATCTAAAAAATAATATAATTTTGAGTTTATTCTTGTTCTAGATAATTATTTTTTTTATTTAAAATGATTAATAAAAATGTTAATTGAAGATTTATTAAAAAAAAAATGCATTATACATTTCGTCAGTTGCAATTAATTAAGATAAATTAATAAGGGTAAATCTATTTGTCATCAGTGATGATTGATTGTCACCAGTGGTGATTGTCACCATAATTACCTGCAGTGGTGACGATCACTAGTGGTGACAGGTATTTTTTCAATAAAAAATTATTTTAGGCCGCATGCATCAATTGGTCAAATGATTTGAAAGAGTTACACAATGATAGACAATGGTATTTAAATTTAAATTAGCAACTCCTTTTTTGGAAACTTCTTCGTTAAACATAACCAGTTATAAAAATAAGGATATAAATCTTTTCTTTCCGTACCATTTATTTTTATTTTTTAGTTACGAGAACCATTTTATATGTTAAATAATAATTATTATAATAATTTATATTTATTAGTTTAATAATTTTTTTTATATTGAAACATATAAAATATTTTATTTATACAGAAAAAATAAAATAAAAGATGAATTTTAACAAAATACAACTAAGTTCGAATATCATGACAATCTTTTTTTTTTTTTTGTTATTAACGGCGGATCTTGTTATGAGTCAAACTCCTACCGCTCCTGTTGCAGAAAAAGTTGACACTACTGTTGGAACTACTAAAGGCAAGTTTACTATTATTTTTTCATTGATTTTTTTTTTTATCGGAGTAATTTTCTCTCTCTTTTCTTCTAATACTTTATTCTCTCACTTTTCATTAGATGAACCTCCAACGCCTACGATACCATCAGAAATTAAGGTGCCAGATGGATACAAATTCTCATTTTTACTTTATGGTAACGGAAATAATAAATATACGTGTGTAGTGGCTTCTAAAAGTTGGGATATATGTATGAAACCCTTTTTTTTTGTTCCAATGCCGTTATCATTACTTTTGTCACGTGATCAACTTACGATTTTCTTTAAATAGCTAGCGTCCAGGCTGACCTTATTAACAGAAATGATTCCCATTATGATCCCGCTTTTTATGTCGCTAGCTTAACAAGTAAATTTTATACCAAATTTTCTTTTGTTAAATTTAAATTTAAATCTAATTTTTATTAATTAATTACTTCGTTGTTATTAATAAAAGGTAATAGTGATGGAACACTGATTTTTAAATCAGTATTAGTAAAACATGATAATTCAAGCCTAACTGTAAAAAGGGATACAAAAGTAGATTCTCCAGAAAATAATTCTGTTACGAAAATTCATGCTCCTTGGGAAAGATATGCTGCTCTGGTAAGTTTATTGTTTGTGTGTTTAATTATAACAATTTATATTAAATTATATTAAATTATATTAAATTATATTAAATTATATTAAATTATATTAATTATAATTATAAATTATATTAAACAATTAAATTAGAATACCGTTTCAGGTGGATCATTCAGTGATATTGGTTATGTAGTTGTTGTTAGTACATATAAAGGTGCTTCAAGAGCAGTATCAGAATGTAAGTCATAAAAAATTTAATATATTAATAATTTAAATTTTATTAAATTTTATTGATTTTTATTATTAATTTTATTAATAGGTGGTGACAATTACCAAGATGGTAACATAGATACTGAACCATTTACTGCAACTTATTATTTCTATTCGGGAAGTATTCCATCTAATACTACTACTAATGATTCAAATGAATCAAGTAATAATAATGGAGCAATGAATTCAATATTTATAGGATATACCCAATTAGGATTGACTATTATTATTGGATTTATTACTATTGGTATTGCTTTATTCTAGAAAATATTTAAAAATCATGTTAAAAAAATTTAATAGGTTTTAAAATATTTAAAAGAGATTAATCTATTGGATTCCTCCTTCATTCTCCTTTAGAATTAGAGTAGATTATGTTTAATTAACAATTATCCCCCTTAAAATTTTACCTTAACAATTTACTTTAATAATTTAATAAATTGTAAAAAAAAATATAATTATTATTTCAATAAAAATTGGCTGTATTTCTCTTCTAGTATCCCGTATTAACTATTATTGGCTGGCGTAAAAGTGGTCCTACCAACACGTGCAGCGGATAAACATTAAAATGAAAAAAAAAAATGTATATTCTTTAAATATACATGGTTAGGATTGAATTATGACATACCAACATACCGATATGCCGTAATATTTCGGAGCTGTTAAAAATAGTATTAATGCCGGAATTTCTTTTAATGGTTGCGCGATTGTCATTTGATCTTAAAAATATAACTATTGTAAAATTTTATATACATATATAAAAAATAATCCATATAAAATTGCTCGCGATTATCTATATGCCAAATCTCAACTTTCCATTATTTTATAGAATGTATTAGTAGAAGATAATTTTATTATAAAAGTCTATAATATTTTTGGCAACCTAAAATATTTTCGTCAACCTATATTACTTTCGGCCAATATTATTATTTTAGGTTTCGGCTGCGAAAATAATCAAAATAACATTTCTCAAAAGTTTTATATGTAGAAACGATCGACGATTATTTCCGAAATAGTTTCAATAAATTCACAATTCACTTTACCCATTAATAAATTCATTTCACATTCACTCATAATAATTTCATTACTCTGCTTGAGAATTAAAAAGTACAACATTATTCTAACATCATTCTACGTGTTTAATTATTCCTTCCCTTCGTAATTCCTAATAATGATAATAATAATAATAATATAAATAAATTCTTACGAAAGAGGAGAGAAATTAGAAAACGAAATTGCAAATATTTTAAAAATTTTAATAATTTGACAATTCTTATTTGTTGTTATTATGGATTACAATGATAATAATAATAACGAGGAAGCCACGGGAAGGTGGTTGAACCAAGTAATTATATAATACTATTATATTACAATTATTATAAAGTAATTTGATAGAAATTAAATGTTTATTAAATGTTGATTCAACGTTGGATGAAATTATGCAAACTATAATAATTCTAATAATAATTATTTTTGTCATAGGAATGATGGCTTTGAAATTTTTCACAATGAAAAAGTAACCGGCTTTGACTTTCTTGATACAACAAAAGAAGAATTCTGTAGCTATGACTTGATCGCAGGTCCTGCAAAAAGACTTGTAAATTTTATTTCTGATATCAAAGTACAAAAATTACATCCTTTTTCATCTTACAAAACAAAGGAGGAATTAAAGGAGATACTTCACAAATATAAAGTCAATGGTAAGTATCAAACAATTCAACCCAGATAAATAATACACATATTTTTAAGAAGCAGTTCCACAAATACTATTATAGTGAACCCTTTATAGATGCACCTCCTGGGAAATCAGCATTAAGGTGCATTTATAGAGGAAAATTTTATAAGTGTTGGGACTAGAGTATAGAGTGTATTTATAGAGGGGTGCACCTTATAAAGGGTGCATTTATAGAGGGTTCACTGTATACAAAGTGAAGATATTTATATAATAATATTTTTTTCTATAGTTTTTGAGAAAATTGTTGATGATAACAAAGTCCTAAAACGATGTATGAAAGAAGCAACATTAAGACTTTTGAATTTAGAAACAATACAAACCAATACCAATGAAACTGTGTATTTATTACATCTATATTAAATTATATTAAATGCATTGTTGGCAATTGTTCAAAGACTTACTAATAAAGGAAATATATATAGTATATCAAGATGATGTTTCTACCTCCAGACATGTTAATTATTCTATCAAAGAAAATGAGAATCTCATGTGTAAATCTTGTAATATCAAAATCAATTACCTTTAAAATATATTGCAATTAGAAAGTACATATTACACAAAAATAAAAAGAACATACAGCAGACCAAGCATTTCAAAGTTATAATTATGATTATCTTTACAAGATAGTTTTTATAGATATTATAATAATTATTCTGTATCTATAAATTTGCAATCAATTTTTTTTTTAGTTATGAAATGACATTTCATGATCTATATTATACAAGTAAAAGTAAATACCAAATAAATTTATTCAAAATAATATTGAAAGAAAATCTTGAAAAAAAAAAGTGATTGAAATAATTGTGAAATTTTTAAAAAACAGAATAACTGTAAATAATAAATCAGAAAGTAAAAGAAAAAAAATAGATAATTTTTATTTATGTATTTTTATTATAAAATCATATATTTGACATTAATATATCTTATAAATTTTATTTGTAACAATAAATAAATATATATATTGTACTATTGTAACTTTATAATATTTGTATTGTTATATGTTAATTGTTAATTGAATACATTTATTACATTTTACAATATTGCAATAAAAAAAAATATCAAAGTTTCAAGATTGTGATAATAACAGTATTGCTAGTTAAATACAAAAGAATCACTGTACCAAATGGTGATTCTTATATTAAAAATCAGAATTCTTATATTATAAACCAGCTAAAAATCAACTATCCTATTGTATCCTATTGTTGACCATGATCTGACCTTCAAGAGATATGATTAACTATTAGCTAAAGATATGGTAGCTAAACTAAAAAATATTACTACTAACTAATTTATATTATAAAAAGTATAATATTTGAAAGATTTAGGTATTACAGATTTGTTTGAAAAAAGTAAGGCTATGAGATTTTTATAAAGATTTGATTTAACTATTCACAAAGAATAAAGTATATACTAAACTAAACTAAATTGATAATTTTTAATACTAAGTAGAAAATTATAACATAAAAACTATATACCAAAATCACAAAGCAAGGTATAAGTTAACAAGTGTTTCAATATTTCACTAAGGAATAATACAGAATTTCACTAAGAAATTATAACAGTATAAATAACAATTCACACAAGTGTTTATTATTTATAAGGTAAATCACAAAATATTTTATTAATAGAATTAGCAAAGGAATTGAGGATTAATTATCAAACTAACTTTCTAACTAACTGAAAACTAAACAAAGAGAAATGTGGCCCTTTATATACATAATTGAAACTATAATAGATTACACATTAAATTACACTAATGTATATGCTATTAATTACACTGATGTATACATTATTAATTATACTTTCTACTATACTATCTATTACACTATATATTATACTATTGAATACACTATTGATTATACTATACACTATGCTGTTAATTATGCTCAGATCTACAGTCATAATATTGTTGTAGTCTGCACAGAACAAGTGGAAAATTAAGTCAATCAGTTTCAATAAATTTAGGTCAATTATACAATAATTTGATATATTACTAATACACTATCTCTTGTACACAATATCACAGCAAGACAGATAATCAGTTGATCTAAATCTGCTTACTAATACTTAAACAATACAATTACGTGTAATATCTGAAAGTATGATAAACAAGTGGAGTAAAAGTATCTTTACTATATGCTTCATACACTGCCAAAAATTTAATGGATTTTTGAAATAACTTGTTGAGAAATATAAAAAAGTTTATTAAAATATTTATTAAAAATTTATTAAAAGAATAGATCAATAAAGATATATTACTGCATTGACGTATCTTATCCCTATTGCTATTCTGATACATGAAATTATTATTAAAATTAAAAAATTAAAACTATTACAATTATTATTTATTATTTTTAAGATTATTTTAAAACTATTATATTTGCTATTAATAAAATTGTTGAAAAATTATAAAAGAAAAAAAAAATGTAATTATAAAATATTCAAATTGTTACGAAATTATTTGTTATGATAAAATTATTAAGAAATTCATTATTAAAAAATTTAATTAGGTGTAAATTTACAGAAATATCACCTGATCTACAGAAATTTACACCTAATTAAATTTTCTGATGATGATTTAAAAGTTTTTGCCAGAAGAGGAATCTTTTTTTCTTTCTTCCCTACTGCAGCTATTTTATAATTTTTCTCCTTATTTATCCTCATCCTCTGTCATCCATAAAAATATTTTTATGCCAGAATAAATAAACAATTATCCTGAATAATAGATGATATACAAGTATAATTCATTTAAATAGTAACACATATTATCCTCTATTATCTCCGTGACTTCAGCTATTTTTGTGTCACATCAATACTTAATAGTTATACCAATTTCAAAGTGATTTATATTAATATTTTCCTATAAATATATATTAATAAAATAAGAAATTAAACTAATAGAATATAAATAGGCTAATAAATATATGATGATAAAGTAATAGTTATAGAATAATATGATAAATAAAATAAAAATATAATAATGAATAAAAGTTGATCATTAGGGTCAACACTCTATTATAAATTAACTAAAATCAGAATTTCTTTTTGATACAACTATTCTTTTGTATTTGACCTATATATATTATTATTCTTAAGTAATCAGATTTGATCAATTTAAGAATTAAAACTGAATTTATATAATTTAGTTTTATCTAAATATTACAAATAATCTGGTTTAAACTTTCAAAACTAAATTATCTGTATAATATTTTTTTATTTTAAAATTTTTATATGTTTTTTTTTTATTTTTTTGATTTTACTTATAATTTATAAAATATAAAACTTTTTTTTTACTTGAAGTATTTCTAAGATAAATAAAATAACATTGTTCTTAATTACAAATATTATATGTTTTATCTTTGTAATATCAATTATTTGTAAAGTTATTTTATTTTAAAAAAAAAATTATATAAAAATTTTTATGAAAATTTTTATAATACAGATATTTTTTAAAGTCAAAAATAATTCTAACAAGAAAGAAGATTGAAATAACTCTACAAATTTTGATATTATAAAAATAAAATATATATTATTTTATAACTAACAATAAGGTCTTTCTATCTATTATAAAAATATCTTAGTAAAAAATTATTCTATCTTTCAAAAATCACAAGTGAAATTAAAAAAAATTTAAAATATAAACTTTTATAAATTTATAAATAATAAAATTTTGTCTTTTAAAATTTCCTATATATTATATTAGTAAATTTTAATAGGTAAAATAACTTTACAAATATATATTATTTTGTAACCAAGAACAAAACAAACTTTATATCTTAGAAGTACCTTAGTAAAAAATTATTTTATATTTTACAAATTATAAATAAAGTTAAAAAATATAAAAAAAACTAAAAATCTTCAAAAATTTTTATATTTTTTTTTAATTTTGTTTATAATTTATAAATCATAAAGTGATTTTCTACTAAAGTATTTCTAAGATAAAAAAAAAGATCTTATTATTGACTATAAAAATAATATATATTTTATCCTGATAACATTAATATTTATAAGTTATTTTAATTTAAAGAAAAACATTTGTAAAAAATTATACAAAAAATTTTTGCATGATTTTTTCACAGATACTTTTCTTCAAACTAGAATAACTCCATGAATTACAAGTCAAATACAAAAGCTATGTCATATGAAAAGGAATTCTGATTTTAGTTGATTTATAATATAGAATGCAATAGTATAGTCAATTTTTATTGATTTTTAGCTAATCTATAATATAGGAATTTTGATTTTTAATATAAAAATTATCATTAGATACAATGATTCTTTTGTATTTGACTAGTGAATATTGATACTACTATTTCCTTTACTAATCTTTTTTAGTTTTTATTTTGTATAGGAGAAAGGATTTTTTTTTAATAGCTAAATGGTTAAATTCTAGCTCAGAGGCGCAGTTCTGATTGGCTTGCGCAATTCTAATCACGTGAAAAGACCATTATTATAATAAAATAATTATTTAAATTATCATATTGATATTTTTAATAAATTATCTTCAAATGCTAATAACTTTATGAAATTAGTGCTACAAAAATGAACTATATATCAATGTGTAGCTAAGAACTAGAGCTTTTGATCGGTCATAGAAATATCTTAGTATAAAATCACTTCAAATCATGTAAAATCAATTTGAATTAAAATAAAAATAATTATTTTTAAATATTAAGATCTTTACAAATATTAATATTAGAACTATTATTTTGAAGCTTATAATAAGAGCTTTTAAATGATTTTAGAATTTATATTTAATCATAATTATTCAATAAATTTTATAATTGCACCAGCCAATTAGAATTGCACTATTATTTAGCCTTTGTACTAGAATTTAACCTTTATATCAGAATTTAGCCATTGCACTAAATTGCACCAGGGCTAATTCCTGGGCTCAATTGGCTAAATTAAATCTGGCTAAATTCCTGGCTCAATTTGTATTGCATCTACCATCCCTACAAATTACATGATTTCAGTTTTTAAATAATGTTGGTCCATATATTAACAGTACATTATTTTTTTTATTTAAGGTAAAAATATATATTTAGCCTTTCCTCCAGAACCAGCAGACTTATACCAATAACAAAGTTAGAGCACATGAATTAAGAACACCTGGAGTGGGGACCAGTATCAAAACCAGTAATTCTCCATAGTCAAACGCGATCGAAGATTTATAAAATAAGTAAAATTATTTGTATGCTGATCCATACTAAATCATATGATTTGCGAATCTATAATTTTCTTCGATAGATGTAACATTTATAGTGACTTATAATGTCTCAAACCGAGATTCGCCAGTTTAACTTTGGTCCTATTACTGCACATGCTTTCAATAAAGACCGAACACGTACGTAGATTTTAGTTGATAATCATATGTTTTATTCACTACTTGTTCTATTACTTTCGACGTTATTCTCAACTTTACCTACTATAACTTACTCTATTAGAGGTTGCTATTTGCCCTAATAATAATGAAGTACAAATTCATCAAAGAACTGCCGGAGGATGGAGCTTGATACATACTTTAGTTGAAGCAAGTGTTTAAAATTTATACATTATAGTTAAATGAACATATATATATAATATTACATTTTTTTTATTACAGTTTAAATTTAATAATTAATAATAATAATAATAATAATAATAAATTAATTTATTCTCTCGTCAATTCAGCACGATAAACTCGTTACTAGTATTGATTGGGCAGTTGAAACTAATCAAATAGGTTAAATATTATAATAATGTAATAGTGGTCGTTTCTTCCTTCTCACATTTCCTTTATTTTAACTTTTCAATCTTTTCAATTATTTCTGTACTTTTCATGAATCCCATATATATCCAATATAACCATTATTTTCAATATACCCAATATAAACAATATATCCAAAATATCCAACATATCCAATATGATTAATAAATAACAGTAACATGTTCTCAAGATCGAAATGCATATGTTTGGAACCTTGATCAGACTAGTGGCAAATGGAAACCAACTTTAGTGTTGTTGCGTTTTAATCGAGCAGCTACATTTGTTCGTTGGTCACCTAATGAAACCAAATTTGCTGTAGCATCTGGTTCAAAGTGTATAGCCATTTGTTATTTTGATGAAGAGAACGATTGGTGGAATAGTAAACATTTAAAGAAACCTATTAGAAGTACTGTTTTAAGTCTTGATTGGCATTCGAATAGTATACTTTTAGCTGCTGGTTGTGCTGATTTTAAGGTAATATGAAATATGATTTTCTCAAATTTCTCTATTATCTCTCAAAAAAATAATGCAAAAAAATAATAAAACTATAATAAAGCAAATACAGATACACTTATCTTTTTTTAAAAACAATAATATTTTAAAGGCACGCGTATTTTCGGCATATATTAAAGGTGTCGATCAAAAGTAATGAATATATTTTAAAAAATAATTAATAACTTTACATTTATTTTATACTTTCATATTTATTTTATTTTATTTTTTATTCATTTTATTTTTTGTGCATTAGACCAGCTCCAACACCTTGGGGAGATAAGTTACCTTTTAATACTGTTTGTGGGGAATTCTCTAATGGTGGTGGTGGTTGGATTCATAGTGTAGCCTTTTCACCTAGTGGTGATGCATTGGCTATTACTGGTTTGTATGAAAATTTATTGTTATTATTATTCCTATTTCGTTTATTTATTTATTTATTTTTTTTAAAAAAAAAATCTTAGGACATGATTCACAAATAACTATTATTTATCCTGGCCAAGAATTTTATACGGTCAAAACAAATAATTTGCCATTTTTAAGTTTACTATGGGTAAATGATAATCAATTGATAGCTGCAGGATATGATTGTGTTCCAGTATTATTTGAACGACAGAATGATCAAAGTTGGTGAGTCGAAAATTATTATTATCATAATTATAATAAGTAATTATAATTATAATAAGTTTAATAACAACAACCCTACATTATTATTATTTACTTATATAAATTAGGAAATTTTCTAAAGTACTTGATGTTAGTAAAAAAAAGAATATAAATGAATCATCAACAGCATTTAATAGATTTCGTGATTTGGATGCTCGTGGTATCTCTTCTCGTTCCGGAAGTGATGAGACAGAATTGAACTCCATTCATCAAAATACTATCACGTATGTATATTGAATTGTTATATATATATATTTTTATGTTGTTGTTACCGCGAGAGTATAATTCATATAATTTTATGTTATATAAATTCTTTTATTAAAAAGATCACTTCGTCCATATAACGGAACACCTGGAGATATATCTCATTTTTCATCAAGTGGTTTAGATGGTAGATTAGTTATTTGGAATTTTCAAAGCCTTGAAAGTCAATTTAAAGGGTTAAAAGTGTGAAATATTAGAAATATTTATGTTTATTATATTTACTTATACTTATTATATTTAATTATTTATCTTTAAATAAAATTAATAAATTTTATTTAAATTTTTTAACAATTTTGGATAAATGTATATTATTTTCATTGGTTTATTAATAGAAATTTTTAATTATTTTCCATATAACAAATGAGGTTTACTATATATAAATATAAATAAATAAATGTATATATATTATTTTTTCATTTTGATAAATCTTCTATAGACCATTTTGGAATATGATCAATATTATATTCATCTATTAATCCTTCTCGAAATCTTTCTACACCGGTCCAAGCAATCATTACTCCATTATCAGTACACAAATGTGAAGGTGGAGAAATCAAAGGAATATTATATCGTTCATTTGCCAATTTTTCTAAGCTAAAAAAAAAAAAAATTAAATTAATCAAGTAAAATATTTAATATCCTAAATATTTAATAAAATAAATTTACCTTGCGCGAATACTTTTATTACTTGCTACTCCACCACTAACCACTAAAGCATTTAAATCAATTTCTTTTGTTTTACACCATTCAAATGCTAATTCCAATTTATCTATTAAATGCAAAATCACAATTTGTTGAAAAGACGCTGCTAAATCTTTTTTAACTTGTTCATCTTCTAAATTCAAATTTTGTTTTTGAACTAATTGTTGTATACAAGTTTTTAATCCACTAAAACTAAAATTCATTTCTTTCCTTCTTTGTTGATCCTTTCTCATTGGTATAGGTATTTGAAATTTATCCGATTTACCACCTATGGCAAATTGTTCTAATGCTGCTCCGGGTCCACCTCCTCGTCCTTTTAACCAAGGAATTTTCAATAATCTGGCAATTTTATCAAATGCTTCGCCAACCGAATCATCTATTGTAGTACCTAATTGTATATGTTTATTAATCCCATTTGTCACCAAGATTAATGTGTGTCCACCAGAAATTAAAATTGTCAAGTAAGGAAAAGGTATTAATTCGGTATGAGTTAAGCGTGCAGTTAAAGCATGTGCTTCCTAACAAAATTTTCATTTAATTTAATTATAATGCATTGTTGAGTTGATTTTATATATAAATATGTATTGAGAACCTATAAAAGAACTTATTAGTAGAGTATATATATATATATATATATATATAAATGTATATACGGTAGATATAAAAGTACAATAAAAATACTATAAAGATACAATAAAGATACAATAAAGATACATTGGATATACAAAAAAATACATGCCATATGATGAACACCTATTAATGGTTTCCCTAAAACAGCAGCCAGAGTTTTAGCTGCACTTAATCCAATTCCTAAACATCCCGGTAATCCTGGACCTCTCGTAACTGCAATAACATCAATATCTTTAACTATATCTAACTTCCCTCCAATTAAAGCTTCATTGATAACTCGAGGTAAATGTATTTGATGACTTTTCATTGCTAAACTTGGAACAATTCCACCATTTTGTTCATGAATATCATGTTGAAGTTGAATTGACTCATATATTATTTGTCTTGATGAATTTACTATTGCAACTCCTGTATCATCACAGGATGTTTCTATTCCTAATACATTAAATGGATTTTTGGATATTTGAATAATTAAATTTCTATATATTTGAATTGGCCAAAATTTTTTTCTTGTTAATTTCTTAAGAAAAACCATTTTGATAAGAAAATCTAATCTCAAAAAAAAAAAAAAAATTTATCACATGCGTATCATATTTAACTATGCTAAAAAAAAAAATCCTATAATGGGCTTTTATCTATTAATGATATTTCTTTCTTCTTCGTGTTACTTGTAATATCGACTCTTTTATGTTTGTAATTCTTGTATCTATAGCTTGACAGTATTAAATTTATCAATCATGCTTACCTTAATAATAAAATTTGTAACAATTGTAACAATTGGCATCAAAGTGCCAAAAATAACCTGGGAACACTTACCTACAAACACTAAGCTGCCATTCTACTTAATAACACAATGTTGTTCTTCATTTAATTGACAATGCAAATCCTCATACTTTTTTTTAAAAAAAATAAGTACTGTTAATTTTATTAATTATTTTCATTATGGCCTTAGATAAGGAAGTAAAAATGTCTATATTGAATGCTACAGTTAACTTAATTGGATTAATAAAATTAATAATAAATTTATATTTATTTTGATTAAAAATCTTGATTGTTTTTTTTTTTGTCACTATAAAGCTGTAATTATAAGAATTAAAAAATTAAGAGTGGGGATAAATTTCATCTGAAAAGATTATTGATTTACATATAATTATAAAGCAAAAATGCATATAAATGTATAAAAATGTATTATTACTAAAATTTGTTGGGGTTTTTTTTTTAGCAAGGATCCTACGCAAACGACCTTTATGAAATAAGCAATAACCAAAATAATAGAAAAAAAAATCATAATTGTGCTATATGAAAATAACGAGATAATGAAATAAGAAAATGTTTACAAGAATAACAAGAATAAGAGGTTTCATATAATATATTCTATAATTGGAATGTTCTCATGATAATGAATGACTTTTTTTATGAAAAGAATGTATAAAAAAAATTATTATTATATGAAAATTAAAAAATATATATATATAATTTCAAAATGCAAAATAGTAAAAAATTCTTTTTTTTGAATAAAACAAATCTAATATGGTGTCATTCATGATGGTTGTTTATGCATTTAACCAAGTGTTCAAAGTAAAGAAATAATGTTCAAAAAATATATAATATTTATCGTGGTGATGATGATTTTGATATTACAAATACACCTACAATTGCAATAGCAAGTGTTAGAAGGGCACCGGGTAATAACAAATCCTGTGGAATAGGGAGGTATTCTCCATGTTTATTATGCCTTCGAGTGCGTCTAGGCTTTCGATCAAGAATTTCTTCTTCTTCTTCTTCTTCTTCAAGATTCAATGATCGTGATCGTGATCTTGATGGCGATTTCCGTTCATGAATTTCTTGGATACACAAAAGGACCCGTGTTGCACCTTGTCGCTTGGCGATTTGCACTGCATCATAAACATCGTCATCAGTTGACATTGCAACAAGATCTTCTTCGTCATCGACATAAGAAATTGAGAAATCTTTAATAGTATTAGGGAGTTTTCCCATTATTGAATCATGAATATTGTCAAAATTTGTATAATCAGTAGTAAAACGATGTGATTTTCCATTTGGGGCTTTAAATTTGAAAGTAAAATGATTTTCGTCATGTCCTCGAGGGAAGGAAGCTAGGGAACCATCATCAATAGCTGAAGCGGACTCACTAGGGTGAATTTCGGGAATTGGTGAGATATTACCAGAACCTCGCATACGTGATTGTGATGAAGAAGGTGGAACATTAGAAGCACTTTGTGATGGTGCTATCGAATCAGAATCATTGTCACATTCATTAGCAAAGGAATTCCAAAATTTATTCCACATAGGTCCTCCGGTTTCTTGCCCATTTTCTTGATGTTGCATAGCATACATCTATACATAAATGAAATGTTTGGTTAGTTTAATTATTATAATAAAAAAAATAATAATAAACCAAAGCAAAAATAAAAAGATAAATGAATGTATATTCACGTGATAGATTATTAAATGTACCTGTTCCATGGTGGCATATGTTAACTTAAGAACATCAACCATTCCTAAAATGTTGTCACCGTCAACAACTGGTAGATTAAGGTAATGTCCATCTGTGAAAATTAGAAATAAAAACCAATTAATTAAGGAAATGTTGATTTAAAGAGTAAGAGAATTAAAATATCAGGAAAATATCTATTAATCTCTATGAGAAATTAAACCATTTTAATATACTCCTAAAGGATGACAAGTATGCTGTTTGGATAAAGAGCAATCCCGCTTTAAAATAGGAGATATTTTACTTTACCAGGTAATATAAATAAGAAAATTTCCAATTTACTCACCATACATCTTTTTCAAAGCATCTAGTATACTTGTATGAGAAGGAGCAGTATCAGGATGTGGTGTCATAACTCTAACAACACTACAAGTTGAAGGATCTAGACCAGCTGCAATTACTCTCAACACAATGTCTTTACTCGTGAAGATACCGGCAATCATGTTACGTTCCATTACCAATACTGCAGTTGTATGATGTTCCCTCATTAAGCGAGCAGCATCTCTTACAGATGTCTTAACCCCAACTTCAGCCGGTCTTGATCCGTCTAAAATTGTTGTTAAAGTTGGACATGCCGTTTTATCCCGTAACATGCTCAAATATTGGTGGAATTGTGTGGGTTGATTTGACCATTCACGTTCAACTCCCTCAAGAGCATCATAGAGTTTTTTGGATGATCCGTAGGCACGTTCCATCTTATCTAATGCTTCGTATAAACATCTTGTTATATCTAGTAAACCAACAACATCACCATCTTCGTTACACACGGGCTAGATTAAAATGTTCAAGTAAAATTAGAAATGTATAAATATGATATAATACAAAATTTATGAAAAGCACATTTATTTGTCAATCGGACAGAAACTTACGAGATGTCTAAAACCACGAGCAACCATTGTATTTAGAGCATCGGTTGCTGATGTATCACTTTTTACACACATCGGATTCCTTGTCATTATTGCTGACACAGTTGTGGTTCTTGCGTCTAGCCCATCGCCTACTACTCTGAAAGCCAAATCTTTAGCTGTAAAAATACCAGATAAATGTTCTTCGTCATCAATAACAAGCACACTGTCTGCACGCTTGGCAGCCATAAGCTGTGATGCTTCAACTACCAAAGTACTCTCTCTAACAGTAAGTGCTTGGGATGGTTTTAAGGAAGTTACAGTGCCATTTGTTGTTTTCTGTGGTGGTTTCGGTGCCGCTTTACGTCCGTTACCTTTTTTTGTGAGTTCTATTTCAAGTTTTTTACGGATAGCCTAGGAGTAAACATATAATTTGTAAGAATATGAGGGTTAAAGAGACTATTCTAGAGGATGGGTTACCCTTATTATGACCACGCACTATTTACAGCGTAGGGCTTATTACCTCATCCTTCTTTGAGATTCTTTGACGAGCTAAAGAAGAACCAACCTCATGAGAACTGTTATTACTTTGTGATGTATAACGAGATGGGGAGGAAGTTTTTCTAGATCTAAACGTTTGCGTAGACATCCTATCATAAATTGATCTTTCAACGAGAAAAGAATGGTTTGAATGATTTGGCTATATTACTTGAAAAAAAAGAAATAAAAAATAAATGATTTTTGAGTGGCACATTTAAAATTAACTATTTTAGTAGAGTTTATGGAATATATGACATCAAGTACCGAAATGTTTTCGAATTTCTTGCCGTTCTCTATTATGACTCATTAGGTTAATACCCGACGGCTGAAATAAGATTTTTAATTAAAAATCTAATCAAATTAGTAATTAAACTAATTAATCATGTGAAAAGCTTCGTTTTTGAGATTTATTCCGGATTCAACTTCTGATTAGTTCGTAACAAGAAGTTCATTCAGCCACAGATCATGTGCAATCATATATTTTATCAATCTACGGGCACTTTCATCTGGATATAATCTAATTCAAAGTGAAAGTATTCAATAATATAAAGTATTTTTTAAGTTTATGTGGCTTTTTTTCTAGGGGTAGCTTTTTTTGGGAAGGAAATAAATTAACAACTGTTGTGAAATTTGAAGTTGTTCTTCTTAACTTTCTTCATCTTCTGTATATTGATTTTATTCACATACTCAATCATTTCCTTAACAATCATCTATAAAATAACAAAACCTGTTAGACTTTCAAAATTGATTTTGGATTTTTGGAATATTTTATTTTTTCGAAATTTACTCAGAATCTATTCTATATATGGAAGTAAAAAAAGTATCTAGTTAGATGTATTTTTAATTAAAGAATTTATCTGGGTAGTCAAAAAGTTTTGGATTTTAAGTAAAACTATTTTATCTTTTTTCTCTAAATCAATTTTTGATTTGTACAAATAATTCAAGTACAGGTATATTTTTAATCAAAGAATTTATCTGGGTGATTAAAAAATTTTAAGTTTTAAGTAAAATAATTTTATTTTGTCTTCAAAACTACATGAAATTTAATTTTGAATACAAGTATAGATAAAATATATGTCACTAAAGGAGTTTTCACTAAATTTGAACTTGATGAAATTTGAAAATATAAATTTAAACCATTATCACAAATGTTTCAAAATTCAATAACACATCTTTACAATTTTCAAGTATAGGTATTTTTTATATCTTATTGATATGCTGACATAATTGTTTACTTATTTGTTCATCTTAAAATTTTGAACCTTAGAAATATTATATTTAAAAGTTAGTAGTGGAATTTTTTATATAGTCAACAAATATACTTTGATTATGATTGGATTCAAAATACTATATACAACTTGTAAGTTCAGTTTAATAATAAATTATTTTTTTTTATTTTTAAATTACAAGTTTTTATTTTAATCTATATAAATATAAAACAGGAAGTTTAGAGAAATTATTTAAAATTATGATTTTTGGTTCATATAAAATTTTGTAGATTGGAATTTGAAAATTTAGATGAAATGGAAACTGTAAAATTATATTATAACTATTCTTTTATAATAAATACAATAGTTTACTTTTTTTTTAACATCAAATCAGAATCATCTAGCTTGATATCCTTTACAAATAAAAAATCAAAATAAAATTATATCACAAAAAGATTTCAATTGATATGAATATTCAAAGGTTGAAAAATTTTTGATAGTAATAACAAAACAAATCTTTTAAAAAAGAGGATTAAAATTTTTGAAGATAATAAGAAATATATTTTATTCTTTATGTACTGTATTTGTTAAAATAGAAGAGAAAAAAATATGAAAATTAAAATTAATTTAATTTATATATGTAAATAGTTTTAATAACAGAATTTTTTACATTATATATTATTTAATTTGATAATTTATTTTGTTTATTTTTCTGTTAATGAAATTTAGATTTAATGATATTATTATTAAAAATAGATTTTCTTACTAATTATTACAAGTCAAATACAAAAGAATAGGTAATGCAAAAATAAATTCTGATTTTAACTAATTTATTCTATTTGTTATATATATTATAAGTCAAGTAATAACATATACTGGTCAAAAATTTATAAATACTACACCTATCAGGTATCCAATAGGTGTGATATTTATAAATTTTTGATTAGTAATAATAACAAAATAAATTATAGGAAGATATAGAAATATACCATTTTGAAATGTTTCATAAATATATATTAAAGTTAATGAGTTATTTTTAAAAGTAAATAAAGTATGAAATATATTTATTTTCTTATTAAAGTTATAAAATAAAGTTAACATAAGTCAATAAATATTATTAAATATATTTTGAATTAACTGGTGATATATAAAAACAAAATATCATTTTGAAGTGTTTTGTAAGTATATGTTAATAAGTTATTTTTAAAAATAAACATATCTTTATTTACTTGTTAAAGTTATAAAATAAAGTTGATGTAAGTCTATAAATATTATTAAATATATTTTGAATTCTGGTATATTTGATATAATAACAAATATCAATTAAATATAGGAAAATAAATATATTTTTTTTGAGAAGCTTTATAAAAGAAAGTAAAATTATTTTTGAAAATAATCAAAGAATACATTGTTAAATAATAAGTCATATGGTGAGAAACTGATCTTCTTACAAAATAAAAAATATTAATCTTTGAAAACAATAGTCAACAGGATAATAAACAGTAATATAATTATAATCTAATTAGATTATAATTATATTACTTAGTTTAGATTATAATCATCACAATGACAATTGAATCATGTGTGCATCATTATTCAAGTGATGATTAGTTCACAAGTTTGTTATTATACTTAGGTACCTATGATTTATAAAAAATATAACAACAAAAATATGGCATTGTCGTCAGTGTCATAACAACAGAAATGTGACACCATTATCAGTGTCGTAATAACAGAAATGTGACACTATTATCAATATTGTGGTATATATTTTTTGACACATTTTTGATAATATCACCAGTAGTTCCTAGTTTCTTTAAAGACAAATCAGTGAAGTAACTTAACAGTTCTTTTAAGAAGTTTATAGCTCTTTCTCAAAAATAAGACTGTTATTCAGTTGTTTTAGAAGGTATCACACTACTGTTTACTTTTAAATAAAAAAATTAAAGATATTATATATACTTTTCAAAATATAATTTATTTAGATTTTGAAGGAATTACAAACTGTACAGGTAAAGTTCTAAAGCTAATAGTAGAATCATATTCAAATTTGAAGTATCTCAATATATCTACTTTGTGCAATAGATTTTGATCAAAAATGATATAGGTCTAACTGCAAACACAAATTCATATTATAAATTAGAATGTTTAAATAATTTTAAATGCACAGAGTTTTCTGAAATATTAATTTATAATATTATTTGTTCTTGCCCAAGGTTTCAGAAACTCAACTTTAACTTTTGTAAAATTATTAATATAACTATCAAAGAAATTACTAGATCATGTCTTAATTTAAAATTTTTTAATCTGGGAGGTATTATAATATTAGTAAAAAAGTTATAAATTAGCTTATTTCACTTAATTCAAATATTTATGTTGAGAATTTTATAAAAGCTTTAATACCTTCTGACTTTATTGAAGTAATTAGCAATTATTTTATATAGAACAATATTACTAATAGATAGATTTTAATATAGAAACTTTTAAATTTAAGTATTTGAAATAATTTGTAGTGGTATTTTGATTTAGGATTAAAACTTCCCATAGGCCTTAAAGTTTGTGAATTCAACAAATCTAGTTAAGCCTAAAGATAGTATCTTCAATTATTTTCTCAAATCCTCAATATTGTAAATTTTTTAGATAGAATTACAATAAAAATCTGTATATCCTCAATTAATCCATATATCTTCAATTGTTCTATAATTCTACAATTGTTTTACAATTCTACAATTATCCCATAATTCCTTAATTATTTTACAATTCCTCAATTGTTTTACAATTCCTCAATTGTTCACAATTCCTCAATCATTTTGTAAGTTTGTGTAATTTTATAATCAAAAATTTTTTTTTTTTTTTAAAAAAAAACCTATATTTATCTTTTTTTCTTTTTTTTTTAAAAAAAAAAACTTACATTTATCTTTTTTTTTAGTAAAAAAAAATAAAAACTTATTTTTATTTTTTAAAACAATAAAAAAAACCTATACTTACTTTGTTCTTGCTTTTATCTTTCTTCTTCTCACCTTTCGTTAGCTTATGGGAATACCTGTGAAAGTTAAAATTATCAAAATTGACTTCGCAGATGTATAGTTAAAAGTGAGTTTTTTTTTCTTTTTTTTTTTAAAAAAAAATAATAAAACCTTATATTTACCTTGTCCTTATCTTTACCTTTCTTCTCCTCAACTTTTACTGGTTTATGGGAACACCTGTAAAAGTCAAAATCATAAATCATCAAAATTGATTTCGCAAATATATAATTAAAGGTAAGTTTTTTTTTTCTTTTTTTTTTTAAATAAAACCTTATACTTACCTTGTCCTTACTTTTACCTTTCTTTTTTCCAACTTTCACTAACTCATGAGAATATCTATAGAAGTTGAAATTATCAAAATCAGCTTCTGGAATGTATAATTAAAGGTGAGTTTTTTTCTTTTCTTTTTTTTTAAAAAAAAAATATAACTTTTAATTACCTTGTCCTTGCCTTTACTTTTCTTTCCCTTACCTTTAGCTAGTTCATGAGAATACCTATAGAAGTCAAAATTATCAAAATTGATTTTACAGACATTGTCACCAGTGGTTCTTAATTCACTTGAAAATAAATCAGTAGAGTGACTTAATGGTTCTTTTAAGGAATTTATAATCTTTTTCCAAAGGTAAAACTGTTATTTTATTAATTTAGAAGATATTACTGATTCAGTTATTTTAGAAAGGGAATCAGACCTTTCATCTAATTTACTCTAATATCTTTTCAAGTTTGTTATCATCTTTAATATTAATATCTATCCATTAATCATCTTTTAATTTCATAACTTTAAGTATTTTCTTCAAATATCCAGATTAAATTTTATTCTAAGTCCAGAGTTTATAATATTAATTTATGATTAACTTCATAAATTCAGAAATAAC